CAACTGAGTGGACAACTCAATTGGGCACTGCCTTGCAGTGCCTCAAGAGCTAACATGTTTCTAGGTTGAAGGGTCAAGGCCAGGACCAGGGCAAGGGTTGGATGAGACCAGTTGAGACCAGGGTACAGCCAGTCTAGGGTGGTCTGGACACAGTCATGACAGAGGTCTGGGTGAAGAGGCCAACTGAGACCAAGGCTGGAATGGCCAGTACTGAAGGGCAGGAGGGTGAGAGAAGTGGCAAACCAGCTTCAGGCAAGTCCAGGTGAGCATGGACAAGTGAAACCAAGGCCAGGCAGGCCAGTAACAGACAGTCTGGAGACCAGAGAGGGGGTCCAGGGCTCCAAGGCCAGTGTAGCAATGGCCAAGTGTGGAGACCAGACCCAAAAACTGCTGAAGCTGAGTGCCAATGGGGAACAGGGAAGGTGTTAAGGGCCGGGACTGGCCAAGTCCAGGCTTGGGGACTGCACTGAAGGTGCACAGAGGTCCAGAGATCAATAATGGGGGGTCAGGAGGTCAAATGAGTGACATGATCCCAGTGTCCAGTACAGTAGATATGGACCAAGACTGCTGGGATAGAGTGCTGGGGTGACTGAGGTAAAGACCAAGGATGAAGACTGAGGTAACCAGCCAGGGGTCAGAGACAGCTTGGGGGAGCTAACAGAAGTGAGCCTGGTTGTTGCGGCCAGCTCAGAGGCAAGTCTGGAGGGTAATTCCAACCTGGAAGTGGGCTCAGTGTGAGTCCAGGTTGGTGGTGAGTCCAGATGGTGAGTCCAGCTCAGGGGCTGACATGGCTGGTCTGGAGTCAGGCACAAACAAGTGGCAGGCAGGAGGTCAGGAATGAGGGAATGGATGCATTGAGTTTCAACCATAGGAACATAGTACTGGGGGTAATGCAACCCAGGGTGTGCAGAGTACCAAGGCACACTGGTTACCTCTCTGCTTCAGCAGAGATCTCTTGGTTGGGCCCCAGAGTCAGAGGAGAGGTATCCTGATGAGTCCTGATGGGCAAGGTCATGGGTCAGGGCTCTAGAGCAGGACCTAGATATGATGAAGTGACTTGCACAAGTGTGAGTCAGAACATACTGTGAAGTTTACCCTTGGGTGAGTGGGTGTCATGACCATGTTACAGTGGTGCCTCTGCACCTCTGTTTGCATTTTCATTTATTCCACTGTTATATGCTTTGCTAATATGCTCTAAGTTCACATTCCTACACTATACAGTGTTATGGTATGTTGTGACTGTTTGTTTTCCTTTGTTTACCATTTTTGTGCACTTAGCAGTTGTGTGTGCCCAGTGTATTTTCTCTTCAGTCTCTGACACTGGGCACAAGGTAATGTCACTACTTAGCTGTTGAATACAGTCTCTGACACTGGGCACAAGGCCTACTTTGTGGGATATTTTAACAGGTTATGAGCCCCATGCTCTAGAAATTTCCAGACCCATCATACAACACATCATCCACCTCTGTGCAAATTTTCAACCTGCCACACCCACTCCCTCACCCTCTGTTGCAATTTCCTTGCCTCCCAGCTTCGAGACTCACCCCATCTATTCCCTCCTCATCTTCGACTTCCAAAAATCACATCTATGGCTGAGGACCAATCCCACTTGTCGCTCTCTGTGACCAAACTCACCTCCTCCAACTACAACACCTGGAAAGGCAAAATGAAGGCTTTCCTGCACACCAAAGGCCTCCAGACTATTGTCAGTGGCACTGAAAAGCACCCTGATGAATACAAAACTGAAGCTAGAGCCAAATGGGACCTCAAAGCAGACAAAGTGGCAGGAGAACTCTACCTGGCACTCTCTAGTGAGCAGAGGACACATGTGGATGCTGTACAGGATGACCCAGTGCAAATCTGGTCAACTCTGGCCTCCATTCACCTCCAGCAGCACCCTGGAGCTCGTTTTAATGCCTGGGATGATTTCTTTTCGATCAGGAAGCAACCAGATGAGTCCCTCAGCTCCCTAATCACTAGAATCGAAGATTCTATGTCTAAAATTCAAGAATTGCGCCCCAAGGACTCTACTACTCCATACTCCATCAAGGATATGGACAATGAGCTTGTCTGTATGGCTATGGTGTGCTCTCTAGGCAAAGATTACTCTCACTTTGCCTCCTCTCTCCTCCTGTTCCAATCCCTGGACAAAGAAAAACTCAAAGAAGTGTTCCTGCCTGAAGAATCACAGCAAAAGCATCACCCTGAGGCAGGGACATCAGATACTGCATTATACACCTCCTCCACAAATTGCAAGTGCCCACCTTCATTGCCTTGTGTTTTCTGTGATTATCCGGGGCACTGTGTCCATAAGTGTGTAAATATGGAGAGATCAAAGGCTTTCTATTGCTCTAGGAAGAATAAGAAGGACAAGAAGACTGCTACCACCACAAATCAAGCCTCTACATCATCTACTTCCTCCCCTGCAACTGGGACAGTGCCAACAACTCCCTTGTTGAACCAGAGCACTGTGCAGGCAGTGTTAAGATAACATGCCTTGTGCACAGTGTAAGAGACTGAAGAAAATTTCACTGGGCACACAGCAGTAAGTGCACAAAAATGATAAACAAATGTAAACAATAAACAAATGCAAACCAAGGACACTTAGAGTGAAGCTAAGTGTCCACTACATGCCTGTAGGGTGAGATAGAAATAGAAGAAAGGAAAAACATGATCTGAGGTGCACAGGCACCTGATATGAACACTCTGGAGGCCAGTGGGATGTCCCATGATAGCTTTGGAGGCTACTGTGGGACATCCCATCCTCCTCTCTGGAGGTCAGTGGTATGTCCCATGATAGCTTTGGAGGCTACTATGGGACATCCAACCCCCCTTTCTATAGACAGTGGGATGTCCCACCCCCTTCTCTGGAGGCCAGTGGGATGTCCCATGATAGCCTTGGAGGATACTGTGGGACATCCCACCCCCCCTTCCATAGGCCAATGGGATGTCCCATGGTAGCTTTGGAAGCTACTGTGGGACATCCCACTCCCCCCTCTGAAGGCCAGTTGGACATTCCACCCCTCTCCATAGAGGCCAGTAGGATGTCCATGTACTATACATATGTCAGAATACCAAAATGCTCTCAAATCAATTTTGTGGCAGCTTCAAGACAACCAGATCCACCCTGCAGGTCTGTATTGACATATTGCACAGGTAATGATATCTACTTTTCATACTAACTCACAGAGCACAGTGAAGGGCCAATGTCGCAGATTAAATGGGGGTAAATTGTGCAGCTGCAAATGGTAACAACATGGTGGGTCTGATAAAAGATAGACCTGTTTTAGTAGCAATGCAGGTAGATTAATTCTCAACACAAAAATAGGCTCTTAGAAAAAGCATTGAACAATGTTTATGGGGCAAAGTTAATGAGAGAACCCAGACAAGACCAAAATAAATCCAGAAGTCAGCCTCTGCAGCTCTACAGTGCTTGCATGTAACATAGAACTGTAGTATCCTGATGATGATAACAACACCTGATTAGTAAGCATAAGATGTTGCCCTGAAATAATGGGTAGATGGCCTGAATTTTGAGGGGAATAAAAACACTCAAAACTCAATTTCCTTCAAGTTTGACAGGTAGGGTTCTTCCACATGGTGAGGGGGGTGGGAAGGTTGGAAAGAAAGGATTGAAAGTGGTGTTGAGGCAAGGTTAGCAGTACTTCAGATTAAAGGGACTTGGGCAACATCAAGATAATCATGTCAATTCCATTTGAATTCCACTCAGTTCCCTCAACTCACCAGGGAATAACACTTACTTGATCACAGTAATAAAATATAGATAAAGTACACAGGAAACCAGGCAGCAGAATTCACCAGAGCCCCTGGCCATTGGACACAGTGACACTAGGAGAGTTGTCAGTCAGTGATCACCACATCAACACTTGCTTAATGTCACCATATTCCCTCCCCATTGCTGGAGGCTCCTTTATCTGTAGGTGTGGCCCCCAAGCTTCACCACAACTGTCCTTTGACCCAGCTCTCTGCAGCTCAAGCTCTTCAAACAAGAGTACAGTATTTTGAGTAGATGCATCTTCCCTGTAGAATGTCGATCAGTAGAAAATTCATTGGTAGATCAAGTGAGCAGCAATATGGCAGTGTGGCCACAGGAGGTAACAAAATAACAGTCAAGCAGACACAAATGCTCTTGCATTCAAAATGATGGAGAACTGAGAGATTTCATTCATTCATTGCTCACCCTATCATGGAAAAACAAACATGTATTTCTAAAGAAAATACTGAGGAGACTAATAATCTAAGTAATCCTCAGGAAATTCATGCTCATACTGTGCAGCACTGTCTCTGTCAACCCATCGCTGTGCTGTGGGCTGGGCTGTTGGGTAGTAGTCAGAGATATATGGAACATCATGGTAAATATGATGGTCAGGGTGAGATGGTATGCGATATGTCTGACAGGATGAAGGGAAATGCCCCAAACCATGGCAGGCAGGTGGTAATACCTATAGAGAAGCTAAACAAAATGTGACAATGAAGGATCAAATCACAAACATTGTAGGGAACATTGGAGGGGCCAGGATCATGATAGTTGGCATGGTCTTAATGAGGGTCCTGTGGGACATCCTATTGGTCTTTTTCAAGAAGCAAAATGCCTGGGATACTCACCTCATGTTCATATTAGGTGCCTGTGCACCTCAGATCGCATTTTTCCTTTGCTTTATTTCTATCTAACCCTACAGAGATGTAGTGGACACTTAGCTTTGCTCTAAGTGTCCTTGGTTTGCATCTGTTTATTGTTTACATTTGTTTATCAATTTTGCGCACTTACTGCTGTGTGCCCAGTGAAATTTTCTTCAGTCTCTTACACTGGGCACAAGTAGCCTCAGTTTGTGGTTATCTTAACACCTCATAATGCTGAGATGGTGGAAACTGCTGAGAAGGGCCAGGGTCCTGTGGGTGCAAACAGCTTGGGACAGCATCACAATGCAGATCCTGTGCAGTCCTCCATTAGTCTTTTAATCAACTGGTATGTCCAGACCTCACCCCATAGTACTGAGCTGGCAAGGGGCGCTCAGATTGACCAGACTCTCAAGTGTTCTTGTGGCTTGTACATGCTGGTGGGTCACAAAGTGCATCCTGTGCATGTCACCTGTTAGTTTCAACCAAAATGCAGCGTGGTAAACCACTACACTGCAGTCACCAGCGATGGGGCATGCATCCCTGCCTTCATCATGCAGGGGCATTTGGCAGTCAGAGTGTGAAGCCTTGGGGAACATTAGTAGACACCAAAGGTTGAGTGGATTGACTCACCTCATGAGGAACTGTGTCATTATCCATCACCTCCACATGAGGCTGCTTGTGTGATGGAAATGGGATTCCACTCTGTGCATGAGGTACTGCCATACCTGGATCCCCTTCTTTGTGAGACTTCTGCCACTCAGGATCGTCAGACACCTTGTGCAAAACCATGCCATCAGGAGCCTTGACCAGTGTGATCTCTCCCTTTAATGGGTGTGCATCCCCTATGCTGATGACATCTGCAAAAATGGTCAGTGATCAGCTAGACAAAAAATGTACACAATACCTTCATTCCAGGGTTTGATTTCAACCTCCAGCACACCATCCAGACAATCATTTTTCTCATCATCATCATCATCATCATCATCATCATCATCATCATCATCATCATCATCATCATCATCATCATCATCATCATCATCAGATTGTCCATTGTACCTCAAGCCTAGCTTTCTCTGCAGATAGGGTACCACAAGTTGGCAGAGAACATCAGCTTTGAGTTTCTTGTACTCAAAACCAGGGCCTGGTGGGGGCACCCCAAGCAGCCAGTTGATTATGATGAGAGAGTTCCTCCTAACAAACTCAAGAAGCCACTGCCAAATGATTTTCTGGGGATCACCAACTTCAACCCCACACATCACTTATGGGAAGACAATTAGAAGAGAATATATGGAATATCAGAAATATGTACTGCGTAGATCTTTGAGCACCATTATCAACTTCTCCTTCATCATAGATCCAAATACCTGGCAGTTGTGATCTCTTGGTATCTCCTTCATTCAACAACACAACTCCAATGCCACAGCTGAACTGGCAGAAGCACTCGTCCCTAATAACCCAGCCTCAGTACCATTACCATCCCTGAGACACCTAATTGCCATGAGTCCAAGTAAGATATGTGTAACATCACTTACTTAAATATTGCAGTGTACTTGTCCATAAGTCCCCAAACATCAATGGCATGATCATTGATGTACTTTCATATGATATCAGAACCACCAAATATGCCAGAGGTCTGGCATCCTGCAGGGTCTTGTCCAACATACATCACAACTCCAGCAATTTCAATGTCTTCAAGAGCTGACCACACTTCAGCCTGCTCAACAGTAAGATCTGCCCCCCATCCACCCACTTACAACCACTTACCAATCCAGAGAACTGCATCTTTGCATTGTGGACTCTGACTGCAATGGACTTGACTGATTTGTTAGTGGGCACTGCTGAGGAGTTCTTGCTCCATTCATAAACAGCCTTCAACTTCTCCTTTCTTGCTGTGGTGTCATCTTTGGGGATATCTTTCATGAGTTGGTTGTACTCCACTGTAATGATATTGTTGACCATGTTTCAGTTGGCTGGGAAGAATGTTATAAAGAAAATCTGTGACAAGGGCATGCATACCACCATCAGGTTTTGCTTGGGTGGCCCAATACCATGAGTGGAAGAGATTGGCCTCATTGAGCTTCATGTGAGATGGTTTGACACTGAGCCCAGCAGCAACAAGGATGTCACAAGGAGACTTGCCATGTTGATGTCCAAGTTCCTCTGCTTTTGCCTTGACTTCAGCCACAAAGTCATGTATCTCATCAAGAGTGGCATGGGACAAGTTCCCAGTCTTCTTAAATTTTGCATTCCAGGCAGGTTCATGATCATCCTGACTCACTATATCACTGTTGTCAACATCCATAGCCCTACTTTTGCCCTTGCTTTTAGGTTTGTGTTCCACACAGTGACCAGGATGATGTGGGGGAAACTCATCTTCAGCATTGGAACTGGAGTCTTCAGCTGGTGGCAAAGATGGAGAAAGCAATGATTCAAAACCATCCCCATCTACTATGAGCATGTCAATATCAGAGGAGAATACATTGAAGGGCAACAAAAGACACATCAAAGGATAACAAAGTGTCTAGAAAAAAAAAGTGAAAATGATACAGGACACTTGGTGACCCTCATGAGGATCCAAAGCACCTAGCTTTAGACCATTGGGCACCAAACCCACAGTCAGATGAGAGGAGTGGGGGGCACCAAACCCTGGAGTCAAGGATATAACAATGCAACATCTACAGCACTGTGAGAGAATGAGAAAAATATTCAAAAAAAATGAACCTTCATTGTCCAGAAGTTGACTAACCCCATCATCAGGATGTTGACTGCCCTTGTCAGCTTAAATGTTGACCTCAACCTCCTCAGCCTCAGCCTCACCAGCATCCTCCTCCATTGGAGCACCCTTGACCTGGTCTTCCTGCAAGATCAGGGTAGTGGAATTTTGGGAGGACACAGAGACACTAGGAATGAGTGATCTCCTCCTGTCACAGAGACTGAACATATGTTCTTCCCATCCTTCAGGTGGTTGCACCATGTGCCAGGGCTTGGGCTTGTCTTTTTTGATCTGTGAAGGCAGGGGTCAGATGGGATCGACAGTGACAAGATAACTAACCTCTGGTGGAGGGGCCATCTTGGTGGTGGGGATTTTGTGGTTTCAAAGAACCCAGGTGTGCAAATCCATAGAGTCGTCCACAACTTGGTCAACACCTTTCAGCATGCAAGGCATGTCAAGAACAATGGGGGAGGAGGGGAAAAGCAGTCAGATGAGGTATTTAAGTAAAGTCATGCCTTACCTGACATAAAAAAACCCATGGAGTTATTCGGTAAAATGGCAGGTTGTTGGGATGGAATAATGATGCTTGCAGTTATTACATGAGTAGCAAGTGGAACAAAAGGAAAATATCAGAAAAGAAGATTGGTGTCATGCTGTATCAGTGATAAATACCAGGTGGAACAAAGCATAAGGAATATACAACAAACCAATACCAAAAGAGTACATACCACCTCATAATAACATATGCATGCAATGGTAGTGAGCAGAATGGAAGATGTAATAATGAACATGGAGGAAATACATCACTAATAAGTGGAGACTCAAACCCCTGAAGGCCCAAAACAGAGGGAATATGTACCACTTGGTAATGGAATACATGTGCAATGGCAGTAAATGGAGAGCCTCAGAAGATGAGCTCTGTTTGTGTGGGTTTCATGTGTGTGATCAACAACAAAACATTGGTAAATGCCAGAACAGCAAGAGAACAGTAAGGAAGATGCAACAACCAAGACAGAGGGAATATGTACCACTTAGTAATATGATACATGTGTGACAACAGTGAATGGAAAGGCTCAGATGATGCCATGACTCTGTTCCCAAGGGTCTTGTAGACACAATCGACGAGAACCTTCAAAGGCTCCAAACCCCCAAGGGTGCCAAGCCCTCAACTCTCATGGACAACCATGCCAAACAGTCAGGGCAAGAATGGATGGAGGTCAGTAACAACACATCCATGAACAGATCCCAATCTTGAAACCTTTGTATTTGTGATATCTCCACTTACCTGCACCAGGTGGAAAATCCATTAGTAGTTGTGTTGTTGGTTACACTTGAGCCAAATTAAGAATTAAAAATAAAAAGCAAAGCTTTATACAAAACAGGTATGTTTACAGGGTCACCATGAAAAATACTCTGGTCAAAGTATGCCAACACTTGTCTGCCAGGGACAGATCCCTTGGTTCCACATCCAGATGTCCACAGACAAGAACAGTGGCAGAGTCAGGGGTGTTGGCAGATGTTAGATGGATTGATACAGGGGGAGTGGGGACCTCCAGTCTGATGGGGGAAAAGGGGAGGAAAGGGACCAAAGTGGTGCCCTCCTGACAGGATGATGATGTTGAGGGAGCCAAACTCGACAGAAATGATGGTGCTATGGGAGATGATTCCTGTCAAGGAACAAAAATCTTGGAAAATTGCCCACCTTCATGCTGGGATCTCAAAAGTAGGAAGGGTTGCAGCATCAATTGTGCTCAGTTTGAGATGCGAAACAATAGTGATTAGAGCGCCTGCATAACCCTTGAAAGTTAGCTATGAGACAGTGGTTAGAAAATCATGCACTTAGGTTGATGGCACTTATGCTTTGCCCATTATCGAGTGAGGGTGGCTGGCACATAGTGAGACAAGGATTGGAAGGGAGAGGGAGAGAAACACAGACAATATTGTAAGTCAATAGGTGGATCTCCAACAGAACATTCTTCTTCCCCATTTGTTAGCAGCCATGGAATAACACATAGGATCTGCCTCAGTGAATCCTGCATGCATGGTCTGTAGAGATGTCATAATTACACTCTTGTTAAACAGATCATTGTGTGCCCCAGGTAAAGAATATAACTAATGGATGTTGTTGTTAGTGCCTGTGCACCTCAGACTAATTTCCCAGGTTCCTCACCTTCCATATTAATGATGTGTTCACTTATTTCCCTCAGTTGTTCTTTGTTTGTTCAGTGTTCACATTTTCACTGTGCACAGAGTCTCTTGTTCTTTAGTTACTGACTCTGTGCACATAGGTGTGTAAAGCTACATAGACAACAATTCAGTTACTGACTCTGTGCACATAGAGTGCTGAGTATTGGGATATCTTAACAATGGAATAGATGCAAAGGCTAAACACTTACTCATTTGCAGCTCACTATGATGGAAGCAGAGACAACACTAGGAAGGACAGGAAGACTTAATTAGCATCCCTACACAGGAGTAATTGGGGATCAGGAACTGAGGAAACAAGCAAGCCTTGAACTCACCAGCTTGTAAAATGAACAGAATATCCTCAGGAAATGAAAAGGTAGAGTTTAGGGTATATCCATACCAAGATGACTTTTGAAGGCTCCAAGCCTTTGAGAGCTGCCAAGGGCACCAAGCCCCTGGCACTTGGTGGGGGACACACTGAACATTCCCCTGGTGTAATAGATGTTGAAGAGAACATACCATTGACCATGAAAGTAAGAAAGCAAAGAAGAGAAACCTGATTAGCATCTCCACACAAAGGTGGTTGGAGCTCAGTAAAGGAAGGGAGATGCAAGCCTCAAACTCACTGGTGGGCAAATTGAAAAGACTCTAGTACCAGAAGGAGAAGATGGAACTGGGGGTAGCCATGGCAAACCATTGGCCTTAATAGATAATGGAGAGAATGCTGTGTTAACCAGGAAAGTAAGAAAGCGAGTAAGAGAAACCTGATTAGTGTCCCTATACAAAGATGATCAGAGATCAGCAAAGGAAGGGGGAGACACAAGCCTTGAACTCACCAGCAGGAAAAGTGAAGGAGTCTTGTCTCAGATGGACAAGGCAGAGCTGGAGGTAGCCATGGAAAACCATTGGCCTTAATAGATGATGGAGAGAACAATGCCTTAAGCAGGAAAGTAAGAAAGTGAGCAAGAGAAACCCGATTGGCGTCCCTATACAAAGACAATTGGAAATCAGCCAAGGGAGATGCAAACCTTGAACTCACCAATGGGCAAAGTGAACAAAGTCTTGTCTGAGAAGGAGAAGGCAGAGATGGGGGCAGCCAAGGACAAATGTCAACCTTAACAGATGATGGAGAGAATGTAGCATTGATCAGGAAGTTTGAGAAAGTGAAGTGAAACTTGATTAATGTCTTGGGGAGACACAAGCCTTGAACTCACCAGTGGGTAATGTGAACAGCTGAGTCTTGTTTGGGAAGTAAAAGACAGACTCCAGGGTAGCCAAGGAAAGCTGGCAGTCTTCAATGCCCCAAGTTGCACTATACAAAGTAGCACCTCCACAAGATGGACTCTTGTCTGCGTGACTGACAGCCAACCCATACCAAGACAACTCTTGAAGGCTCCAAGCCTTTGAGAGCCATCAAGGGCACCAAGCCCCTGACACTTGGTAGGGGATGCACCAAGCATTCCCCTGGCATAGGATTGACAACAAGAGTGGAGAGTGGAGAGTAGAGAAGGGAAACAAGTGTGTGAACATGTCAACATTGTGTATGTTTTGTTACTAAGTATGCACCTATGACAATTAATTTGTTGGTATTTCCTCTGGGACTCTGGTTTGAATTGAATGCAGGGGCATTACAACATATGTTATATATTAGGTTCAGGCACCAATGAGCCTGCCCCACATGCATGAACCTGACAGCATACTGGTGGCATTGTAATGTTGCCATGGCACTGCCACCACCAAATAGTCCATGTGCACTGCCAGCAAATTTCTCATGCTAAGTCAGCTCTGACTTAATGCAGTAATGATCATGTGCTCACTGCACTTGTCACACTTCTTTTGCAAGCCCTTCAAACAATCCACACATCTTAATCCATGACCACCTTCATGCTACTGTCTAAGGTGAGTTCTTCTTTCTTCTTCTTTCTTTTTATCAATTCGTGTCATGGAGAGGAATGTTTGGCATGTTCCTCTGCCAGGATTCAAAGGGTTTGGTGCCCTTCGAGCACTGAGATAGGTTTGGTGCCTATCTCAGTAAACTTGGCATGCTTGTGGTACCAGTCATGTGGATGAGACTCCATTTCATGGAGGCACTACCTTGCATAGTGCAACTTGGGCCATTGAAGACTGTGTGCCTGGCATCTGTGCATGAAATCTTCATTGGGTGCAAGGTTCTTTATACTGTGTAGGTGCATGATCCACTTGTTTTCTCATTTATCTCCCCCTTGATGGTCTCACAGATACCAGCAATGCTAGTGTTATTGGAGGAACATTGGATGATGTGACTCCATGTCGTGACTGGTACTCCAACTCAGTGCCAGGGTGCACTTCAACAATTCTACTATAGCTGTATTGCTTTATTTATCTCTTCCCCCCTTCAAATGCCTCTTATCTCCTGGGTATGTTTTTATTGACCCTGTAGTGGAATCCATACTAAGACACTACATATTTCAGTTCTTATTTCATTTATAGGATTGATATGCCTCAAGAATGCACTCAACAGGTCATGGCAGCAACCCAACCAGGTGATGGGTGCACTCTATTATTTAACCTAATGTGGCTCATAACCAATGCATTCTCTTTCAGGGAATTATGGTACCTTTGACACATGCATTCTCATGAAATATAACAACCACTGGATCACCTCTCCTAATGCCAACTTCGTTCCCAAACCATTTCTCTTTGAGGGGAGGACAATCACACTCTGCCATGACAGCTGATTTGGCCACATCAACTGTTTCCAGTGGCCTCAACTATATGCCAAGTGCTATATGTGGGCCAGATGTATCCCTCAACATGCAGTCTATCAGGATGACCCGACATGGTCTTGGATGTGGTGGAACATCAGGAATGTGCTGGAAGACTTTGCCTTGGAGAGAGGATCAGCATTCAGGGTTGGTAGGGTTCATCTGGAAATCATGTATAAGTGACTAGAAGAGCAGGTGAAGAACTGGCCACCAAAGAACCCTGACAATGAGGGACCTCTCTGGGTGCACATATGGATTAGGCAATGTTGAAAGTCTCTCATGCATCTGAAGGTATGATATCTTGTTGTCTGATATTTCAATAGTTGACAATTCCATAGCAACTCCCATACACCTTCTGTGATACAGTGGTCCTAGTCATGCTCTTCCAATGTCTTTGTCTGGATATTTATGCTATGGTAGACTCCCTTGAGATAAAAATTACCCCCCCTTCTGGCCCATTTTTTAATGCAAAACAGTGTTGGATGGGTGCGTTTACCACAGATCCTGATGTCTGCAAGCAACTCTTTGATGCACACATCCCCATATGGCAAGTCTGGAAGCTGGAGTTAGTGCCAAAGGATATGAAGATACATCACAAGGTCAACATTACACACCTGGAGGGTATTATCACTACCCCAGATGAGTTCAAGGTTGGCCAAATGCTCAAGTGGAATGCTAGGTGGTATTACCCTGGTGATCCTATGCATGTCCACACCTGTGAAGCTCCAGTAGTGGGTCTTGAGCAATTTGCAGCACCTTGGCCAGACCCAATTCCTGCAGTGTTGACTTCCACAACCTCTGGCCCAGTGGCCTTGAATACTGCGAGTTCCAGCACACCCAGCTCCACCTCAGGAGTTGTCAGAATGGATAGGGCTAAACATCACAGTGGTCCATGTGGGTGTTTTGTTATTGATTGAGATCTTTATGCTTACAACCATCTGCTCAGATAATTCTGCAGGTTTGAAGAAGGCCAAGACTTCCACCACTCTGAACATTGACTTGCTGCAGGATTTTGATGATCCTGCCTTCCCTGCTCACATTTACTCATGGAACACTGTGCTTACTGATGTCAACAAGGACCCCAAGAGAATTCATGCTGGTGTGTCCAAAATCGTGTATTTTTTCCCTCACCCCATGCTATTTATGAGAGGCAAGTCCTTGGAGCAGCAGCAGAGGTACCTCTGGAATTGGTTGGTGGCCTGAGCAGGTTGGATCACATGACTCGCTGCTTCAGATGCATCCCCTGTCATTCCCCATTTGTGGTGTGATTATCTTAACACAATTCCTGACCGCATTTTGATCAGTTTTTTTGGGAACCAAATATGTGAAGCTGCTGATATCTTTGGTCCAGAGTTCATGAAGGTTCAGCATGATGTACCAAGTCATGTGCAGTTCTGCAATATTACAATTGATCTTGCAGACCTTGCTACCATTGACTCAGTAACAAAGGGCAAGATTCTCTGGGACCTGTATGAGCACAATTTCTGCTTCAAGCTGGTCACCCTGGACTGTCTGCTGGTGCCCACCCTCTGGTTGAGTGTGGAATCTGAGTGGCTGGACCAAGTCCATCAGGTAAGTTTTTGCCTTGCACCTCAAAATAATCCATTTACTGAATTTTTATGCAGATCTTCCTGGGAGCAGGGCTGGGGTTGGGTTGGTCAGGTAGACTGGGTTTGGGAAGACTGGTTAAGACTGGTGTGGCAGGGGGAGTCAATGGGGTTGGCATTCCTCCTGTAGATGTCCAGAAAGTTAGACTGCTCAGTACCCAATCAATCAACAGATTGTAGTGGGTGAGCCAGTCATGTCCAATGACTATCTTACATTCAGAATCCAATGGGGCTAAAAACAGGGTTACTGGGGTGACATTGCTGGTTGCAAACTGAACTGAAAGATCTACTGCTTGAGTGATGACAAAACTTGACAACCCATCAAAGAGCCAGAGTTGGATAGGAGACATGGGGTAAGGGGCAAATGAATGTTGATTAACAAATTCTTTATCTATGAAGCTATGTGTGGAACCAGAATCCACTAGTGTACAAAACCAGGGCAAATTGTGACTGACAATGGAAACATGGGGAGTTAATGAATTTGGATTAGAAAGAGTGGACACATTGAGATGAGCCTCCATGGGTGCACAGCCAGAGTCAATGCAGCTCTCAGTCTGTGCAGAGTCCTGAGAGCTGCTACCTATTTTTTTGCCTCAGGGGCAGAGCCCAAGGTTGAGGCTGGTGCTGCCTCAGAGGTGGCTGCAGTGTGAGCTTTGGCTTTCCTGAAAGCTCCCCCTATTGCCCTGATCAATGCAGCTGCATATGTATGCACTTGCGAACTAGAGGGATCTACCCAATTCCAACTTCATCTATGCCCACTGGACACAGCCCTGGCCCAGTCTACCTCTACCAGTCCTCCACTGGACCTGGCCAGTGTACCAAAGGACTACCATGACTTTGCTGACATCTTTAGCAAAGCCAAGGTGTCTACTCTTCCCCCACACCAGAGGTATGACCTTGAGATTGAATTGGAAGAGGGTACTAACACCACCCATTGGAACCATCTACTCACTGTCCCTGGTCAAGCTGCAAGCTCTCCAGGCCTTCATTGATTCATCTGGCCCACCTCTTCCCCCTACACTGCACCAGTCCTCTTCATAAAGAAGAAGGACAGTTCACTCCAGTTATGTGTTGACTTCCAGGGCCTTAACAAGCTCACCAAGAAAGACCAGTATCCTTTACCACTGATATCTGACCTACTAGACTCCCCTAGTTGTGCCAAAATTTACACTAAAATTGACTTGAGGCACACATACCACCTCATCCAGATTGCACCCAGTGATGAATGGAAAACAGCCTTTAGAACATGCTATGGGTCCTATGAGTAGTTGGTGATGCCTTTCAGTCTTACCAATGCCCAAGCTGCCTTTCAGCAGTTCATCAATTCAATCTTTGTGGATATGCTAGATGTCTGCATTGTCATCTACCTCAACAACATCTTAATCTATTCTGGAGATGAGTCCTCCTCACACAAGCAGCATGTCCAGGAGGTTCTTCACTGGCTCTGGTTGCATGGCCTGTATGCCAAACTGGAGAAATGCAAATTTCACTCAGACTCAGTGGAATATTTGGGTTACCACTTGTCCCTGGCTGGCCTTACCATATCCTCAGAAAAAGTCAAGGCTATCTGTGACTGGCCTGAGCCCCAGAAGGTAAAGGACATTCAGTCCTTCCTGGGTTTTGTCAATTTCTATCACCAGTTCATCTTTAACTACTCAGACATAGTGGTACCTTTAACCTGGTTGACACACAAAGGTGCTCCCTGGAATTTTTCTGAGGAGTGCTGCTGGTCTTTCAATAAACTCAAGCAGGCCTTCACTACTGCCCTGGTCCTATCTCATTTCTCCCCAGATGCTCCTATTACTGTCAAGACTGATGTGTCTGACTATGCCATAGCTGGTATTTTGTCCATCACCAGTGATGATGGTCAAATCCAGCTGGTCACATTCTATTCTCACACCTTAACAGCCCCAGAGTTAAACTATGACACTCATGATAAGGAATTGCTCATGATCTTTGTGGCATTCTGGACATGGTGGCACTACCTAGAAGGATCTGCAGTACTGGTTGATGTTGTCACCAATCACAAGAACCTGGAGTACTTCTCCACCTTGAAGGTTTTAACCTGGCACCAGGCATGCTGGTCTGAGTTTTTGTCACAGTTCAATATGGTTATCTGGTTCAGACCCAGTAAACTCAGTGCTAAGCCTGACACCCTAACTAGATGATGGGACATCTACCCCAAAGAAAGGGATAGTGACTGCACCTGGGTCAACCCGCAGAACCTCAGACTGGTCTTCATGCAGGAACAACTGGCCACCTCCCTGTGCACCACCTACCTTGAGTACCTGGTCCTATGTGCTGTTGCACTGATGGATGTGGAGAGGTTACACAATGATATCCTCTCAGCCCTACCCTCAGACCTGGTCACCCAAGTCTGGTTCTCAGATACATCAGATTCCCAGTGGTCAGTTGATGACACTGGCTTCCTCTGGCTAGATGGAAGAATCTATGTACTGGACTTTAATGACCTTTGCCTTCACATCTTGAGGTTCAAACATGACCACCCCTTGTCTGGCCACTTTGGCCAAAATAGAACCTTAGAACTCATCCAGCATGAATATACCTGGCCCAGCCTAAGGACATTTGTCAAAGACTATGTCCAGTCTTGTACTACCTGTGCCTGGGCCAAGGTACCCTGCCATCAGCCTTATGGCCTACTCAAACAACTCCCCAGTGCCAGAGAAGCCATGGAATTCCATCTTGATGGATTTCATAGAGCAACTCCTGGCCTCAACCAGCTTTACTGCCATCCTCATCATGGTCAACTGGCTTTCAAAGCAAGCCATTTTCATACCTACTCATGACACCATCACAGCCCCTGAGCTCACCAAGCTCTTCTTGATGCACATATTCTCCAAGCATGGTGTACCAGCCCATGTAACCTCAGACCGGGGATCAGAGTTCATATCTCACTTCTTCTGGTCTCTAGGTAAAGCTCTAGACATGCATCTACATTTCACCTCCAGGTATCACCCAGAGGGGGATGGTCAGACAGAGCACACCAACCAGACCCTCAAACAATATCTCCAGGTCTACTGTAACTACCAACAGGATAACTGGGCCAATTTACTACCATTGGCTGAATTTGCTTACAACAATGCACCCAGTGCTACAACTGGGGTATCACCCTTCTTCACTAATAAGGGTTGCCACCCTAATATCTCAGTCTTCCCAGAGCACAATCTCACATCCAACTGGGCTTGCAATTACACAGTCAACTTAGATTCACTGTGCCAATACCTTCATGAGGAAATGGCTCTTGCCCAGCAACATTACCAAGGACTGGCAGATGCTAAGCACATGCCAGCCCTGGACTTCAAAGTGGTTGACAGTGTCTATGTAAAAGCCAAGTACTTCCAGTCAACCCAGCCCTCCAAGAAGTTGAGCAAGATGAACCTTGGGCCCTACCCCATAATAGCCCAGGCCAGTTCTCACTCATTCACCCTATGCTTACCAGACTCTATGCATGCTGTACACCCAGTTTTTCATGTATCTCAACTTGAACTGGCCATCCCAAATACCATACCTAGCTGGACTCAACCTCCACCCCCACCAGTAGATGTCAATGGCAACTTAGAATTTGAAGTAGCAGAGATACTCGATTCAAAGGTTGACTGGCACAGGAAGTGTTGGTTGCAGTACCTGGTCTGGTGGACTAGTTATGAGGGAACTGACAAAGAAACCACCTGGGTACTAGCAACAGAGTTGGACAATGCCTCAGAACTAGTTCAAGAGTATCATGACCAGCACCCAGACAAACCTGGTCCTTTCAGGAAATAGTCTAGAACTGGTCTCAAGTTTCTTTTCTCCTTATCTGTTCCACCTTATCCCACAGTTACCTTATCTTGATTTCCCTTACTTTTCTTCTGTTTGTTTTCTCTTTCATACCTTAGAACCAGAACCAGGTGTTGGCATTCACAAGTGTACAGGAAGAACAACACTACACTATGTGCACACAATGTTAGACCTGGGACCCAGAACTGGCACCAGTCTGGTCACCTGACTCAGACCAGGACCAGCTTTCCTCTTCTTCCTCCCTCAGCCCTGCCAGCTCTTCATTGAGCCCCTTGGCATCCTGGTCCTCCTCATCAGTGGTGTCCCAGTCTGAGGGCACATCCAGCACCAAAAACTCAAGATGCTCCTCAACATAAGTCTCATAGGACCAGGTGAACTGGTAGAAACTCCTCAAGGCTTCCTTTTGGACCATGGCTTGGCCAGCGATGTTGTCAGTGATGCACTCCACTGCCTTGATCAGGTGCTCCATTTGGTCACCAGTCACTGGACCAGCCTTGACCCTGGCACTGGTCTTCTTTGTCAATGGCCCCTTGCCCATGTCTTCTTCCTCATCACCTGCACCCTCAAGTACCTTGGCAGATGGGTGCCTCAACCTCTTCTTCTTCTCCCTGGTGCAAGGGGAGGTCATGTCTGCTTTTCTCTTGCCCTTGTCCATGACCAGACTGGCACCTGTACTGGTCTCACCTTCAACCAGCCACTGGCAATGCTCCTTGAGCTCATTGCACTGGTTGCAGGCCAGGCATTTCTTCTTGCCATCAGTGTTGCACAGACAGGTTGTGTCCGTCCAGGCACAATGAAGACACCTGGGAGGTGGTCAGCCAGTCAGCCACCAGTCACTTGGTCATTACTCACCAGGGGTTCATCACCTCCATGTTTGACCTGGTCCCACTCAAACCACCCACTAAGGCATCCACCCACTGGCTCTCCTCTGCTTTTCTGGCTTCTTCAGCCTTGCATGCAGCCTCTATCCTCTGCACCTCTGCCTCTGCACATGCCCTCTCTTCTTCAAGCCAGGCCTGCTCTTGTCTCTCAGCCTCCAACCAGGCCTCCTCAGCCAGCCAGGCATCTTCCTGCACCTTTGCCTTATGCCTCTTGTGCTCAGCCAGCTTGCCCCAGATGGCCTGGTTGTCATTGTCACTGCCCACTTGCAGCTCTTCACTTGTCACCTGGGTCAGGTTGGGCAGCAGATCTTGGTCATATGGTGTTCTGACTGGTGAGTAGACATGTTGAAGTGAGAAACCAAACCTGAGGTGGACTGGTCTTAAGTCCACCAGTTTTCAAGGTCAGACACAAGGTTTTTGTTCTCAGCATTGTCCTCATTGGAGCCTCATGGGCTCAGCTCCAAGAGGGGGATACTGTCATGACTGTGCCCAGACCACCCTAGACCAGCTCTACACTGGTCTCAACTGGTCTCACCCAACCCTTTCCCCAGTCCTGGCCTTAACCCTTCAACCCAGAAACATGTTAGTTTGTGAGGCACTGCTAGGTAGTGCCCAATCAAGTTGTTCACTCAGTTAGTACCAGGCTGGTGTAATACCTGGCCCAGCCACTGGTCCTGCCCTGGTTCCTGGTAATCCTTTGTTCATAGTCTTGCTTGATAACATCAGTAGACCACTTTGTGAGCTGGTAGTCCTAGGGAATCTGTTCAGTGCTGGACAGCTCTGGACAGCTCTGGCCAGCAAAAGTGATTTACTGATGAATATTCTTTGTAACACTACTTACCAATCTGTTTACCAATCATCACTGTACTGGCACAGACTGGTCTCCAGTGCTATGTTACACTTAGGTTACTTCTAGTATTTAAGCCATAGGATAATCTGTTTTAGCCTCAGTCTGAAATCAACTTAGTCTTGTCATAACCCAGTCCCCTCTGTCCTCTGTCTCCTACCTCTCAACCAGACTATGGCCCACACAAGGGAATAGCACTGCACCTTCAGTCACTAAGTCCAACAGTCCAACCCCCTTAGTATCTCATATTATCCTCTGACCCCCAACCAGACTCTGGGCTGGCTTTGGACCAGTACAGACCTGGACTTAACAGCAGTGCTTGTCACTTTGGTTGTACTCTGCCTGGTCTTGTCCCTGGTCTGCCCTGTCCCAGTCTCCATTACCTCAGTCATACTTTACTAATACCATTCTTACCAATTACCTTGGCAATCCTTGCAAGACCAGCATTACTGGTCTCCATACTATAGTTCTGTCTCTGGTATATAAACCCATAGTTACTTGACCTGTATTCCCTCAGTCTGAAATCAATTAAGTTCTATCTGAAAACCCCCACCTTGGCCTCAGACTCAGACTGTGACCCATGCAAGGGAATAGTGCTGTGTCCTCAGTTGCCAAGTCCAATCAGTCCACCCCCTGTACATGTACCTCTTCCCCTGATCCCAACCCCTCAGCCTTGCACCTGCTTTGGTCTCCAGTCTGGTCTCAACCTGGACATCATGAACTTGACATCCTGTTTATGCCTCTTGACCAGACTACAGCCCATGCAAGGGAATAGTGCTGCTCCTCAGTTGCTAAGTCCAATTAGTCCAACCTTCTAGTATCTCATCTCCCCCCTGACCCCCAACTGGACTCTGGACCAGCTTTGGACTGGTGATGAACTGGACTTAACAACCTTGGTGAGGCATGGAGATGTGTCAAGAGGTTTGGAGGAGCATGGGAATGCATTGGAAGAGGGCAGAGAAAGGTTCCCAGGGTGTGGAGGAGGGTGGAGTAGATGTTAGGGGCTTATGCTGATGTCATGGTCATGACAACAGTAAGCAAAGGTCAGATGAGAGGACCAGACTAAATATCACACAAACATCAGAAAATAGACCAGAGTTATGTCTTGGGGACCCAGACATGGACCTGGGAGGACTGGGGTGGAGTAGTGCAAGGCCAAGAGGCCAGAGTGGACTGGAGATAGGGGTAAAGTTCCAGACTTGAGTTATCTACATTAGAGTTAGGGGTACTTAGGGCCAGAGTTGAATGATTTAAGCTGGAGTAGGTCCAGACTTGAACAGAGACAGGGGCTAGGGGTCCAGACTGGACCAAGCTTGAATCCAAGAGTCACATATGTGACATCAGGGCTCAGATGCAGGTGGGGCATAGATGTAGGATATACCAACCTGGTCACCAATTACTCATAACTTTACTTCCCTTCACTCCATATTGAAAATCAACATAAGCAACTGATTACTGATCTCCTTTCCTAATCTGTCTCCCCTTGCCCCGAATTGCCCACAACCCCCAATTTGCCTTCACCATGACCCTAGGATCAAAGTCTGCAACCTCCCACTTTTCACTTCCAAACACATTTATGCCAGGATTTATCACCCATTCGAATTCTCCTGCAACATTTGGAGCTATTTCCAAGGAGCGAACATCTCTTTCCATGTCTGCTGGCGAAAAACCGGTGACGATGATACTGCAACGACTTGTCAAAAGCACAGGAACAACTGGACCCCACTCTGTAGGCGATGCAATCTGCAGAAGAGGTGTACCATCGAGTTGTGACATTGACCTCATGGAGGGGAATCCAAATCCTGGTGAAAAGATGAAGAAAACATCGGCGTATGGGTCGAACGTCTCTGCAAAGTGCTGGTGAACCTCTGCGTAATTTGCTTGAATTCCCGTGATCGTGAGTTGCGAAGTGTAGGGAATTGTGTAAGACGGAAATCCGTAGAGCTGGATGGAGGAACGGGTACGTTTGAGCCGTGCTATTGGCTTTGGTGTCGGGGGCACGTAAATATTTGGAACGTATAGGGAGTGTGACTCGTTGCACTCCCCACGCAGCTCAGCTGTACCGCTCGCCGAGGACTTGGCATTCCGGGCAACAGCTTCATCCGCTGGTTTTGGAAGCGAAACTTGAGGTCCAATGAAAAAAAGGTGAAAATGGCATGAGGGGAACAGCATGGAGAGTTGCTCCCAAACATGAGGAGGCAATGAGGATTCTGCGCGTGCACCGAGGATGAAAACCCTTATTTGAGGTTTAGCAGCCCCTGCCTCCTCTGTGTCAGGAGCTCCGGGTGGCACATGAAGTGTTGTACGCAACGCTGCAAGATATCCTCATTCAGAATGGTGAACAAATACATGGATGAGGCTTACCAGCCAAAGACCTGCTGCCTTCAAGTGTGACACGGCGGTTGTTGAGTGTTAATCCACTGTTTTGATGGAGCACAGACCCTATAGTGAGAGGGTAGGTAAGTAACTTGCTAGCATGCCTCCTCGATCTTTCGGTGTCCATGGACGGGAAGCCGCGAGTGTACCAGAATAAGTCCCAATTGGCAAAGGAAATTGCTTCCTCGTACGCCTGCGGCCCTTTCCAAACCACAAGTGAACTTCGAGATGGCCCGGAATACCAGCCGCACGCACCTGGCAATTGAAATTCCCGCATCTTTCTCCCCCTCCTAAGGTCATGCTCATCTTCGTTCACTTCCCGTAGACGTGAACAATATTTCTTGTGTTCTTTGTCCACTTGCCAGTGTTCCTCCGAGCAATGTGACGGCCACCCGCAATCCGGACACTCGAATTTTACCCGCGATGGCAGCTCTCCAGCGTGCTTCGGGTGGGAAGTACAGACACTGCACAAAGCAAGGGACTGAATTGCTTCTCCTCTTGCACGGACTTCAGGAAAAGGCGACTTCGAGAAAGGATGAAACAGGTCGTTGTCACTGAGGACAGGAAGTGGCTCGGGCTTAGGCTTTGGATTCCGAAATATGTTGAGGAACGACCTATACTTCTCAGCGCCTGGGCGACCAATATTGTAAACAGGAAGGTGCCCGGAACGTCTGAGGGAGGGCAACCGCACTGAACGGGCGAACATTGAATATTGAACGATCGGCGTAATGCAAAGTTAAAATGTATTGTATCGGAGTCCGACGGTGGCGAGCCTAAAACGGGACGAGCAAGTCGAGTGTAGAGCTACATACATACGTAACTCATCAACACACCATGGCAAGCAGAACAGCATCGATCTCGAGAAACACCAACGAAACACAAATCACAGTCACCATCAATCTTGACTGCACTCCCGGGTCAGGCAACACTCAGACAATTGACATATCCACTGGTATAGGATTCCTCGACCATGTAAGCTATATGTTCATGGTCATGCTCCCAAGTCGTGATCCTACTCCCTACACAGATGTACCATGCCTTAGCTAAACATAGCGGGCTCTCTTTGACGATGAACTGTAAAGGTGACCTCTGGGTCGACGACCACCACACAGCAGATGAGTATCCATCATTTCCACACCAATAAATTACCCGTGCCGACACTTGGGTATTCACAGGACAGCGCGATCGCCCTTGGAACTGCCTTCAAGCAGGCACTCGGCGAAGTTCGTGGGATACGTCGTTACGGAACGGGTTTTGCTCCCCTTGATGAAGTGCGATGCAACTTTTCATCACTAGAATTGATACAAACCAACGACGTGGACTTAGGCACTATCGAGGGCGGTGATTGATATCTGCTCCCGTCCTTACTGTGTTACAGATCTCGGTTTGCGACGGGAAAAGATTGGCGACCTATCGACAGAGATGGTGCCCCACGTTTTTTACTCATTCGCAATGGCGGCTGGCGTTACTCTTCATGTTGACGTGCTTAGGGGAGAAAACGACCACCATCGGTATGAAAAACCTTACCCCTACATTACCAACCTTGCTCAGCAATTCCGTAGGTGTGAATCAGCTTTCAAGGCGCTTGCTTTGGCTATCAAACAAGCAATTGAACGTAATGGCGGCAATGATGTTCCTAGTACCAAGGGTGTTCTCTGATATCCACTAGCGTTTATCTTGACATAGAGCCTCAGAAGAGCCAAAGCCTTGCCTTCGCCGATAGTACGTCGAAAGCAGACGTTGACATATACAAAACGAGTACAAACCATTACAAAAGTGTCTGTATAGCGTCTGGGACGAACTCCCAAGTCATCAGGACCAAAATACGCATCTTTCTTCTTGTGGCGGATTCAACTGCAGGGTAAAGCGTCAGCACAACACCGTCAAGAGGTTAAAAATCATGTTCACCTTGGAGTTCTTGGAGCACTTGAAGGCCTTTGCGAACTCCGGGATGTTGTAAACGGTGCCATCCGTGCGGTACCGGTTTGGGGAATGCGGATCGGAACGAACCCTTTGCACCTATAAATCATAACACGTTTAGTCTTCACCAGTAAACGAACATAGCATACGCACAGCATCAGCATGCCTATTATTCATTGCCCATGTTTGAGCAAAGGATATGAAAAAGAGCTGATCTCTGCGCGTGTATTTGGTGAGTGCATGGGAAGGTAATAATAAAACAAGTCCTCAATACCTTGTGTATTTCAATCCTGGCAGAAGATACTCGTGTCCAGCGTCATACGAATCTTCGTATTGAGCTTTCCAAGCTCGATAGGCCTGCACGAGGCCAGAATCCCCGATATTCTCCCCGGCAGTCCTCCAATTGAAGTCAACAACCTGATCGTATCCCTTGACTCGTGAGAATACAAACTTACAAGTTGCCCTAGGGGCCCCAGGAGGGTTAGTGGGTAACTGGAAGGTGCAATTCTGGGAGTACTTACGTTGACATGCACAACGCCCCCTTTACCATCGTCCACAGTATATTCTGATCAATGACGTTAAGAGATTCACTGCAAGATCCGTCGACGTAAACCTTACTGGAGTACTGCGCGATAATGCAATCTTGCCGAATTTGATACGCGTCGCTAGTTTGGCGAGTCCACCATTCTTCGAGTTTACCTTGCTGATTGTAGAGGCGACCAGCAGAATCGAAAGCATGCTGTGGAAATAGGTGAGTCACATAGAAGTACAGCGCAAGGAACACGAACCGTAAGCTCGTGTGCGGCAACCATGCCAAACGATCCGTAGGAAAGGTAACCTGGCCTGATGTTTTGTTGAGTATATCAGATCAAGCGCGCCGCACCAAAGACCCACCAGCCATAAGAAAAGAAAGGTGGTTGCAGAATGCCCGCAGGGAACACGATCTATCAGACCGTAAGCATATTAGGGGATGCCGCGTGCCAGATCGTACGTACTTCGTTACCCGTTGGGTTGTAGTAGGCGTTCACAGTTGCCGGAGTCATTTCCCATTCGTCCAGGTTTCTTCGTTTGCCAAGCTTCTGCCACATCTTGTATACATCCGAAGCGCTTGTCAGTGAATGATATGTGAGTACATAGCTTAGTGGCCGAAGAAAAAAACTGACGCAGCACTCAGCATGTTCTCGAAGAAAGTATCCTCGTGAATCTTGACGAGTGTGTAGTAGCTTACAAGAGAACGAGGGTCCCGAGTGTCTGGTGAAAGAGGAAACCCGATTTTTCTGCGGATCGCTTCGGCCTTCTCCCGCGCCTTTCGAGCCGACTCCTCGTCCATCCAGTCGATGCGCTCCAGGGACCGCTCAAATGCATAAACGATGTCTAGTAGATAAGCCTTTTCTGACTACTACGATCGCAAAACTTCACTTACTGTGAATGACTTCAGACGCTTTTCCTCTTGAGTCTCCGGGGAATGTTGCATTAACGAAGTATCTTCCAGTGGCGAAACCCATAGCTGATTCGACCCTGCGCAAGCAGAACTCCGTCCTTTCACCTATTGCTCCAGGACGGAGACCGTCCAGGTTCTCTCGCAACTGCCTGACTGCCTTCCAAGCTTCAGTTGTTGTACCCAAATTAGGGGCGTACTCCAACGCAGCCCTGATAACGAGATACGCTTCAATGACATCCGGATGAGTGCGCTTCAGTATCTCAGACAGGGAAGAAGGATATGGCTTATATGTAACGATGACACGGCTGGGGAAGAAACGAGGGGTGAATGTGGCAAAATAGTCGGGGAAGTTTATTTGCGGTAGGGCAGCCTTTAGCGCGTTGATATTGGTGGGGTTATAGGTACCAAAAGGGTCTTGTTGCAACTTATCACTGGAGGAACGTGAGTGCTCGTACATGTCATGAAAGAAAGAGGACTCACAGATCCAAAGTTGCCTCTGCAATGTCACTCTCGAACCTAACAACTTGCTGTGAAAGCTCATGTGCTCGGAAGAACGGATCCTGTGTTGGCTTGCGATCATGGCCGTTGTTGCTATCATCTTCATCATCGTCCCACGGCGGCCATGGCCAAGGAGGCCAAACGCGCTCGCTATCTTCCAGTTCTTCTGCTTGAAGAATGACAGATGGTTGACTGGCATCTTCCGAGGTATTTACGATTTCATCATCACGAAGGGCGACCAGTAAGCGTTCGATCACATCCTGGTAGACACTGAGGACAGCTTGGTCCTTTATAGTACTCCTGAAGCCTCATAAGTCAATGCAGAACATGATGCCTGTCGTCCAAAGTACCTTTGAAGGGAGACCCAGGGTTGCTTGGCTGAACCACAGGGTCATTTCATTTGGATCGACGGCAGCATCACCATCCACATAGAACTCGAAGAGAGCGTCAACGCCTGGCATGGAAATAAAATAAACTGGCTACCGGTCGTATTAGAAATGATGCTCACCCCTGGAGTGCATGTATCCAAGCGCATTCGACAAACCAGATCTAGGGTTTGTGAGAACGTGATTTGAACTCTGCCCCCTGTATATTCTCCGTATATTGTTCACGAAGCGTTGCAAAGGAAGGTCGCCAAGGTAATCAAGCTTCACCTCGTCCATGCACGACGCATACAACCCACGTAGCTTAGAGAGTAGTTGGTCGTCCCAGGAATTGTCATAAGACTCGGTATCGACCTCGAGCACCTGTTGGATCACCTGCCAGTTCTTCTCCGCGAGCAGGGAGAAGGTACTGATGCTGCCTTTATCGCCCGGTACCGGATGCGTCGCGATCCAGCCACCGTCTGCGAGTGTGTTCAATGCGGTAAGTACATGGGAGACACGTGATTGACTTACTAGCGAAGTCATACAAGCTCTCGCAAGGATCATGGGAGGTATCAATGCCAGAAAGGATTGACTGCAGAGAGAATGATGCATTCAGGAGTCAAGCAGGATTCCTGGAGCCCTGGTCAGCGCAACTCCAGGAGGGACGCATCATCGTTCGCACCTTAGAAGGCGGGGATGGAGCTTCTGGGGGACCAGTGGGTTCGGGACCGACGATAACCGTGCGTGTCTTAGTGTCAGTGGTTGTGTACGTGGAGATAGAGGTATAAACAGCTGTAGTGGTTGCTGTCTTAGTCGCAGTCTCTGTGAGGGTTGTGATATCAAAAATAGTGGAAAAAGCGGTGGATACTGCAGTGGTGGTAGTTGCAGTGAACACGGTGGAAGCGCCGCGTGTAGTGGTACGTATGACGGTCTGAGTTTCTGTTTCGGTATGCGTACCATTACCTGGAGCAGGACCACCGCCACCGCCTCTCAGATTGAGTTTGTGCTGTGCACCAGCGAACAGCCCAATGAACACGGAGCTTATGAGAAGGAGGACGAGGACTTCGACTAGCAGAATCTTCGTAAGACTGGTGAGGGGCTCCTGCACCACGTCGGCCAAGCGATTCGAGACAGAGCGGTGTGGTGAGCGTCGCCCAGCACTACCCTCCCTATCTCTGTCTCCGTCGTGGTCGTGATTCCCATCGGCAATGAGAGGGGCAGCTTCTGCGAAGGAGTTGGAGGGAAGGCGAGATAAGTCATTAGGATGACTTACCGTGATCACTGGACGGTCCGGGGCTGCGTGGCTCGTTGCCAGTCATAACTGACGGCGATGAAAGTGTTTGGTACGGGTCGTTCCAGGGTGTGTACGAGTCCCTGCTGGCTTAAGTATTATATGCTGCGACACCGAAAGCGTGCCCGTCGTACGTTCTCCACGCGGCCCCAGAGAAGCGAACAGCAACAGCACCCTTTGCATAGCCGGTGAGTCACGTGGACATGACGCGTCATTAAGGGAATTTCAATTTGGGTACACTGATAATCAAGCCATGGTGTATCTGGCCCCTCCCCACCTCGCATCCGCGGCACGGCCGTCGTACGGGGAAGCGTATTCCAACATCCTAGCACGGCACCGGCGCTCCCCACTCACCTCCGCCTCATCCGTCATCCTTCTAGTGGCACCCGATGTCGATGCTCTCTGCGCAGCCAGGATGCTCGCTGAGCTCCTCTCTCAGGACGATGTCATGCACAGAATCATCCCCGTATCGGGCATCGCAGAGCTAGAAGCCATGAAAGATGAGCTGGCTACATACAACGAGGTGTGTCTGCAACCTCACATCTTCCCTTGGCTGATCCCATGTAGCTGCACACCCTCATCCTCTTCAACATGGGTGCCATCTTGGACTTGCCTTCCCCTACATGGTTTGGTGAATTCAGCACAAAGCTGACAGTTCACGTCATCGACTCTAATAGACCGCAGAACTTGGGCAGCCTGTTCGGTGGCGGTGACATCGGCGACCGCATTGTAATTTGGGACGATGGCGAGGCAGAAAACATGGAAGAAGAAAGGAAGGCTTGGGAAGCTCTAGAGGCAGGCATTCAATACATTCGCCGCTCCCCACATTTTGATAAATCGCCACAGTATGAACCAGATCCCGACTCTGACGAGGATTCTTTTTCCAGCTCAGAAGATGAAATGCCCTTCGACAGCCAAGATGATGTCAGCGAATCGTCCCGCAAACGCAAGCTTCCAATAGATAGCGCTCGTAGCAGGGCAAAACGGCAAAAGGTAAATGAACGACATCCTTCTGTTGGGTCTAATAGTCTCTCTATGTCCTCTTCTCCAGCCGAATCAAATGTCTCGAGATCAGCGATCACATTATCAATCAGTAGTAGACAAACATTACACCCGCGGGTCGTGGTACTCACAAAGCGCATCCGCTACCATATTCATCCTCGCCACAGTCCTCGAGCGCGCCGATCGTGATCTCTTATGGTATGTCCTCCTTCACATTTGTACAAAATGCTGCCATACCATTCAGGCTGGCTATTCTCGGCCTCACGTATCAGTACACGTCTTCTCGCATATCCCGCGATACTTACGAGAAGTTCCACTCCGTTTATCACGATGAAGTAATTCGCCTGAATCCCTTGCCACCAAGCACCAAAACCACTGCCGATGCCATCACTGCACTCAGCCCTGACGACCACTCCATACGTGCAACGGAAGAGTTCAGGTTCACTCTCTTCCGCCACTGGACACTATATGATGCCATGTTTCACTCAAGTTACGTGGCCGGCAAATTGGGTATTTGGAAGGAACGGGGCCGCAAACGTTTAACTGGTCTCCTTGCTAAAATGGGGTTAGTTGCTTGAAATACGTTCCAAAATCCCTCTCTGATCCTGCTGGACACTCCTAGTTTCTCGATCCCTCAGACCCAACAGCCATATACCCACATGGATCTCGACCTCAAGCACCAGCTCCGCGTGAAACTCGATGCTATTGCACCGGAATATGGCCTTGTTGAACTCACTTATCCATCCTTTATTCGTTGCTTTGGTTACCGTGCACCCCCACTTAGCGCAGCCGACGCGGTAGAAGCAATCAGTGCCTTACTCGACGTCGCAGGCGGGGTCCGGATAGAAGTGGAGGTAGAAGGCGCCAGGCATGGTGGAGAGTGGTTTGGAAGTGGACATGTGTGGAAAACAGGGCGACCTGATGTCAATGACTCTGCAAAAGTGCTGCCAGGCGAAAATGGTGGTGCTCACGGCGACGGAGGCGAAGATGGATCAGTTGCAGAGGAACGCACAGAGGTGCCCTGGTGGATGAAGAATTTCTGGGCGGCCTATGACGCACTCACCGAGTACGTACCCCTTACGATCTATAACAGGTAGACTTAACAACCCCGTGCAGCATTGTCTCTCTACGAGATGCTCTGTCCCTATCCATGTCCCTCCACCGTGCTATCATTCGCCAAGGGACAACGATAATCGATAAGCAGGACATCCGCACGATGCGATCGCACCGCGTAGTTGTTCTTTCGCAAGGACCCGATCTTGCCCTCTTCGCCCATCCCGGAGTTCTATCGCGTCTGGCATACTGGCTTATCGATGCCCTTCGAGACAAACTTCCAGGCACGAAGTTCACACATGGAAAGAAAAGTCTCCCGTTCATCCTGGCATGTTTAAACGAATCAACCTCGACATATATCGTCGTAGGCGTCATGGGTGCACTCGAGTTCGGAGATGTCAGGAAGAAGTGGGTGTTCGCTATTATACCAGTGTACGAGACTAAGATCACCACCGAATCAGTGAATTTGGTCTAGCATTCATCAATGCCAAGGATCGCTGCAACGCCCGCTCATCTCATAATTCATTTAACACAAGTGTACTCGAAGTTGACCGTGAAGATCTGAAAATGTTTCTGGAAGCCTTGTGTGAGGTTGGAGAAGGGTATTAGAGTGACTTTGAGACACACCGAGTTATGCCAACTTAGATGAGTATTTGTCCATGTAGTACGGAGCTACCTTAACTCCCCGGAACCCCAACTGATCGGGAGCCCAAAGTGATGCCTATTGTTGTCAGATGTGAGAATTGGGACCGTACTGGTAAAGAGCAATCACCCTTCAGAATGCCTCGAAAAGTAATCGTAGTCAATGTTCACTAGAATTATTAGATTTACACGAATGAATTGGAAAGATAATACTCACCGGCAGTAGCTAACACTGCCTTGCGGATGGTCTCATTCATACCAAGAAAAATATCCGATGTTAAACAACGCACCGCTCGCTCATCAAGTGTCAGATCTCTACCACGAGATCTACGTGGGGCTCGTATCAGTTCTCCGCGGATCGACAGTTCCTGCTCTTCAGGTGCGTTGAAGGAGACTGCATACTGGCCAGTATCCGTAAAGATCTGATACAAACAATCAGGACAACCATCAACTTAACCAAAGCGGACTTGCCTCTCTTCCAAATCCCCGAAAAGCGCGTTGGATAGTAGCCATTCCGTCTCCATCGCTATTCCTCAGAACAAAATTCCAGGCCAAAAGCCCCTCGTCAATCCGCGCGAACTGGTTGAACTGCTCTCCTGGGGATTCTGGCTCGGAATCCGTTGAGGATATGGGAGTGAGGACGCGGAGGGGTTTGGTTCTGATGTGCATAGATTACAGCTTCACGAAGATGTGAATACCGGAACAGCTTTTCACTCACTTGAGGAACAAATTGTATCTCCTTCTCCACAGATGCCATTCTTGCTGGACCTCTGCGAATATGTCGAGTACCGGTTGTCCGCTTGGTGGAGACAAGTCAGAGGGTGGGGAACGCTGGACAAACATGCGAGAATTGATCCACGCAAATGGCCGGCGAAGCTTTGCGGACATAAGCTACCGAAATGCATTTGTCAATTTTACATACCCAAAGAAGGGGAGAACCCTCTAAATCCATCACCAGTGCGCGGAATGGTCTATGAGTCCTGAATATTTGCCGAGAAAATACCGAAAGAAACCCGTGCGCTTCCTCTGCGATGTAGCCAAGCGGTTCACCTTCGACATTGGCTGCAAGGAACAGTCCTTTAAGTAACAAGTGGTTCAAAAATTCAGCAGTGCTCGTACATATAACATATTTGTTTGATTGCTCGAAACCAGCGAAAAAATGTTGAGCATCTCAAGTTGTCTGGTTCCAGAGTCGCGAACAGATCCCAACGCAACGCAGACGTAATATCTCACCTGGTAACTACGAGAGCATCGTTTGAGAGTAAGCGCTTCAGGCCGACTTCAGGATCACCTCCCATTCGACCCATAACGTTATCCCAAGGTTGAGCTTTGGTGCGCAGAGAACTCGTGTCTTCGTCAGAGCGCGAATCTTCTGGTTGAGAGATCTCTGACTCCTTCCGGGGCTTGCGGGTGGCGGACGATGATCTCCCGAAACCAGTTCTCCTTGCCGGAAAGCGAGAAATCGCGTACGTTCTTCGTAACGGGCGTATCCAAGTGTGTGGGAGGCCAGGTAGCCCAAGCGCAGAAACCAGCTGCTTTCCACAGGGACCTAACGGCATCTTGGGTGGACGAGATTTGACGGTGCCGCAAAGAAGTAACCTCAATAACAGGGCGTTCCACACCTTGGACCAGACCAACAAGGTTGCTAGCTTGCAGAGCTTTGCACGTTTGGACTACGCAAACTGGACCAGGACTTGCAGGGGCTGCTGACTCAGCACTCTTTATGTACCATGCAAGTTATCACCATTTTCCCAACATTCTACTCGTATCAAGTTGGCATTCTTCCGACTGCCTCACCTTTTGACTTGATGCAGGCGTGCTTGCATGGAAAATGGAGCAAGGGGTGCAACGAGAGTCAGTTATCGAAGTCACTCATTGTTTCACGAACATTCCAAGTAAATTATATAAGCACCTGGCAGTATATAACTATAGACAGTCTGTCGAAAGCACATTTATGTGCATTTTGCGAAACAGACCGGTGCCGGTGCCAGTTGCCCATTACTAAACCACAACCTCAACGATGCCTTGCTGTACGCGAAGAGGATGCGGAAAGGATTACGACCTCAGTCAGAACAACAACTCAAGCTGCACCTACCACCCAGGTGCTCCCGTGAGTGGTGTTCCCTACACATCATATCATTTCCGTCTGCAAGCTTCGTGGCTGATCGAGCTCCGTAGGTTTTCCACGAAGGTCTTAAATCGTGGTCTTGCTGCTCAACGGCGAACAAACCCGTTCTCGACTTTAATGAGTTCTTGAGTATACCTGTGTGTGGATCTTGGCTTCTCGACCCTGTAGTTCAATTCATTAACTTCAACCAGGGTTGTGCGGTCGGCGCGCACTCCGATGAAACACCAGAGAGCATAAGTCAGACCCACAAAGCACCGACACAGGGACAGTTGACTATGACGAAATCAAGCCAAGGGTCGGAAGTGTACTCTACATCGATTACAAAATCGGCTGCCAGACCAACGACCACCCCCGTTACTGCTACGCCGATCGACCCACCCGTACAAGAGGAGGACGATCTATCGGTATCTGTTGTCCCTGGTACAATTTGCAAGCGCAAGGGTTGTGGTGTGATCTTTGTGAGTGATCAAGAACACCGTACAGGTGATGGTGCGGGGACAGTCTGTATATACCATCCAGCACCGGTGGGTTCTATTCTTTAGTTGCCCGTATTACCACGAGCCCTTTCAGCTCATACACTCCTACTGTCTGATCTCAAATCTCCCAGCCCATCTTCAGAGAAGGCAGTAAGGTGAGTAACAGATTTCTTTTACCATTCCCACGTCGCAGACGTGTCGTGCTTAACCACCTTCGTAACTGTACGCATCTCAAAATCTAATTTCTACAGGGTTATCTGTGCTGCAAGCGGCGAGTCCTCGAGTTCGAGGAATTTCTCAAGATTGAGGGTTGTACCAAGGGACGTCATATTTTTGCTCCCAAGCAAGCAAGGCAGGAACTGGTGCGCTCCTGCGTTTTCTAAATTTTTGCTGGCCTATCAGCTGATGGTGGTGACTCTTTCTCTCTTTGCATTCACGGTCTCCTCAGGGTGATCAGTTCACCGAATGTCGCATAGACCATTATCAGACACCGAAAGAGGTGCACGTATCTGTGTTTGCGAAGCAAGCGGACAGGGACAGGAGCAGTATTATGATTGTAGAGACGCAGGTCAGTACCTGCGATTTGTTCAGTATGGAGCTGCTCACCAGCCATTGTCCAGGTCCACCTTGACTTGTTCCTCCCTGGCCAAAAGCGATTCAAGCGGACACTCAACTTATTTGGACCTGTTCTTCCCCAAGAATCATCCTACCAGTTCTATGGTACGAAGGTGGAAGTGCTATTAAAGAAATCAGATGGTCGTAGTTGGACGTTACTGGAGAAGACAACTCAAAATATTGGCAACATTAGTCTCACTTTTGGTGTTGGAGGCAGGACAGGTACAATTGGCGGGAAGCAAATCATCCTTGATGAGCAGAACGCTGCGAATCGGCGGGCATAGAGTCGTGCATCATGACCTGTACCACCTTAGACAGTGCAATATAGCACTTCCTTTGGGAACAAAAATATGCTTGCAGGCTATGTAGTCGAAGCGGGAAGAAATGGCTCCAAGCTTCGCGAGAGTTTGCATGTACTTCCGTCTTCCAGAATCATGGCACGGCTGCTGCGCATGGCTTGAGAATACTTTGTGTATACGAGGGTTTCGTTGCGCGACTAGTCAAGGTATGAATAATGGAAAGTAATGCAAGGAACGACAAATGTGCGTGTGGTGGATGTGGCTAGTACATATACTAGTAGGTGCACCAGGAAAAGTTCAGAGGAGTTCACAAGGTACATCACGGATTTTGAAAGTGTCCAACGTTCGAACCCGAGTATCTGCACCACCTTATAAAGAAACCAAGAGTCCAGTCCTAACAAGCCAAAAAGAATGCGGAACAAGATAGGTAAGTATAAGGGATTAAAGCGCGAGTGTTTCTGAGGTATGACGCCGCCATAGGTGTAAAGAATATCGGCCTACTAGTGCGCTAGGAGTGAACGTAGGGTAGGGAGCACATGTTCGATAGGCAAGGACTGCCCAAGCGTACAACGCCGCTCACAGAACAGACAAAAAGCGCTTACATCCTTGAGGGGAATGGGGTAACACGTGGTTGGAGAATTGCGCGAGCCGCTGCGGCACTACTGCACAGAGGGGAAGGGGGAGCCGCGCTTGGGCCGATCCAGGGGTTGAGATAGCTGCAGGTTGCAATCCCAATCATTTCTCCAGCAGTGTCGGAGGGGTTATTCCACCCATTTCCTGCGCTCGCCGTCTGGACGGATTTCGCGGAAGTGACTGTGAAAGTGGGCGGAGGAAGCGTGGCAACAGTGCCCGTGGGTGTGTACGAAGGCAGGGACGTAATCGCACCGGCATTACTGATAGTGGCAGGAGGCCACGAATACTCTGAGCTGACAGAAGCGGCAATTTGACCCGCACCTGCACCACCTGTTTGCCATGCTTGAAGGGGTGGGCTCCAGATGTTTTGGTTTGCGCATGTGCCGGAAGCCACACGTGGATCCGTAGGCATCCATCCATTCTGCAATCCAAGCTGATACGACCACTGGGGAGCTTCCACGATACCTGTAGTTGAGGAATTGCCAATTTTCCAAGTCCAGAAAAACCAATTCTAATACCAAGTTAATCGACAGTATACCCACCAATAACGAGCAACCAACCTGCAGGGCATCCATACTTGCAAGAGCGAAGTTCGAGATATCTTGCTTCATTGTCGCATTCCAGTTCTGCCAGTCAGTCCAGGGTGTGCAGTTACCAACCACGGGCCAATCTCCGGGATATGTTCCCTCATAACGAGTACCGAGACCCACACCATTAACCCACAACCCACAGTCGGTAACAGCATTGCTCCATTCACCGGCTGCCGTCATCCCAAAGGCCGACATGGAAGTATTGAAGCCCGCAGACCAAGAATCGCAAGGTGTTTGAGCATAACTGGACATCGGGGCAGAGGACTGCGTAGAGAAGCAAAGGTAGGGGTGATCGTCCAACGCAGTTCGATCGGCATTGGGAAGGAAACCAGCCCACTGGTTAAGCCCCAGGAAACCGTCATGGAAGGAGATGAATGGTCCATTTCCTTCACCGATTCCCGAGGCTCCACGTACGTATTGATAAGCCTGGAGGTAACTGGAATATGTTGAGCAAGCGTGAATTCCCCCCTGATCACCATTAACTTACTATCTAGAGAGTTGTTCTTGGCCCATGGTAGGAGCCTCGGGTTCGTTTGTAATGCCGAACATGACGACGACGTCCCGATACTCAGGTTGGGATATGAACTCGGCAATAATGCGGATATAATCAAGAGAGCGTTGAGCGTTCGCGAGGCCCATAGGTCCGTTGAGTACGTTTATTGAGCCCAGCTTGCCGGAGTGATTCCAGCCATTCTGGCTGCCGGGAAGAGCGTGGAAATCAAGGTTTATGCGTAACCCATACTTGCGAGCCCACTGGATGGCTTTGAGGAAGTAGCTATTATGGCGTAGCTGAGACTATAACCGGATCGATTACGCCAAGTAAACTCACGTCCAAGAAGTCTTTGGGAGGAAAGGCTCCCCTTCGCGCGTCTCGATCGCCCAGTAGGGCAACGGTATACGGACAAAGTTAAGGCCGGCCCCTGCAATTTCTGCAAAATCCTGCTCGGTCTGGCAAAGAGGAATTTCAGGCACGACAAAGCACAGCCTCGATCGACTCACGATGAAAGTCTCATAGTGTGTCACCAACTGAGAAAGACCTCCGTTAGCAGTATCAGCTGCCATGGCCTCACTTAGTGTCCACTCGTCTACGGCCTGAGGTGTGGTGCTTTGGTATTTCTCGTAAAGAGCAGGCACACTATGGCCGTGTTAGTATGACTGCGCGGACTTGGCTAAAAAAAGACTCGCATGAACTACGAAATGAATGATCAGGGCCTAACTATAAAGGGAAAGGGACAAATATAACTGACAGGTTCAGTGGTCAGCCAGCCACCCAAATTAACACTGGGAAAAGACAAGGTCAGGTAGACGAAATCCAGCCGCACGTAAGAACAAACCCAAAGATTCTGTCAACGCCAAACTGGAAGGTTTGATTGAGCGGTGGAGTCCACGACTGCGCCTGCGCATTGTTGTTGAACGGATCATTTGGGTCCCAGTACCAGAAACCGCCAAAAGGGTTGGTGTAAATGAAAGTAGTGCCATCTTCGGTAGTGATTTTGCTGCCGTTCCCACCAGTTACTGCCGAGGGAGATCCGGTACCCGAAGTCGAAGAAGGACTAGCAGGATTGGAGGACCCGGTAGAAGAAGCCGCAGCATCCGATTTTGGTTTTACAACGGTGAAATATACAGGAACGACGACGGCGATGGCGACAATAACAGCTGCTAGCGCAGCACCGGCGATAAGCAGCTTGCGCTTGGATTTGGCGGCGGGAGCGGCATAAGCGGCGCGCTTCTCAGAAAGATAGAGAGGAGACTGAGCACCATCGCCGGGACCTTGCTCGCCATCGGGACCACTGTCATAGAGAGGCTGACCCGAATGGGCATTAAGTGCATAGACAGAGGAACCTTGTGCAGAAGGAGCGGCACTGGCAGAAGTGTTCTGGGAAGCGTAGGAAATACGGTTCAGATCATCACCCTGGTAGAGAGCAGCAGCGAGGAACCGAGGGGATGGCATATTGGTGATAGGGTTGTCCACATAGCTAGTTCTGTCAGGAGTTGGGGTACTGGGGCCAGACGGTTGTAGGGAAGGAGAGTCTTGGAAGACGGACGATCTTGGGAATTCTGAGAGGGGAAGGGGTTCGTAGGGAATGTTTGGGGAGTTGGCGCTGTTCGGTGCCATAGTGGGAGAGTTGGGGCTAGAGTGTACGACGACCTGAGGGATGCCCGCATCAGTAGGGGGAAGATCAGCCATGGTAGGGGGGCCAAAGTTCAGCCACGAAATAGCAGAATTCCGGTGTGTTGGAATAAATAGCACGGTAAGCGAAAAACGCCGTAAAGACCAAGGCATTCCATGCCACGCAATGATGATCAAGGTAGGTAAATTTAACATCAGGAGATAGGTGGAGTACCGCTGTCACTTACCAAAAAAAAAGATGGAAAAAAATAGGCTGATGGCGGCCTGACACGACCGGCCAGGTGTAGACTACTGAAACAGCAAGAAACGGAGATGATAAGGAATGACGGGCGAGGTGGCAAGAGAAAGACGAGCAGAAGTCATATTGCGGGCATGTGACTCGCGTGACCACAACGTGACCAGCCGTGTCCCGACCACAAGACTGCGCCTTGACAGGCCTTGGCGTGAGTCCCCCAGGGCACCGATTGGTCTATGGACTATGGACCTGCAAGTCCCGTCCCAGGAACTTCCTCGACACCCTTGGCAGGTCTGTTTTCAGGGATTTCGTATTCCAGTCATGCCATGACCCACACCCCATATATCCATGCTTCCCCACGGCCTGTCCCCTCGGAGCCTCGGGTGCAGTATTGTACAAACTGAACAAGGTGGCTGCCTTCTTCTGGTCACGTGACAGCACGTGCCGCAGCATGCGCGACGCGGGTGTCGTCCGTTGACTGACATCATCATCGCCGTACCGTAATGACGACAGTCATCAAGCGCACCTACTCTGCCCGGTCGAAACCCACGCCGGCCTTATCTTCGCCCTCTACAAATAAAAGAAAGGCCCGCGACGACGAAAACGATGGCTCTCTATTTACTCAAAAGAAGAAGCAGCGATGTGCTTCGATCCCCTCCAAGCCGAAAACACTAGCGACCTCACGCCCACTGAAACCTTCACAACAGAAGACGCTGACACAACTACACTTTGTCCTCGATTCGTCCGTGCTGCGTGCATGCACCCTCTGCGGGCTCTCGTATACCAGAGGTACTCCAGACGACGAAGCACTCCACCGCTCCCATTGTGGACGCGTTCAAAGGGGGATGGAATGGGGGAGAGAAGAAGAAAAAGAGTCCTTCAAAGCAGGCGTCGTCGAGGTTTCTGCAAATGTCAGGATTAAAAACGGCATCTGTGGCCGCATCATATGCTTTCCTACCAACGTCGGTGGCAAAATCGGATCAAAGGTTCGTCGCCGTATCCACCAGTTCTGCTGCCGTCTTGAAATCACTGACGCGCCTGTGCGGCATGACAGCTTGCCAACTTGCTCGAAACGATTAACCTAGCGCTCACATCACCACCCCTGGCGGAGTCCGTCCTCGACAACTCCAAAGCTTATCTCTTCCTCATCCCTTCCCAGACGAACTCTTACAGAGAGAAGATCGTTGGATGTGTCGTCGCTCAGCGTATATCCACGGCGATGACCATTGCATCACCGGAGGAAACCGCCTTCGCGCGTACACACGTCGGCAGTAATGATAATTCTCCGGAGATCTCCCCGAAATCATTGGTGACCAAACCAATGACATCGCTTGTTGCCGTCGACGTGGCCTCTGGATTGTTTTGTCATCCAACGGCGCTGCCGACACCCCTTGGTGTACCACGTCTATTCGTCTCATCCTCGCATCGACGACAAGGCATCGCAACACGGTTACTAACTGCCGCGGCGGAGACATTCATTCACGGTTGTCCACTCGACCCGCTGAAGGGTGAAGTTGCGTTCACTCAACCGACAGAAGGAGGAAATGCAGTCATGAAGAGCTGGGGAAAGGGGTTCGTAAGGATTTACCAAGAGTGAATGTATTGCCACGCCATATAATCCAAGTAGTTTTCATTTCGAAACACACAATTTGGCACCATAGGCAGAGCACCCCGAGTCGTTGCAGTCGTGTTCATCTCCATCAATCATCCAAGAGTATCAAGATTGTACTGAGCGATAATGCTCGATTGAAACTTGTCTATGCACACAATTGCACGTCTGTGTAACCAAAATACACGTGTGGAATACATATATATATATGATGCTTGTATGAGCTTGACATACGCGGTTTCTCAAGCCTCCACTTTAACGACTTTCGTGGGAGGGGGGGCGAAGGTCTGTAAAGAGCTACGGGGTGAGTTCACGTGAAACCCCTTGGACAGTGAGATCATACCCTAGTCTTGATCCCTCCTGCGCTGGGCAATCTTGTAGATCCACCCATAAGCCAAGCATCCACTTCCGCGGCCGCACCGCGTCCCTCGCTGTTAAGTGATTAGAACCGTCACGTATTGCATGACAAACAATGTATTTACTGGATCCCCCATACGATAAGCGATTGTCCGCGACGACAATCTCCGGCCGCGAAGACACCATCAACACCCGTAGAGTATTTCTGTTAAAGGTGGCTCAGCGGCTGCTTGCGCACGAAATGGGAACCAATGCGCTCATACCTTGGGAGGGGTTTGAATATTCGATCGAGCATCCTGCTTCAAATCCAATGCTTTGACAACTTCCGTCTGTGGTCCGAGGAAACCAAGAGCCAAGAAGACCAACTGAGCAGGGAAGAACTTCTCCGAGCCGGGGACCTCTTCCATCTTCCATCGTCCTCCGCTATCCTTCGCCCACTCAACGCGAACTGATAACACGACCAGTGAACAAGGTGTAACGGTCTAAAATCGTCAGTCAACCCACCTGTATTTACGCCTTTGAGCTTTCCGTCGTCATCTATTACGAACTCCTTCGTGGAGATGGAATATTCCCGAGGATCTGGCCGATGCTTAACCCTATATTACAAATGTCAATGCAGACCACTCACCCTGCCCAAAGTGTGCGGCAACTTCTGTGTGACCATAATCGGTCCTAAAGATTCTAGAGCGAAGTTAAATAATTACCCATGACATTTCACAGCAGCACGCACCGGGGCCATTGAGGCCAAGGATTATCCCTACCACGCGACCCAGGAGGCTTGGGAAGTAGCTCAAAGTTCGTGACGGACTTCGCTCCGTGTCTCATGGCAGTCCCGATGCAATCGTTGCCAGTATCACCACCCCCAATAACGATCACATCCTTGCCTCGAGCATTTATGTAATTACCGCCTTGCAACTCGGAGTCAAGAAGGGACTTGGTGTTCAACTACACGTGTGTCAGGGAATTCATTACTACAAGTAAAACCAGTGGTCCGAACCTGAAGATACTCCATAGCAAAGTGAATGCCGTCTGCGTTGCGGTTTGGAATCTTGAGATCTCGCGGCCATGTCGCACCGGTACAAACCACCACCGCGTCGTGTTCGGCCCGGAGTGCCGCTGCGTCCACATTGACGCCCACATGAGCATTTGGAACGAAAGTCTGCATAATCGTCAAATCGTCGCCTAAACGTGTAGTGAAATCTTACGATTCCCTCGGCTTGCATCAGATCTAGGCGACGCTGAACTACGCTCTTGTCTAGCTTCATGCTACAGCAGAGTCAATCAAAGAAGACACATCAAACGCGACACTTACTTTGGGATACCGTACATAAGAAGTCCTCCCATCCGATCGTTGCGGTCATAAACTGTGACTAGATAGCCAGCCTTGTTCAACTGATCAGCACAGGCGAGGCCAGCAGGGCCGGATCCAATTATAGCCACTTTCTTTCCCGTGCGGAAGGTGGGTGGGTCAGGAGCCATCCAGCCCATCTCGTACGCCTGAGCAACAAATCTATTGGTCAAATCAACCTGTATTTTGTGTGAAAGCGCACCTTGTCAATGATCGCACGCTCAATGCTTTTAATGCCGACAGGTTGCTCGTTGATCCCTAAAACGCATGCGCCCTCGCATGGAGCAGGGCATACACGACCCGTGAATTCCGGGAAGTTATTTGTCAAGAGCAACCTGTTTAACGCATCTCGCCATTGACCCTTGAAGACCAAGTCATTCCACTTAGGTATGACGTTCGAAATGGGACAACCCGTGTCCGACTGACAAAACGGTACGCCGCAGTCCATACAGCGAGCAGATTGGTACTGAAGTTCGCTTTCGGTGAGCCGAGTGGAAATTTCTTTCCAATCCTTGGTGCGTTTGCGAGGAGGTCTATACGGTTCATTCAACCGTTGGTACTTCATGAACCCACGCATTTTGTCCAGTTTATGGAGGCGTTGCTTTGTCGCTGAATCATCGACCAGCGAGTCCTCCATATCACTAACAGCAGGCTCGTGGCGCTTGGTAACTGCAGGAGGAGCAGGTTCCTTGGGGAGTAAAATGTCTTCAAGGCCTTCGGAAGCGAGGTCCACCTGGCTCGCCGTTCGCGATGGAACAAGGTCGATAAAGCTATTTCGCATTTTCTCTTCCTTCTCCTTGGCGGCTTGCTCTTCGAGAACACGCTTGTAATCCAATGGCATGACACGGACGAATAACGGAAGTAAGTGGTGGAAGTCGTGAAGAACGCGGTCCGCAACCTCAGATCCCGTGTAGTGCCGATGATCCTCAATAAGTCCCCTGAGAGCAGCGATTTCCTTAGGATCAGTAACCTTCCCGAGCTCTACCATCTCCATGTTGACCTTGGAAGTAAACGTGTGAGCAGTGTCGAGAACGTAGGCAATACCGCCACTCATGCCGGCCGCAAAGTTCCGACCTGTGGTACCAAGGACGACAACACGACCTCCAGTCATGTATTCGCAGCCGTGATCGCCGGTGCCCTCGACAACGGCGTTAGCACCTGAATTACGAACAGCAAAACGTTCGGCGGCAATGCCTCGGATAAATACTTCACCAGAAGTAGCACCGTACAAGCAGACGTTACCGACGATGATGTTCTCTTCAGCTTTGAACGTGGATTGCTTCGGAGGATACACAATGAGACGGCCTCCGGACAAGCCCTTTCCGACGTAATCATTGGCATCACCCTCAAGTTCAATGGTGATACCCGGAGCGAGGAAGGCTCCACACGATTGGCCAGCAGATCCACGCATGCCGATATGAATGGTGTCTCTCGGTAAGCCCTCTTCCCCATACAACCTGGAAACACGGTGAGACAGTGATGTTCCTAGGGCACGGTCGGTGTTGGTAACATCACATTCGATGTGAACCGGTAAACCCTGCGTTAGAGCAGCCTCGGATTCATCGATGAATTTGTTGTCAAGACGGATATAGAGTTTGTGATCTTGTTGGCGAACACGGTAAGTGGCGGCACCTGGCCTCATCTGCCATGCGGGTTTCAGAACTGCGGAGAGATCCAAGTGCGCGGTCTTGGACGTTCGAAGTTTTTCGTCTACTTTGAGCATGTCAGCACGGCCAACCATTTCGTTGATGGTTCGGAAGCCGAGCTTTGCCATAAATCTGCGAAGGTCTTCGGCGAGGTAGTAGAAGAAATTGATGACTTGCTCTGGCTGCCCCGAAAACTTGGCACGCAGCTGGGGATCTTGTGTTGCAATGCCGACTGGGCAGGTGTTTACTAAAAGAACTTGTCAAGGCGACACATTTACAAGTTGACGTGAAAGTTGGGCTCACAATGACATTTACGCATCATGATGCAACCCATGGCAATGAGTGGCGTAGTTGCAAAACCCCACTCCTCGGCACCTAAGAGACAGGCAATAGCAATATCACGGCCAGTTCGAAGCTGACCATCGGTTTGGACAGTGACACGTCCGCGGAGGTCATTCAGTACGAGGGTTTGATGCGTTTCAGCGAGACCAAGCTCCCACGGTAACCCCGCGTATTTGATGCTGGTCCAGCGTGACGCACCAGTACCACCATCATGGCCGGAAATAAGAATGTGATCCGCCTTTGCCTTGGCGACACCGCTGGCCACAATGCCGACGCCAACCTCCGAGACCAACTTCACAGACACACGTGCACGGGGATTGGAGCATTTCAAATCGTAAATGAGTTGCTTAAGGTCCTCGATAGAGTAGATGTCGTGGTGTGGGGGAGGCGAGATTAAACCAACACCAGCAGTAGAGTGACGCGTGCGAGCAATGGATACTGAGACCTTGTGACCTGGCAGCTCGCCACCCTCTCCTGGCTTAGCGCCCTGAGCCATTTTGATTTGAAGTTCATCCGCGTCGGCCAGATAGTTAGATGTAACGCCGAAACGACCTGATGCAACCTGCTTGATCGCTGATCTCATAGTATCACCGTTGGGCAGCACCTGAGATCGCTCCGCATCTTCTCCTCCTTCACCCGTGTTCGATTTCCCGCCAAGTCTGTTCATGGCGATCGCCAGGGTAGAGTGAGCTTCCATTGAGATAGATCCGTAAGACATGGCGCCCGTGACAAAACGCCGAACAATCTCATTCCAAGGCTCGACTTGCTCGATTGGAATCGGTGTGGCATTCTCGTAGCGGAAATCAAGGAGGCCGCGGAGATGTATGCTTTTCGTTTGCTCGTTGGCATTAAGAGCATACGCATCATATGCTGTTTGATTCTTTTCCCGTACGGCATCTTGCAGGCTCGCAATACCAGCTGGGTCATTAATATGGGCTTCACCACCGTCACGCCAGTGATATTCACCAGACTCGGGCATTCCAGGGGGTAAGATCGTTTCCCGCGAGGGCCAGCCACGTTCATGCAGCTCGAATGCGTCGAGAGCCAACAAATCAAACGTAGCACCCTGGACACGAGATGCAGTTCCAATGAAGCACCGCTCCACAACCTCGCTGTGGAGGCCGAGAATTTCAAAAATTTGTGCGCCTTTGTAGGACTGTAGCGTCGATATACCCATCTTTGACATGACCTTGAGGATTCCATTGTCAATTGAACGACAATACTGAGTGATTAATTCGTCGACAGTCTTGTTACCCTTGATTCTGTGGTGGTATGTCAATTTTACAGCCGTAAATCGAAGTCGTGCGTAATGCTTACAAATTTTCCCGAGCAATCTTGCGTATAGTCTCCATCATCAACCATGGGCAAACGGCATCTGCGCCGTATCCAACGAGGACACAAAGGTGGTGAACCTCCCGCGCCTCGCCCGTCTCGACCATCAGAGCGACCTTGGCGCGCATCTTTTGAAGCGTTAGATGGTGGTGGACGCCACCGCACGCTGCGAGTGCCGAAAGGGGGACGCGAGTGGGACCTGTCGCGCGATCGGACAAGATGATAACTTTCACGCCATCTTCAATGGCCTGCGCGGCCTCGCTGCATACACGCTGTAAAGCAAGTTGATAACCTGGGAGACCTTCTTCTTTCGGGAATGTAATGTCGATGGTAATAGAAGGCCAGGCGGGATACGCGTGTTTGAGGTTCTTCATCGCATTCATTTCCTCGATAGTGAGTAAAGGTGAAGGCAAGAGGATTCTGTGGCACTGCTCTGGCTTCATCTCCAACAGGTTACCCTCGGGTCCGACGTAAGTCTCGAGCGACATGACGATGCTCTCTCGAATAGGATCGATGGGTGGGTTTGTGACCTGAGCAAAAAGCTGACGGAAATACTCGTACATGAGACGAGGCTGCGTCGCCATTGCGGCCAGTGGAGCGTCGTTCCCCATCGACCCCAGCGCCTCCTTGCCGTTTTCAACCATGGGTAGCATGAGCAAGTTGAGCTGCTCGACCGTGTAGCCAAAGGTTAGCAGCTTAGGATCCGTGCTCAGGGTCGTATCGTCAATGACGGCTTCAATCGAAACGTTACTGCGTATCACACGCTTGACAATATTAGGGACGTGCAATACGTGAGCTTCAACCCACGACGCAAAGTTTCGCTTAGCCGCCGTGGCCCGTTTTAATTCCTTGTCATCCACGATCCTGCCTTCGAGTGTGTCCACAAGAAGCATGCGGCCAGGTTTGAGACGACCCTTTTGCACGACTTTCTCCGGGGGAATGAAAACGGCGCCAACCTCAGAGGCACATACCATGATGTCTTCACTGGTAACGACAAAACGGCATGGCCTTAGACCGTTGCGATCGAGGTTGGCGCCACAGTAGCGGCCATCACTGAAAGTGAACAAAGCTGGGCCATCCCAAGGCTCCTGCAGACAAGCAGCCCAGTTATAGAAAGCCTTCTTCTCGGGTTCCATATGCTCGTTGCCTTGCCATGCTTCAGGGATGAGCATCATAACCGCCTCCGGCAATGTGACGACACCGTTGACGACGAGCAATTCGAGTACGTTGTCAAAGGCAGCGGAGTCAGAACCTCCTGTCTCAATGATAGGGTACAGAAGATCGAGTTGGTCGCCGAAATTGGTGGAGGAGATAACGCCTTCACGAGCGCGCATCCAATTTTTGTTACCACGAAGGGTGTTGATCTCACCTAAACCCCAAGGTCAGAGCTTACCTGATACCCGTGGCTGAGTCACTAACCATTGTGCGCTGCCCACCTCAATGGTTGAGCACGATCCCAGGAAGGGAAAGTATTTGTGGAGAATCGCGAATGCACCAAAGTAAAGTGGGAACAGTACAAGACGTGATTGAGATCATGGTAGTAATTGTATACTTGGGGAGGAGAAAGCTGCCCCTTATACACAATGTTCTTCGACGACAGAGAGCAAACATAGAAGCCTTTCGAGAGGGTACTTTATACACAAAGGAATCCAAGCGGTGTTGAGCGCAGTCCATCACTATAGATAATAGAAAAGGACAAACATGGTATGGGTTGCGTGCTTTCGCAAAACGTATAGCTGGCGCTCAAAGTGTTTAGCGTCGAAAGGGCCATTCTGAGGCGTGGTACTGTCACCGTAGTGTGATTGAAGGACGACAAATGGTTGAAAGATCTCAGGTTCTTTGCTGCTTGCGGCCGGACCCAATATAGAGCCGTCGGTCGGCACTTGACGCCAGCCGAGAACGCGGAGACCAAGGCTATTCGCGATGTTGGAGAAGGTGGTCTGGGAACTCTGGAGCAACGGAAGATCTCCTTTCCTGAAGAAGACGTTGCCAACAGCGTACTCTCCCACTTCTGGGAGGACACATCCTATATCCCTCTCGGCTTCTCGTTTAAAGAATAAATGAGGGATGCTGGTCATGACGCCAGCACCGTCGCCGTCACGGCTGTCGGCACCGACCGCACCACGATGAGTCATGGCGCAGAGCAGCTGACGAGCGTCCGAGACGATTTTATGGTTACGTTCGCCTTTGATATGACAGATAAAACCGACACCGCAGGCATCTTTCTCGTACTCCGAGAGATAAAGCCCCTGGTTGGCTGGCAAGGAATGATCCCAAGACGTGGCGTCGCGCTCAACGGCATGGAAGCCATTGTTGGCTGAGGACTCTTCAGCGAAAGGCAGTTGGTTCTGACACTGACCGTTGGGAGATTCTGTGATAGATATTGCCATAGAACAATGGGACGAAATGATGGTCGGTGAGGATGAAAGACGAAAAGCGCAGAGAAAAATGATTGGGATAATATATAGGGCGAGCGGAGATGGCAATCAAGTGACATTTCTCCCAATCAAAAGGGGAAGGTGCCGTCACACACCGATGTTACCCGCGGCCGATGTCTGGGGAAATGCCGTCACACTCGGCCGACCTCCCTACTTTAGTCTCCATCAGGCGCCGCCTCCGGTCAGGGCCGTCATGTATTATGGGCGCTCGACGCCGGTAGGGAACGTTTTCAGGGATGCTTTTGGTCCCTCAATTGCAACAGCATTGCGACTTGTCACTCCCATGTCACTGAGACACCTAACTTGTCAACTAAGAGGCCATCGTACCTGACTTCATCCAGCCTTTCGGTAACATCTCTCCTTATGTATACTGGACAAACCATCAATGCTTCAAGCTTCAAGCTCCGAGACCCACCGGCCTCCGGCATTCCTGAAACACCGTTCGAGAGACGCCCAACACACACACATTGTCACCATCCGAATCATCCCGACGGCCCTCCGTCTTGACCCGAACCTAACTGCTTGTGTACTAGGTTACATGACCAGTCGATGACTCCCCTGTCACTCGCTGACATGGACATTCCACCGTGCCTTTTTTTATATAGTAATCAACAAGTGCTACTTACATAGACTGAGCATTACCCAAGTACTTTGAGTTAAGAGGTTGAAGTCGAGAGGAAACGATTGTTATCTGCGGTTTGCACAGGAGAGACTAAGAGGTTGGATGAATCGATCTAGACTTGTGAATGAACTCAGCACCAGGGCGACCGTATCTGATTTGACGCCACATGTGGGAGACGAAACTTGTCCGCACTTTTTCCCGCCAGTCAACGTTCAACCCTTGACCGTGTGAGTGATAAATGGCTCCCCTTTTTCGAGGTAAAAAGAACAGGCTTGCGGTCCGGGTCTCCAAACGTCTGAGATTGTTCACGGACAGCCAAGCGGAGGTGGTGAGAACCACCACAACAGCTTTGTGATACGTAACTTATGCCGAGACCCTGTTCCTTGCTGGAGCTCGCACCCACTAACTACTTATGTAAGTACCATGGGATGACACCCCCGACCTACTAAGGAGAGCCTAGCTTTGCCGCGGCATGCTATGCGAGTGTCATTGCACGAGGTCTCCCGAGATCCCTCGTCAAGCTCGGCCGAAATAATTACATATAAAGCCAGGACTTAATAAATGCTCAGGTCATGTGGCTCAAAGATGTGATCTGGGATAGTGCACTTAACAGCACTGGTCTGAACCTCCGTGGCGCTCTTTGCAAATGCACCTCAGACACGGGGTTGATTTTACTGTGAATGGTGATGGCCTGGTAAATGAAGGCTGTTCTTCCTTACTTCCAGGAGATCGGTGGAGTAATAGTTTTCTCACTACGCCATAGACGGAAAACCACCGGCAACAGAAAGACAAGGAACAGCTCACCATTTTGTCTTGCCTAAAGACCAGCCCTTTGATAATACCTTCGGCGGATATCGCTGGAAGAGCCTTCTCCGCCATCGTAGTGGTGCACCACTCCGCTTCGGGACGACACACCTTCGCCTTCCGAAGAAGCTCGCGGGCTGAGGGTGCCTATTACACGTCTGATCAGTGTGCTGGATGAAATCCTCCCGAGAGCCTCAGTGAAGCTCCATACATGTACACAACGGCCATGCGTGACACACGTGTCCCTTATCCGAAGATAACCTTTCCCACATACCTCAGCGTCGAATATTCATTCGTGACAAGGCGTTGAACTTAAGAAGAGATCGGTCGAAAAGAACGACCTGAACGTGAGAAAAGCTAAGCAGGAAATAGTATTTGATTGCTCGCATAGGCGATCCCCGAGATCTCTTCCTTATTGCAATTCAGAAAACCCACCACATTGAGTCTTTCTGCGGGCTAAGGATTGATGCTGGGAACACACACATGCCCCTGGATAGTTAGCCTGGCCCATCGTGGAGCGCACAGCACACAGCAGCTGTACAAACAACGATCGATGAGATTGGACTTGAAATTAGGCATGTGACTTGCCTTTGTGATGGCCATTGTACTGCCGAACAGTTTCCCCCGAGGCCATTTCCCAGAGACGAGCTGTATGATCCGAGGACGCTATTGGGGAGAAAATGAAGAAGCTTAACACGTTTGAGGTCATAATGGATTGTAACGCATACCCGTCACCAGATATGCAGAATCCGCACTGAAAGCGCAATCCCACACCCAGCGCTGATGACCCTGTAGCATCTTCTCTTGCCTAAATTCATAGTTTTCCGATATCGACCATATCTTGACGGTTGTGTCGGCGGAGCACGTTGCAAGGTATCTGGACAGTCCGTATGATCGAGGGAGAAGAAGCGACGCCGGAAATACCCCTTACTTTACATCAGGGCTTAGAAGGACTCGGGTGATGTACTTCTTGTGTGCACTGAACTTTGTCACAGCCTGGTATCTCGGTAGATCTGATTTTTCTTCATTAATCTTCCATACATAGCATTTGCCCTGAAACGGAAAAGTCAACCCTACGGGTTCCAACATTAGCAAGAGTTTACCTTGTTGTTGCCTGCGACCAAACACGAGCCATCGGACGCCAAGCTAACAGATCGAATAGGAACATCTCCTGCAGGAGTCTGACGGGATGGTCATACGTGGGGCGAAGGAGCGCATTAGGGATACTTACTAGCTCGTGGGAACACAAATTCTCCGATAAGTCCCACTGTTTGATGCAACCAGCCTGATCGCAGGAGATGAGCTCTCCCTGATTAGGGTGGACACATACGTCATTCACTTGCACAATGGTATTCAAATCAGCGTTCAAACAGCAAGTACAGCAAAACACAGTACCAGGTGCACCATTATCGTACGTGCGATGCACCTGCGCGCTTCTGCACGGAGCGTCAAAACGTAAAGACGAAATCACACAGGTTAGATACCTGAGGTCCCAAATCCTGATTGTGCCATCCTCGCTGCCAGTAACCAGCCACTTCCCTTCGCTATGGAAGGAAACGGCAGTAACATTCATGGTATGTGCATCAAGGCAGGTTAACTTAAACCATGATTCGTTGACTAAACATTCATAAACTGTTTGAAAACACGCACCGGTGTCGAAGAGGAACTGGCAGTTTCGTAAATGTAGACTTTCTTGTGAATGGCCGCGGCCAGAAGGCGTTTGCTGGTAGCTCTTATGAGTGAAGTTCATTAATTGAGACAACAGATGAAGTTACTCTGGCGAAATGGCAAGACGGTTTACTTGCTATAGATGAAATGCAGCCGCACTGAAAGTCAACGAGGAAAAGCACTCACCCCTGCTTCCCCTGATCTTGAGATTGTGCGTGAACATATGCCACTCCACGCTTCCCAGAACCTGATTTCATGGTCGTATGAACCCGTCACAAGAATGACCGACATGGCAGCTGTGAATGTGAGCTCTCGACTCACGACGTACTGACGAAGCTGGCTAGTGATGCTTACGTAAAACCTGGCAAGGGCCAAGTAAGTTACAGCTAGTCTGTGCAAGTAAGTTCACCATATTCAAAGAATATCGGAAGATAGGTGCAAGAGTACGTGGGCGGAGATCCGTTTGCTTCTGGACTCCCGTTCCAGAGAGTTCCGTCCAAATGAAATGGTGGTTGGACCTAGGCCGAGGATCACTGAGGACCCAGTTCATACAACAGTACACGACCTCAGGGCCCCTGTACGTGTGTGCGGCCTGCCTGCCACGCTCACTCCCGCGCGATGAACATATGATCCACTGCTGGCATATTACTTACACTCTCGAGGTTTCCGGCTTTATTACGTGGAACACTTGATCAACATCAACTTCGGCTATTACTGCTATTACTACGCTTCGCTGACCACATTTCTCAACTTCACAATTCAATATTGAGTATCTATTAGGCGACGCTTCTCAAATCTCACCCCTCCACACGAGCAGCCTGGTCTCCATGGCCCGGGATTACTCCAACAAATTAGGCATTTCCGTCGACCCATTCCTATCACCGACTGGTTTCCGGCTGGATGAGAACGATCGAAGGCGTTGCACGGTCATACCCTCCACCGTTGTTGCTTTATAAAGAGTCGAACTCGCTGGTCTATGACGATTACAGTTCGCTGTCCTGACTATTTCGGCTATGAACGCATACCCAGTAAGCTGCCCAAGTGCCCTAGCTGGTTGTGTAGCTACACTCAACTCTAACTCAGAACGGCACACGAATTTTCTTCTGGACCTCCGCCGGAGAGATAAAATACGGTATTGTGCAGTCGACCGAGTCGTCTCGCTGATGTTGGTATCCTTCCTGTGTCATGTGTGGCGTTGACAAAGCCTTTTGCAGGGGACCCAGGTAATCGTTATAGAGCTCGAGGGAGGCGAGGGCCGCCGCAGCTTGCCGTGAGTGTTTGTTGCCACGAAGGCCTGCGTCTAGAGTGACGCGGCATTGCAGAGTGTCTAGCGTCTCGAAGGTGAACTAACACCAAGTGACGCTCAAACCGACCAAGCCACGTTCGTAGACATTCTCTAGACTCAAAAGCCTGATGGCATCGTTTCCCAAACTCCACTGTATCCATCTTGCACCCATTTTTACCCTACTGCCCGTTTTGTTGTATGCTTGGACTGATCTACTCTCGTGTATCTGACTCTGGCAATTAAAATATGCCTTGTATGTGTTTCGCAAATCGGACAATTTTGTTGTGCAGGCGGAGCATGTCCAAGTATCCCGCATGGCATTTATTATTGAAGAGGGTTTATGTACCATGGTTTCGGTTTTGACAGATTGGGGCGACGTATCCTTGCGAGTTACTGCCCCATAAGCCGCGTGTGGGCAGGCCCCTTGGTGCGCCGACCGTTGGGTGGTCCGACATGTTTAGGGTGAAATTTGGGGGTGGGCGTTTGCGTTCTAGACCAAAGTTCATTAATTCATCGACGATAGTTGTCATTGCGTCCAATCGTAGATGTGGCACAACGAGGGGAGTAGAACGGCGGGGGAAAGTCTTCGCATGTCCATGTCAACACTAGATTTCATTTTGGGGCTCTAACGTGTGTCTTCCATGCTGACGACGTCATACCAAGATCGGATGGGTATATCGTACATCCGCAGTGTGTGGCTTCTGCAAATTGCATGAATTCTCAGGTCAATAACCCTGCTTCCATCACGCGGGAATGGGTCACACCGATATTGGGGATCTCGACAGCGCACATCATTTGCTGTCTTGGGAAGGGTCTAGACGATCCACGGTACATAGCAAGTACTGAGGAATACTCGCCGAGGGACCCATGTTGTTATCGCGTGAAGGAGCACGGATCAGAGCAGACAGACTGGATTTTATATTATACCCTGGCAAGAAAATACGCAGTTCTAAAAGGCCTGCATTCGGTTGATGGAAACGTATCACATACACTACGAAGTAGGGAATGGTGTAACGTAGCTTTGTAGGTCGGCATCATCCAACAGGTGTGGACGCATGTACTGTAGTGATTGTAATCGTCTTATAGGCAAGTCACGTAATGTTACAAGCAAAAGCTAGTCGACAGGAGAACGTGTGTGAAGGTGTTGGTCAGATGCAAAACGGCACAGGGTAGACAACATACAGAGATGTGAGCTTATTGTGTCACAAAGTGGAGTGTCAATCATCAATGTCTTGTGCGCACATCGTAGCCTCGGTGGATGGCTTCTCATTAGATCATCGTGATCCTGTTTTTATTTGCGGCCATTCCTTGCGATCCTATGTGGCATTGAGTGGCAGAGAGGATTAGATAGGCTTCCTAGCATACTCTGACGACGATGCTGACTCGCTGGCCGTCAATGGTATTCATGGACTCATGGGGTCGTGTGAGGGAATGTTTCCAGTGGTACCTCACGTCGTCTCTGTTTCCTTTTAAGTACGCAAGCTTGCACTTGTAGACAAGGTGGTGTCACCTCTGTAAGTATACACTGCCAGATGTGAGTAGGACGTCGAATTTCTTGGGAGTGAGTGTATTTTCTTCTTCCATGCGCAATACTCGTGCCGCCCCTAAACTGACGGCGAGAATCCACCTACCACTTGAGAAGATGTTGTCAATGTGGGGAAGTATTTCCCCTTCCGAGGCGAGATGTAAAATGTGTGTCTGGGTGTTTTCGGATGGATATAGAGTGTGCAATCGATTTAATACCCGCGAAAGATCTAGGGTTTGTGATTCTCCCCAGGATGAAAGGTGCATCTCGCGATAATCTCGGATGACATTGTCATAGTGGCCCTACTCAATGAGTTATAGCACATTGCCACCTTGCTAACACCAATTACATATCTTACTTTTTGGAAGGTATAAAGCCTCTCAGGCAAGAATGCGTCAGCTTCGGACGGACCATGTAGAGTACGGTACTGTTTTTGGAACCTGCGAACACGCTTGTTTTCGAGCGAATCAAGCTGGTCCAGTGCGGCGGTTAAGAGAATTCGCTGCTCATGGGTGTCCAGAAAATTCGGTAATAGCGTGAAACCAGGGGGAAAGTCACCATTGCAGTTCGTAGATAGGCAACGAAATCCGACGCGTTTCAGTACTGCTGGTGAACACAGTCGTGTCTGCATCGTGAAATGGGATGCTCGACACAAGTTCAACTCAGTGTTGCCGAGGTCGTTTGGGAGTCACGTGACTTACGTAGCACCTCTCGGAATGAGAAAATGTTCGGAGGACATCATTCGATGGTCAATGCATGTCGGGAAGATGCACAGGAGGAGGACCACTTTTCGAGTACTTGGGGGTACGCGGGCGGCGGCGTCAGCTGCAAGGCCTCTGGTAATTTCCTTCTCTATATCAGAATGCTTACAATTTACAGAACGTCCCACACAGTCCTCAACGCGGAATGCAGTACTTGGTCAAGAAGCGACTGCCCGGTATAACTTACAATCGTCCCAACCCCCTCCTCGGTCGCCGTCACCAATGCCAACGCATTCGTCGCCGTCCGGGTCTCTTCTGAGTCGAGCATCATCGGTAGTTCAACCGATCCGCTCCTTGCCTTCAAGGGCCTCTACCTCGAGATGGTCTCAACCCCCGGAGAGGACAGAATCATCGGACTCGGGTGTGATAAATGAGCCCTTTCATTCGTTTCCTACTGCAAGAACTAGAGAGACAACCATTCGTCCGAGGGGTGCTCTCTCCCGCCCTGTGCGGCCCTTTCCCAATCCCCTTACCAAGTTTGTGCGCGATTCTGCGCCGCACGCTAACATACAACCGGAGAGGTACCCCTCGAAGCCCAACCGCTTTTCTTCTGACTTTTTACCCAGCCAAGCACAACTTCGGTCACAGGAGGCGCGTCCACCCCGAGCTCCAATGCCGCATTCTGTATTCGATGCAGATTTAGATAACTCCGCGACGAAATTAGCGGATTTTGAAATTTCACCATCACCTTCGCAACTCCTTACGAGAGAGCGAGATCGACCTAAACGTCCCGGTCGGAAAGGAGAGTTCAAAGAACGCGGTTCCCTAATTCATTCATCAGACTCCTCGATTCCCGCTTCTAAACACAAGTCATCAAACCGTTGGCAACAGTTGGAACGAAAAAAGGTTAGGGACAGGGAGAAGAAGGCAAGGTCTGTGGAGAAACAGAGCGTCAAAGCCGACCTGTATATTCCCACCACTGTTACTGTGGGCCAATTCGCTAGGCTATTAAACGTTCGTTTGAGTGAGTCATTAGCACGGTTGTATGGTTTGACGACTTCATCACGCATTACATCCAGGAACTCTGCAAAAGAAGATGATCCAGGCGGGCATGCAAGAAGATACTTCGTACAACCACGGTAATCTCTTCGTTGGAGTTTGCTAGGGTGCAAACTGACAGTGGAGCAGTCCTCACTTCTGATTATGCCGCCCTCCTTGCTGAAGAGTTTGGCCGGAATCCGATAATAAACGACGAGGCCGCATTTGACCTCCATCCCCCGTATGCCATCCTTACTTGCATTGTTGAACGTGTCGTTTACACTGTAACATCGCAGACCACCCCATCCAGATCCCCATCTCCTCCCTCTTCGTCCCCCGGTCGTTGCCATTATGGGTCATGTTGATCATGGAAAGACCACTCTCCTTGATACTCTTCGTTCGTCTTCTGTAGCTGCTTCCGAAGCAGGGGGTATCACGCAGCACATAGGTGCTTTCTGCGTACCCGTGGGATCATCCACGCACTCTTCTGATACAAATGCACACCCCAGCACCACTGATATGACCGATGGACGCCTCATCACTTTTCTGGATACTCCTGGTCATTCTGCATTCTCCGCTATGCGTGCACGAGGCACTTCTGTCACTGATATTGTGGTTCTTGTCGTCGCAGCTGATGATGGTGTTATGCCCCAGACCCTCGAAGTCATTGAACTCGTCAATCGTGAGAAGGATAGAAGTAATGTTGGGATGGTAGTGGCGATCAACAAGATTGATAAGGACGAGGCTGACGTGGTACGCGCTTCTTCATACCTTCGCCCTCTGCGAGCCACAAGTCATCCATTGAGAACAGGATCAAACAAAGCGGTCGCTTTTGGCGGCCGGGGTATCGCTTGAAGAGTTTGGTGGCGACGTGCCCTGTATAGAAATTTCGGGACTCACGGGCCGTGGCTTGCCTGACCTCATCGAAACGTTGGCGCTTCATGGCCGATGTCATGGATCTGCGTGCAGAGAGAGACTGCCCAGTTGTAGGATACGTGCTGGAGTCAAAGGTACAGAAAGGACTAGGGTGTGTGCCCCTTTTCGAAGCTTATGCGTGTGCGCGCATGTTCATTTGCGTCAACCATGTGTTACATGGTTTGCAGCCCTGTGGCAACTGTCCTTGTCACTCGTGGCACTCTTGTTGCAGGTGCACCTCTATTAGCTGGCACTTCGACATGCTCCACTCGTCGTCTGCTCTCGCCAACAGCCCAGCCACTTGCGTTCGCTGGACCTGGGACGCCTGCCATAGTCACAGGTTGGAAGTCACTTCCCGCAGCTGGTGACGAAGTGTTGGCTGGAAGTGAGGGTGATATTAAGAAGGCCAAAGCAAACCGTCTTAAGAAGAAGGATGTGGAAGGTGTCTTGCAGGACGCGGAAGCCATCAACGCTGAGCGGAAGGCACGCAGAGAAAGTGAAGCTATCAACGAAACCTGTGAACAAATGAAGGGCAAAGATGAGACCGAAGAGCAAAAGAAATTGAAGCTCGTCGTTAAAGGGGATGTCAGTGGGAGCGTGGAAGCACTTGCTGGCGCTCTTGAAGGCATTGGTAACGACCTTGCTGGTGTTGATATCGTCTCTACAGGCGTAGGGGACATCACAGAAACAGACGTCATGATGGCCAAGACTGCGGATGGTTCGTTGATTCTACTTTCGATGATATGTTCGAGAGCTTATTAAACCACTCACTTAGCTTTGATTATCGCGTTTTCCGTTTCTATTCCCCGCGGCGTTCAGGGCACTGCATCTCAGAATTGTGTTACGATCTACTCATCCAATATCATATATCGCGTTATGGACCACATTCGCGAACGCGTCGCCGCGCTCCTTCCCTGCACATATGTATCAAAAGTTGTGGGTGAAGCAACAGTGCTTCAGTTATTCGATATCCACTCTAAAGGAAACGTGACTAAGAAGATTGCTGGCTGCAGGGTTGGCAATGGAGTTGTCGAAAAGGCCTGCATGGCCAGAGTCATCAGAGATGGTGAAGTAATACATGAAGGTGCGTAGCTGAATTATGCAGCGACCTAACGTTTTATTAACCTCTTGTGTATAGGCCCCCTTGATACACTACGCCAACTCAAAACCGAAGTGACGGAAGTTAGGAAAGGTCTAGAGTGTGGTATCGGCTTAAAGGACTGCAACAACCTGTGCGAAGGTGACTTGGTGCAGACGTTCAAATTGATAGAAATACCCGCCGTCCTCTAAAACCTTCAGCCTACTTTTGCCCCCAATAGACGAACCCATAGAAACTACGCAAAGTATCGTTCACCGCTAATAATAATTCCCCTTACGAACGAAGTCAGTTTCAGTACTCACGTTGTCGGAATGTCGGCACAGCTGGTGTTCCTCCCACACCGCGAGGCCAGCGAAAAGTCGGCGGCAGATGTGGGATGCCGGAACGGTGGACTCCGCGGGGCTGTCAAGCGATCCGGCTCTTGTCATCTTCCCGATACTAAATAAGTAATTGGAATCAGCAAACGTATTCGGCGAGCTCGCCCGTAGGCCCGCTGAACAGCACTTCGCAGCCAAGATGGGGCACTCGAAACCGGCAATGCGTCCCGGCCGCATGCTTTTAATATTACAGACAAATTCTAAAGTGCCGCAAAAACAATTGATACCGTTGCCTGAGAAGATCTGAATGTAAGGGCTTCCGAAGGTGAGAAAAAGAAATCAAGAAGCGATTGTAACGGAAGCGACCAGAGGAAAGAGAGAAAGGAAGCGAAGACTGCACGCAAGGAGTGTGAATCAGTGAAAACTTAAGTAGGGATCGTGAAGCTCGCGAGGGCAGCCAAAACCTGGCTGTTACTTTGCGTCTATTGTTCAGATCTTCGGAAGCGAGTGATGGTGCCAAGTATGGACGGCCGAGACGTAAAACGGCTTGTTTTTCGCAAAGCTGCGCGTCGGACTTCGCGTTTTGTTGCTGAGCGGGTGATTTTGGCACATGACCACAATGGGTCGTCCACGGAAACAATGCCGAACTTGTCACATGGCACCAGAGGGGAACTGGGACTATTCCGCACATGTAAATGAGGTGATGGCGAGGAAGAGAATACTCTGCTACTAAGCAGATCTTGGCGGGTTGACAGCATATGCGGATTTGATGCTGACGGTAAGAAAAGTTGCGGTGAAGAGTCCGACGATAGATTTGAGTACAAATCTTTGCATTTCGACCTCTCCGCTGTGGCAGAGTAGCAAGACGCGTTGGACTCCACAAGAGTATCAGATGAAGAGAGCACAGGTATGCAAAACCACGGATAAGGGGGCGATGCAGATTTATCAATCTAGGATTGCTCAGTTTATTGAATGCCAGGGCAGGAATTCACCTACAGAAGACTTGTCTGTCATGTCTCGATGGAAAGATATCCCTTGACAGAAATTGTCACGCAAGTTCGTCTGCCCCGAGACTCTCCTAAGCTTCCTAGATGAGTGGAGGGACCCTCGGCTGACACGCTGATCATCATGCTGTACAAGATCTTCACGACGCAACGTGACAGGGGGTAGTGTGTCTTCCACCGTGGCTGGCAGAGATTGTAATATTGCTGCAGTACGCAAACGAAGTTTCTGCGTATGTCGAGCAATCCTATCACCAGGTTTATCCAGGAGATATGGAGAGCAACGCGTTCCCTCTCCCAAACGATGGGGGATACTAGAGCTGTGATGGGGCAAGGCGCACTCAAAGTCGTCGTGAGGCTGGGCTTCGAGGTGATCTGGGGAGACCGATCGCGACAGAAGAAGGGTAGTTGAGGAGTGTCCCTCCAGCTCTAATTTCCAACTCGCGCCGTGAGCTCTGTCCATGTTATTAGGGGCCAGAGGTTCCGCAACGGCGCCGCACGCCATAAGCACGTCGCACCCGTGGCTACGACCCCAAGATGCTGATACTGAAGTGGTGTAAAGGTTTGTTCTCGATTTTGAAGATGAAGGAACAGGTAAGATATGGTCCTGGTAAAAAGACGGTGCCGTTGCAGCCCAAGAAGCTGAACAGCAGGAACACTGGCTCCAGGTGGATCTTGCAGACATTGCCTGAACGTACGAGTAGTGATACAGAAAAGACCTGCCTTGTGTGGTGTTGAAGGTATGTAGATTGACTGGCTCAACTGTCCCAGCAGTAGTAGTACCCGCCAGGATGGTTTGAACTTTGCCGGTCATGTGCACCGGCCACGAGGCAAGTCAACCGCGTCGTCACGTCAGTTTACGCGAAGACCAGGACTTCGACCCATATATCTTACTGGTAGTGCGAAACGTACTCTTGGACGTTTGTTTTGAATACTGGAAACGTTGATCTCTGTTGCCCAAGCTCCACAGTCCTAACTTGTCGATGGTCTTGAATCCATCTTGATACCCCTTAATCTGCTTATAAATTGTAACGCCGATAAGAAGTGAAGCTGCGACCGCGAAAACAGACGGTGCGGTCATGGGCTACTTTCAACGGCGGCACAACAAGAAGAATTCTTAATACTACTCGGTTTTCCAGACACAGAAGTCTGTCTTATTCGATGTAGAAAAAGAAGTCCTTGTACGGGGACTTTTTACACGGTCCATTTTATAGGGTAGAGGCTAGGCACGAGAGTGCGCGTACGGGTTTAGTAGGATGAAGACAAAAATGGGAAACACCGTAGATCTGTCACAGTGAATTCGTCATCCGATCATATGGTCGACAGCGTCGGACCGAATCCTTACACAAACACTCCATTGTTACCCAGCCTTTGCCAGTAGAGCCTTGCACCTCTGGAATATGGCATCGCAGCTTCTCGCGTTTCATAAGGAAATTCTGGAAAAGATACACGATCCATCGACTAGCGAGCTATTGCTACTCGCTCGTGGTCTCGGGCTTCGCCATGTCGTCTGTACACTCATGAAGATTTACGACTCTCCCCAGAATTTGGTTCTCCTCGTCAATACCACTTCGGAGGAAGAAGCTGCGGTTGGTGAGGAACTAGGTATAATGGGGTGCAGGAAACCTGGTTTGCGGACCATTGGTTATGAGATGGGGAAACGAGACAGGTTTGCATGGACGCTCGTATTCTGTGTGCCGGATTCACACTGACTAGACAGGATCTCTACAAGAAAGGTGGTCTTTTCTCCGTGACGTCGCGTATACTGGTCGTGGACATGCTGCAGTCGGATATTCCTACTGAACTCATCACAGGGATCCTCATCTTGCACGCCGAGAGGTACGGTTCGTTCACATTCGGAGAATTTGTAGTTAATTTTCCTGCAGAGTCACTGCTCTCGCATTGGAGGCATTTATCGTCCGACTTTACCGCGAAAAGAACAGCACTGGTTTCCTGAAAGCTTTTTCTGATCAACCCGAATGCATCACGAGCGGGCTGTCACCCTTGCGAAATATTATGAAAGAGCTTCATTTACGGACAGTTCACATATATCCTCGGTACGTGTTTAATCGTTGCCTGCATAGTACTCTGAATATGGCCATCAGGTTTCACGAGACAGTCAAGGCAACTCTTGAGAACCGGAAGGCTGACGTCATTGAGTTGTACCAACATATGACAGAATCGATGCAGACTATCCACCACGCGATAGTACAGTGTATGACAATGACCCTATCTGAATTAAAGCGTTCTCATGTAACGGTTCGTTTGGGGTTTTGTCAATTCCGCGTACTTTGTTCATGTACTAATTCATTCTTAGCTCGAACTCGATGACCTTACTATCGAGAACGCCTATTTCAAATCATTCGACGCAGTCGTTCGTAGGCAGTTGGATCCAGTATGGCACAAAGTTGGGCCAAGGACGAAGCAGCTTGTCAGCGACTTGTCTACCCTTCGCCGTCTGTTGACGTGAGCATCTTGTCCTGATTGACTTTTCGACGCCTAACAACACCTGTGCCCAGATACCTTCTAACATATGATGCCTTTTCTTTTCACGAGTATCTCGAGACTCTTATCGCTTGCAATACTACTTCTTCTTTCAGTGGAGAAAAGCGCCTGAACCAGTCCCCGTGGATGCTGACTGATGCCGCAAATATAATATTTCAGACCGCGAAACGCAGATGCTACACCCTTTCCAAGAAATCTGCAGACAGCCTAGAAAACGTTATAATTGACGACCAGGATGGATGGGACGCCTTAGACGACATAGAGGGATCCCGAGGCCAGCCAATTGATAAACCTAAGAAAGCATGGATGCCCGAAGGATTGGATCCAGTCGCAGAAGAGCTTCCGAAATGGGAGCTTCTTGCAGATGTGCTGCAAGAAGTGGAGGAAGAGATTTTAAGGCATGAAAGTCTTCCTAGTGCGTATACTCACCACAGTCTAGCCACTTAGCTTATCAGCTCCCAGATATTAGGGGCTCAAATACGGTGCTAGTTATGACTTCGTCTTCCCGGGCTTCTGCATTGGTGAGCGAGTTTCTTGCAAACATGGATCTCGACGCACCCAAAGGTAAACGTGGCCGGAAAATGATGGAGAGGAAACTGCGGCAGTATCTCTTCTGGAAAAGTAGGCTTACAAATCAGAGTCGAGGGGGGAAGGTTCCGGCGCGTACCGTGGTGAAGAAGCATGATGCAACTCCTATTGCGGCTAGCAAGTCAATGGACGGGCCGGCGAACCGGAGCCTTGCTCTGAGGAAGAAGGAGGAAATGAAGCAAGCAAGGGGTGCAAACAGACGCCGAGTACGTGGTGGCGCGCCTTCCACAACGAGTAAACCTCCGGCAAGCGCGAACTCGGAAAATATGACCATAAACGACGATGGTGAAGAGATTGAAGCATTGTGAGGTTTCATTTTCAACATGCCCATGTACTTCCACCATCCTAACCATGTTTATTTTGAAGCGTCGCAACACAGAATTCATCGTCCCTTAACGATATTCTGGTTGGGAGACAGTGACTTCGGATTGTTGGAACGGATCATCTCCGGTCAATTTCAAGATGATTTTGACACCCGATATGGGTTACTGGCTTCAGAAGAAACTGTGGTGGTGAGGGCGTACTCGGACGATTCGGACGACCGGGTCTTAGCAGAATTGCAACCAAAATTTATCGTGATGTTTGAACCTAGCCTTGAGTTCGTACGTAGAGTCGAGGTATGTCCTTTTGAATAAGACTTCTTTTCGAATAATAAACATAGTTCACAGGTGTACAAAAACTCCCATCCTGGCCTCGGTGTGAGAGTCTACTTCATGATTTACCAGTTGAGTTGCGAGGAGCACAAATACCTTGCCGCCCTGAGACGCGAAAAGGACTCCTTCGAGCGGTTGATTAAAGAACGAGCTGTGCGTTTGCCAACTTCTCTTCTCCGACTGCACTTGCGATATTTTACTAGACCATGCTTGTTCCTGTGTTCGAAGATCAACGGCCTAAAGCAGGAGATCAATTCATCCAAACCATCAGCACTCGGCTGGCTGGCGGCCGGAAGGAACTGACCGCGCAACCCTCCCAGGTCCGTCGATTTCATCCCTTGCAATGACGCGTCTGAGAGCCATATGTGGAGGTAATTGTCGACATGCGAGAGTTTCGGTCAACACTGCCTTCACTGCTTCATGCATCTGGCCTTCAAGTCATTCCAGCGACACTAACTGTTGGAGACTACATCCTGACGCCCGAGATATGCGTCGAGCGGAAGAGCATACCGGATTTGGTTTCTAGTTTCAACAGTGGCAGGCTGTAAGTGCTCTGTGGGTGACGTCGAGATTTGCTTCAATAACCCTCTGTCAAGTTACACGCAGTGCGAACTTATGTCAGTGCACTACAAGCAACCAATTCTTCTTATCGAATTTGAAGAGAACAAAGCCTTTTCACTAGAGGTCCGTCTCTGATACTGCTTCCCCATCGGTATATGTTTGATCTTTTCGTAGCCCATTGCCGAAACGACAAAGTCCTATGCAAAGCCGACCGCAAAAACGGCTTCCAAAAAGGATACTGGGCCTTCCGAAACAGATCGGATTCCTTCTCTTCAGTCAAAGATTGTCCTCTTGACACTGCATTTTCCCCGGGTTCGAATCATATGGTCATCCTCTCCTTACGCAACTGCGGACATATTCAATGACTTGAAGGCTAACAATCCAGAGCCAGACCCATCACGCGCCATTGCTATTGGAGCTGAGGAAGACCCCGATGTCGATGCAGGTGTCAACACTGCAGCGGAAGACCTGTTGCGGTGCCTCCCTGGGATCTCAGCTAAAAATGTGAAGTACGTGATGAGCAAGGTTAACAGCGTGCGTGAGTTCTGTGAAATGACCAGAGAGGAAATACAAGGAATTCTTGGAGTCGAACCTGGGGGTCGGTGTTGGGAATTCATGCATGGGATTGGAAGCATGCGTTCGTAGCGAATAGGTCGACCTGTCCCTTTCACCTCTGTCCCTAGAAGGGTGGATTGCGTGTACCTATTGCCAGTATCCGTCGTTCGCAGAGTACGATTCATTGTCGAGGGCCCTAGGCCTTATCCTGGACACATCACAGCTCCCATTTGGTTTAGTTTAGAGCATGACTGTGTCGGTAACTTTGATTCGTGTTTGTGCCCGAGGGGTCGATGAGCCTAAGCTCGATTACTAAACTCCGGCATGACGTCTACTTCCTTAGCCGTCGAGCAACACGGGTCACTACAACTAAGAAACTTGGGTCGTTTAGGTTCACTGTGCCTGTCGACTCCGTCAAGAAATGTTAGCGTCGACGGCTCTTCGGAGCTTCCACTCAGTGAGACGGCCAGGTGCACGTTGCTTGCTGACCCCCATAAGCCTGCTGTCCCGACCGCAGCCTCTATTCCAGCCTCGCACCAACAGCTGTTATTTCTTTACAGCTCAAAGGCGTAGTGTTCAGTATTCCCGCTTCCCCGGCCAGCAGCAGCAGAACTCCGGTTGGCTTCCGCGAGATCCCGCGGCAAGAATCTTCATCTACATCAGCATAGGAGGTGTACTTTACTATGTTGCGCAGTAGGCCTACTATGATAACCTCCAGGACATTCGTATTCCTGACATGATCCGTAGCCTAGAACAAGTACCAGAGACTGGTCGATGGCGGTTCATGGACATCAGTCCCAGGTTGGACAGCAAGCTTGCCCAAGCCTCCTATGCAGAACTACTCAATCCAGTTCCGCGGGAAGATCCTCCCCGCCGACCACCCTATTACACGTCATGTGCGCCGAGTCGTTACTGATATCCTCGAAACCAACAATCTCGGGAGCCTGTACTCGAGCGAACCTCGTCGGCGGTCGTTCTTTGGGGATGATATTTGGGAAGAAGACGCTTTTGCAGCTGCAAGATCGAGGACAACGAACTCCGTCCCCGAGAGCGGTGGAAAGGAATGGCATCTGTTGGTAGTAAACGATCCCAAAGTTGTCAATGCAATGGCAACGTTTGGTCCGTGTCCTTCTTGTTGCTATCGGGCGTATGAATGATTCGTTCCACTTGCCTAGGTAATATCGTGGTATTCACCGGTATATTGCCTATATGCAAGGATGAGCAAGGTCTTGCCGCCGTCTTAGGCCACGGTCCGTCCTCTTCCATTCATATACATTGTTAGGTTCATCGTCTCACACTAGCATTCAGAAATTGGGCACGTGGGTCCGTGCCGACTGATCCTTTCCATAATGATGCCTAATGATAACTCCCAGTTGCCAGGCACCCTCAAGAACGTTATTCCTCAACCAAAATCCTCATCTTCGCCGCATTTATTCTTCAATCTGTTGGTCTGGACTGGGGTTTCAGCAGTCTCCTCAGCAAACTGTTACTAGAACTACCGAATTCGCGTAAGCAGGAGCTAGAAGGTCGACTATACCATTCCTTCCTGCCATACAGCACTAACCTTCGATTATTATTATTGACATTCGGCCAAATAGCGGACACGGTCGGCCTGCGTCTGGTCGCGCGAGCATGCTATGATCCTCGATCTGCAGTGGAGTAAATCGATTCACATACGTTACTTCCAACTTGCTGACTTTTTATCGCGCATGCAGGATGCACCTCCGGCTCGCTAACCACGAACGCACCCACGGTGGTTCGAGCTTAGAATTCCTACGAACACATCCTGGAGCAACGCGGCGTATCCAAGTAGGTGCTTTTATTGGAACATCTCCCTCTTATCTGTCCGCTGATTTTTCAACTTTCTAGCACCTTGAGGAACAAATACCGGAGGCAGACGCTATTCGTGCCAGCAATCCCCGGTGTACCACCGATCAGGATTCATTAAGTCAATTTAATAGAATGTCGCGCTGGGCTGATAAAACAGTCCAGGAAGTGCCGTTCCAGTCGTGAGGGAGGGGTATGGTATCACTAACATTATTGCGGTTGCAAGGATATTGAGATAGATGCCAAGCATCGATATGGACGTGGTATTCATACGTACTGACAGAATCAACCATTTCTCCTTCCCACCCAAAAGTCGCTACATCAAGGGAAACCCAAAACCAGAACGTCGACCAAAAAAAAACAAAGTACATACCCCAAAGAGATAGAACCAGTCGAAAGAGAGCACGGTCACCAGAGGAACACACCAACCAAGCCAATCAAACCTATAGCCAACGAATATGTAAATCTGCTGTTGTGCGCGTGCACGCTCCCGGCACTTGAAACATATTTGGATGAGCCGGACGATGAGGACGAAAACCCGCAGAAGCCGGAACCTGGGAGTTCTGACGATGGTACGAGGACGACGGGTTGCCCACCAAGGGTATACTCGACTTCTATGGTACCGTTGCTGCCTACTACCCAATGGACACAAGTAAGAATACTGGATGGTAGTAGTACTCTCAGATTGGCGCATAAACGTCTAGTTAGTGCACTCACTTGACCAAGTCGGTGTCAGTCTGAAAAGGTGTGTAAACCGGTACGCTGACGTTCTGCGGCTAGAGGATGCATGTTAAGCTTGAAGTTAGCTTAGGTTCTGATGGTTGATCTTACTGGAGAACCAATATTTGTCAAGACTGATATCACGTCCCCCTTCATGATCGCAATACCATACTCGGTCGTAGCAAGGACATTTGCCGACGAATACAGCCATGTAGAGTTCTGGGCTAGGAAGTTACGGAACTGCCGAAGAGTCAATATGGTAAAGTGAAAGCAGCCTGGGTTACCTCACTTTGTTCAGAGTTGTGATTAATTGATACGCGGTAGTATTAGCATAGTCGGACGGCCACAAAGGCGCACGATTATACTGAGGGCAGGATAAACACTCGCGTTGTATACAGCAAAGAGAAACACTTTACGGGATCGGCGTTTCCGTTCGAGTACTGTTCTTGGCCATAATACACAATCGGGATACTGTCGAGATGGTCAGAAGCGGTCATGACAAGTAATGCACACCTTACCCGTCAGACATGAAATTGAACACCATGGCGTTACTGCAGATGGCCCACTCATAAGCATGAACCGAGAGCTTAAGAACGCCACAACTCACTAGAGACTTTGCGGGTCCACAGATATATTGTGCCAGCGGGGAACATCCTGATTTTCGAGGAAATTCCCGAGTAGGCCAGTGTCCTGTCATCGGTAAGGAACTGCCTCGTACGCCATATAAAGCCGCTTACGTTGAACAACGCTTTGGACTGCGCCATCATGTCGCTCACAGCAGTAGTGTTCAACGGGCCCGGTATAGTGAAAGCATCAACAAGAGAATAGTACATTGGATAGTGCAAAACAGAGTCAAGACCGTTAGGACCTTGAAACGACGCAGCAGCCCTGACCTCAGGTATCAGATGAGGAACAGGTCAAGTAAGGACAGTACATACACGGGGTCAGAACCAAAGACTTCACCGATACAGAAGACGCCGGCCCTTTCGCAGAATACTGGCCAGAAGTCCATGTTTACGTGCCTACATTTTGTGAGGGAGAGAACCTACGATGAGTTGGAGTTGCTTACTTTGCAGCTAGAGGTCCAAGGATCGGATGCGCGTCCAATCAAAAGAAGTAGTACACACCGTCGATGCGAAGCCCATCAATATTGTATTCCTTTACAAGGGACTCGATCCAGTCGCCAAATCCGGAGACGACGGTAGGATCCTCGGTATTGATATCTGGCAAAGGAACGACAGTATCCCCAAGCCAACATCTTTCGATGCTTGTATTGTTATTCCAATCTATCACACAGTACGGATGATATTGTGACTGCTCATGAACGGTTGTCAGGGGTGAGACATGGGATCACACCGGAAAAACAAACCGAATCTTTGAACATGTAAGTGGATAAATCTGGATTGGTCGACGTTGCCATGACATCGTTCACAACCACATCAACCATCAGGTACCTTTCGATAGACGTCAGTAAGGGGTCCAAATTGAACCTAACCAAAGGATGCATACATCCCACGACGATGCAATTCGTCGGAAAGCGCCTTGAGATCATCAGAAGTACCAAAATGGTCATTGAGTTGTGTAGCATCGGCGATCCAATAACCGTGGTATGGGTCACCGTAGGGCGTGGTGGGACCTTGGTAATTCTGCGAAACCGGGCTAATCCAAACTTTCGAAGGGTCAAGCAACAAGAAAAAATAAATAGAAGGACACCTACCTGCTGTAAAGCCAGCATCTTGAATGTAATCAAGATTTTCTTGAAGGCTGCCGATGATGATACATACATGAAGAAATGAAGATAGTTTCTCAAATCTCACGTGTTCCAAGTACCGCCACACCATGTCCGGTCTGCAGGGTCACATTTCGTGGGGTCGGCACCCTGGGGTAGCGCATACCTGTCGATGATAACTCTTACGGACGGTCAAGAGGAGTCATGCGGCGAAAACGATTAGGGACCGACTGGTAAATAGAACGAGACCTCCACTGGTCGGCAGTTGCGGCCAGGGATGGGGAAGCAAGCATGAGAAACACAAAAGTTATGAGCAGGACGAGGAGAGACATTGAGAAGCAGAACGAGAGGAAGGGAAGTAAAGAGCGTGGAAGATGCCTCTGCGTCGAGGAACCGGGCTGAAGGAACTCACTTATGGTTTTTTTGAGGGAAATATTAATATATGGGCTCTGGACGATGAGATCTAACGGGGTCACTTGACACGTGACCAAACCCCGCACTATTTTCAAATTAAACTCGTACTCGGCATCGGACGCCATTTCCAATTTGGGCAATGAAGTCTTTCACACTCTACGGCTGGCTCGTCTGTGCATGGGTCCTCACCGTCTCTTTCCAGGCAAGTGGACAAGGAAATGCATGACATGTGCTGACTCGTTTATTCTTTTTATATAGTATGGCTATCATATATCTGCTCTAAACCAGCTTCAAGACGTGTTGACGTGTCGCCGCATCGACACGTCAACCCCAGTCCATTATGGTCTTCCTACTTGCATTCTTATGAACGATGCAACATTCTCCCTCGTCACTTCTCTGTTCACTTTAGGTGGACTCTGTGGTAGTTTACTTGCCAACATTGCCATGGACCGCTACGGCCGAAAAGGTGCTACCCGAATAAGCTCCGTTTGCAATGCTGTAGGGGCGCTTCTATCTGCTGTGGCTGCTTCCGTAACAGCAATCGCTCTCGGAAGGCATGCCATACCTAACCCAGTGGCTTGCCACTTACGAAATTGACACCTGCTTTAGATTCATCGTTGGTTTCGCCGCGGGCGTAGGCATATGTGTTGGCCCCATCTACCTGGCAGAAACTGCCCACCCCAATATCAGGGGGAATCCTTGGTGCGCACTTCGCGCCGCGTATTCATTACTTTCGCTGAAAAGTCGTTCCTCAGGGGTCGGTACGCAATTGGCCATCGTCATTGGGATTATGGTCACCCAAGTTATGGGCTTCGGTCTTGCGACCCCTAAGCATTGGCGCCTTGTATTGTTTATTTCAGCCGCACTTTCCATTGTCCAGTGTTTCATGAGCCCTGTTATAACTGAATCACCCGTCTACCTGAAGCGCATCGGTTTGCCAGAGCAGCAGAAGCGTGCTTTGCAACGTTTATGGAGTGACTACATTCACCGAGATTGTGAGTCGTATATACATGCTGCTCTGGGCGCGCTGATCGGTTACTTGATAGCCGAAGAACTTGTGGATCAGCCGTTGCTGTCAAACGAAGAAATGCCGCGTCCGGCTGTGGGAAATAGGGCTACAGTTACCCTTCCGCAACTCTTCCGTACCCCCGAATTACGTCGACCACTGTTCATCGCTGTGTTTGCCATGACTTCCCAGCAACTGTCAGGTGAGTGTGCTATCCGCGGCGGGTGATTTCTTACCTTGTCGTTTCCAGGTATCAATGCAGGTAAGCCATTCCTATTTTCCAGCGTTCGGTAAGTGGTAATAGTTTTCTAGTGCTATACTATAGCAATGCCATCCTGTCACGAGCGCTTCCTGCCCTCGCCCCCTATGTCTCCTTGGTAATTACTGTTGTCAATTTTTTGATGACTTTCCCTCCCATTTTCTTGATCGAGGTTTGTTAATAATTCCATGCTGCGACTCTCAGTATTTACAATCCGTTCATCACAGCGACTTGGCAGGAAGCAGCTGATACAGCTCTCCGTCGCTGGGGCAATCCTTTCGCATCTCGCTGTTGGATACGGCCTTAACACCGGAATGGTTGCCATCTCAAGTGTTGCCATTGCGGTATTTGTGATGTATGCTTGCTGCTCTTCGCGCCTGTGGCCAGTATTGTGGACCTGTTTTCCAGGTCGTTCGCTATTGGATTAGGTCCCGTACCGTTTGTCATTATCCCAGAAGTCGCCCCCTCACACGTACAACTTTTGTTTTCCCCTTTCCCTTGAACTTCCTAACCCACTTTACAGGCGTCATCCTCAATTTCGTCTGTGGCCCTGTCGGTCAACTGTAAGCGATTCACAGACTACCTTCCTCAACTAATCACCTCTCAGGGATCATGAACTTCGTCGTGGGCCTGGTGTTTCTCCCCCTCAGGAATTTCCTTGCTGATGGGGACCCCATGAAAGAGGGAAGAGTATTTTATGTATTCGCTGTAGCCTTACTTTGCTCGTCACTCGCCTTTTCGAAGTTCTACAGGCGCTGATGTCTTAATGCTTCGTGTCTTTATGAGTTACCGTTACCTCCTTGTCGCATACCCTTCTGAAGATATGCGGCACAGCCGTTCCCGAGTCAGTACCCGTTCAAAGGCGGTGGTAAGCTGCTGCTATTGTAACGAGTGCTGGTAGATACTATTACGACCCGAATTAGGATACCAACCGTCTACTGTCCTGTTATGTAATCGATTCGCGGGTCGCCATTAAATCTGCTGGGCAGGCAAGTCCAGGGAAGCCAAACGCTTCCTGTAAGACCCGTTATGTCCGACAAAGAGAGAAAGGAGATCGAAGCCTTCTTCGCTTTCTTTGCAACGTTCGACCTCGGCCGTCAAGTCTCCACGGCCACCGACCTCGGCGATGGCGCGGTATTATTCGAAGTCCTCACCCTCGTGTACGTCGGCCCGCACGACTAGAATCATGTCTTAGGATTCGCTTACCTAGTCTCACAGCGACGCTAACTACTTCTGCCAACCTACACGGGCCTCCCCTCAACCCCCAGAAAATTGGGTGCTCCGCTTCAGTGCACTGAAGCGGCTCTACCGTCTCCTGACCCAGTACTTTGAAGACGTGTTACAGAAACCGACTTGTTCACTTGATGTGCCGAACCTTCAGGCTGCTGCAAAAGACTCCAATGTCAGTGCGCTCCTCATCATGTGCCGTATGACCCTTGCCGTGGCCGTCCAGTGCGAGAAAAACCGAGAGATCATCGAGCACATACAACGTCTTGATGAGGATACGCAACATCACCTGATGAAAGCTATCGAGCAGGTCAGATTCTCCGTACTGGAAGACTATGGTAATGTAATAATGAGTTAGGTTATGGTGAAAATTAGCACGTCTCCTGATGACAGCAGCAGCGGTGCAGCCAGCATGACCGAGTCAGTATCCGTCTCTTTACGAATGCCGTCTGCTTATTTTGTACCAGAGATGACCACTATTATCGCATTCAATCCGAGCGTAGCCAGATCCTTGCAGAGAAGGAAAATATCGAGAAGGTCTATGCAACCCTTCTCGAAGAACACCGCACCTTACAAACGAATTTCGACGATGTCGTCTCAGAGAAAGAAGATGCACTTTCCCGGCTCCGCGAATCTCACCACGATGTCGAAAATAAACACAATGATAAAGCAGATGCTTACATGCGTGCCGAGATCGACAGATTAAGGGCAGAACTGTAAGACTTGTTCTGATCCATCGTGGAGCCTGCAAGTATCTAATGTATGCGGAGATGCCAGGCAAAAGAGCGAAGATAACCTTGCCATGGCAGAGACCGAAGTGGACAAGCAAACTTCGTTGGTTACAGAACTTACACGGAAGGTCGGCGAGCTTCAGCTCCAAGCCGATCAGGCAGCGCGCCTCAAAGACCAGTTGGACGAGTACGCTCATTACTTCATCCTCGAACGGGATGCTCATCCACAGTCTATCAGATACCGACATGCCGCTGACAGGCTCCAGAAGACCGAAAATGTCATGGAGAAATATAAGAAAAAACTCCAAGAAAGTGCAGACCTCCGCACGCACGTCAAGGTCCACCTGATTTTGTTTGATCCACCTTTCGCCGAGCCTGACAATAAATAAAGTCCCTAGAACGACAGAATGCCGACCTGGTCGACAAGAACGCTTCCCTTGAAGAGGAATACCGCAAGGTTGCCGCTTTCAAACCACTGATGGAGTCCTATAAGAACCAGATTTCCGAGCTTGAGGCTAAAGTCGCTGGACGCGCTCAGGAAGTGGAGACAATTAAATTCGAGTTGGAACAAATGCGGACCAAGTTAAAGATTACTTCCGAAGAGCGTGCGAAGGACTCGGAGATGCTAGAGCTGTACCAAGAGCGTTTGCGGGAGTTAGAGCTTCTCTCACACCGCACACCCACAGTAGCGAACGGTGGTGATCATGAAGAAGAGCCCAGCCGAAGTACAGACGTCCTCACAGAGGACGAACTGTTCATCAACGAGAAGTCCCTCGCGTTAGATGAAGAACTCGGCGATGCCATTGCTGGAACCACGATGACGGATCTCAAACTTCAGGTTAGGAAACTCCAACGGGAGCTTCAAGGAGTTAAGAGGAATGAGGCCGATGCAAGCCGGATTTTGGTTTTAGAAAACCTGCTGGATGACTCTAACCGCATGAAATCTCGCTACGAAGCTGACTATCTTGCTGCTCATAGAGAGAAGCTTATCTTGCAGCGCGACCTCGAAGAGATTCGCAGTGGGAAGGCTTTGGGCGATGGGTGCGTATATGTACATTATCATGAAGGCGTGGTAAGAAAATCGATGGGATTTTACAGTGCGGAAGCAGCTATAGCGCTTCGACAACGTTTGAATGAGTTGGTAGACCAGCTGGATGTGTTACAGAAGGACCATGAAGAGTTGAAAGTTTCGTTCGAAACGCAGCAACGAGAGCTGACCATTGCAAAGTCGGACCGTGTGTATGCCAAAATCTACCTTGGATGTTTACTGATAGCCCTCTTCTTCCCAGTTAATCTCGTCAACAAAGACCAAGTTGACATTCTAGCTTCGTTAAGGGAGTCTGTAAACGAAGACAAAGCAGCACTTGAGGCAGAGGCAGAACGTTTGAGGAAGCAAATCAAAGAACTCGGCGAGAAGAACCGTCTGCAACTAGAGCAAGTTAATACCCTACTGCTGGAGAAGGTAAACCTTCAGAGCGAAGGTATCGGACAGCGAGAAAAAATGCTCCAACGTGAGCGGGCTTTCATGTACGTGCGAGCTGAGCATATTCTTCTGAATGCAGTCCCCATTGTCATTACTTTGATTAGGGATTTACGTGCTTCAATTTCTGGGAGGGATGTTCCTGAAGACGTTAAGGCTCGATTACTTGCACTACACGAAGACAATCAGAATGTCAAGGAACAGTTGAAGACCACTCAAGAGAAGCTCGCAAAAGCTAAACAGGTTTGGTGGTCATGTTATCGGTTGTCTGTTTAGTCTAATGGTTTGGGCAGTTCATCAAATCTCAGGATAAACTATTTAAAGAGGAGCAAGCAAAACTTGCATCAGCTTCTTCGGTAAGCTCAACTGTCATGGAATCAAACATAAAAGTAAATCTCTGTACAGAACTATTCGGAAGATGGAGAAGGAAGCTTGCAAACACAGGTGAAGAACCTCAAAGAGGAGCTCACTCGTCTCAGGGTACGGATATGCAATAGAATCCCTTATCGATGGAGTTCATTTATCAATCTACAAACTACAGTCCCAGTGTATCGAACAAGAGAAACAATATATGTTCGAATTTTCACAAATGTCGGCAGTTGTCATCAACAGCGGGATGTTCCGATTTCGGAGCACACCTACTCAAGGTCGTCCGGCGCCAACCGCCTGGTTGGGTCAACAGCGGAAGAATGTGAGTACCGAATTTTCACCAATCATTTACTCACGCAGCCAACTCGCGCAATGGACAGCTTGGTCGCGCTCTCCAACGTTAGCGGATCGAAGATAGTGTATGTGGAATAGCTTTTGAGTGGGATGGATACCCAAGACTCGCTTCACTTAATTTGCATCTAGCGTATTCGTACTTGCATCAATATAATTTGATACCAGGATTTCATGGATCCGAACCATCTGTATCATGGCCTCTGCTACAGACTGTAGATGGCAGTCACTACGAATGCAACCGGAGTCTATTGTATCCACAAGTTAAACCGCACTGGTAGCGGTAGTACTAAAACTAGCAGGCACATCACAAAATTCGAATGTTCGTCCTGACCGAGTTTGAATTCTAAATATTGTCACAAGGTTCTGACATCGTGCGCCCTTCTTCAATAGGTTCCACTCTCTTGTTTTGTCTGGTGAACCGGACCATGAAAAGTTGCTCACGAACTTAAAGTCTGCTAGCTAATGGTTCCCCGCGGGAACAAACAAATAGTCGGGGGGGAAAGGACCGACCAAACGCATTGACAGGGAGCCGTATGTGTAGCCTTGCACCTACGGGACCTAGTTGAATAACTAGCTGGAGCGCGATCAGTGAGAAGGGCAGGATGCGAAAGCAGGCTGAAAACCAGACGGCAAGGGATTATGTATCCGCTATAGAATATGGTACCGTGGGTGCATTGATGAATATCTGCATGTTTGCGAATCAATCATCAGCGGGCTCAACGTACAGGGCGCTAGGACCAGATCATTCAAATATCCTCTCCCTTATCAAAAGCCATCAGAGGTAAGTTCCGAAAAGACCATTCACGCCATAGCCTGTGAATGCTATTACACAAATATAATTGGTAGGTCAGATGCATAATACACGCGTAAGTACACCATGACGTGATGCTCTATCTGTTCCACGAAAGAAGGGTCATGTCTCCTAGTCGTCTGTTTCAATATATATGTCAGATTTTATAGTATGTCTCAGAGGAAGAAAACCAACCTAGGCTTGACGAGATGGCGAATGGTACCTGCAATAGCCAGTAATACGAAGACTGCAGCTGCCGCCACATATGCCCATCCAAGGAATGGGTTTTTACCGCCTATCCAAGAAACTGTTGATATAACAAGCGACTTGGTTCCCTTATAACCTTGCACTGGGAAATCTACAGAAATCGTTGCCCCCAGCTGTCATAGGCGAGTCATTTCGGGAAGAACTTACTGTAATATATCTGTACTTGGTATTCGCCAGCAGGTAAGGTGGTTGTATCATTCCGTCCGTAAAGTTTAGAGAAGGTAGGTAGTCCTGCCGTACGCATCCAGTTCTGAAAGAGTTCGTCTGCCTGGAGGTTGGGAGGCGGGTTGTCTTCAGTGTAGTTGTTGGGGTACATCAGTGCCCAATTTGGAGGGGGTACGATTTCGTCAAACTTCCCGACGTAGCCTGACGTAGCGCTGTACTTCTTAGCTTCCCCAGGCCAAGCTATGCCTGACTGAGTGAAGTTGTAGTCCGACGCTCCAGAAGGGTCAGATGTCGGGTGGAGTGGGAGTATCGTGTCTGTAAATAGGGGTCTACACTTTCGGCATAACCATCACATGCATTAGCTCACCATTGAACATGGAGTTTGCGATTAAGCCACAGGGGTAGATCACCTTCCCGTCGCTGGTAACGGCGAGAGGTTTGCAGTTACCGCCACTGAGTGAACTATTATCACGATATTGGCCCTGCAACTGCGCAGTATCCAGACTCTGGACATATCGACGATTGTTCTGATAGAAATTAGTTAATTTGTAGTACTGGAAGACTGGGGCATCGAGGTCCGAAACGACATTAAACTTGATAAAGCAGGAGTGCTTTTGGTCTTGTGACGCAGAATCGTTGAAGAAGTATGCATACTGCGGAACAGGGATAGTTGCGCCGCTGTCGGCAGAACGAAGGTTGTATGAATAGGACGACATGTTTTGCCACTGCAAGTCGTCCGTTGACGAAGAATTTGCGAGGTTCCAACAGTCAGTGTAATCAAAGGTCATTTCTGACACCTGTTAGGCGGTTAACTTCATAAGCCTGACACGCTGTAGCGGGAATGAAAGCAGGCCCCATACCAAGCTGCTTCCCCACACTAGTAGACCGCCAATTGGGGCGAAAATGATGCCGATTATGAAGAGTGTCGGTAGAACAGTTTTGGGGGTAAGAATGGGCTGCCACGCTTTGAGACGCTGCTGCTTGAAAGCGGTATCTGACGCAAAGCTGCGTCAGAAGTGTGAATGATACGAAGAAATTGGCACCGACTTGCAGGACGTCGCCAGCTACCCTTCTCCTTCTTTCTCTCATTTCCCTGGCCTTCAGAGCTACTTTCTTGCTTCTTCTTGCGGTTAAATATGGCCATCGTCTCTGCGTAAGTCGTTGGGAGCCAACTGGCGGTTATTGCAGTCTCATAGCTGTGCGCAAACTCAGCCACTGATTCAAGAGACGTGCTTACGTCAGCTGGCATCAAGGAGGTTGGCGACTGCCGCGGGGAGTGTAGAGCCACTAGCAAAGATGGTTTCCACCCCAGCCATCGAGGAGATATACAACCCGTCTGGAGTAATACAACATCTATACGATTGTTATGAAGGAAGTGATAACGAATTTGCTTCGGTGGTTGCCAACCATTTCTCAACTATATTATTCAACACCGACGAGCGTTTCAAGCAGGTTAGCAGTCGCAAGTTTGCAGTGCAGACGAGCTAACCTGTGTCTCAAAGCTACCGTCTCTCGATATACATCATCCCCCTGAGGCATACACAAATGGGTCACTTGTTCGATTCCGCGCGATGATCCAGGACACCTCGTCGTCCCCCGAGCTGTACGTGACAAAGTTAAGCAATCTCCGATGTGGAGGATGGGGATTATCCACTTCGGATTCAAACGAGACGTCTGACAGCGTTGGATACCAAGACTTGCAGGAATTGGCTACAATGTGGGCTGTCTCGGTTCCTGCAGAATCGTCATGGCATGCCGAAGACATATTGCTACTTGCCTCTAGTACGCATCTCTAATCTTCATTTTGACCTCGATTGATGTTTACCTCCAGGCTTCCCTGCACACGTGCCTCCTCGACCACACAAGTTTCCCTTACCAGACGTGTCCCACATTGGCGTGCAGATCAAGGTGACATTCTCCTCAGTTCTCCAAAGTTTCGAGAGCTAAGGATTATAAGATGTATGATAATGCAAGTGCACAATGTCTGAGGACAACTGATATAGTGACTTTTGTTGGAATACTCTCATCAGAACCGTAAGTTACTCACTCTAAGCGGTTTGTATTGACCTCATTTGTCACAAGTGTAGATGCAGAGCTCAGTTCCTCAGTGGAGGTCCCAGTCCTACACGTTATCTGCTATCAATCTATCCCAGACCCAATTCCAGACATAAAGGAACCATGCAGCGTTCGCCGAGAACTGATCCACTGGATATCTGAACATGTTCTCGGAGGCGATGATCTAGCAGTGGAGTGGCTCTTGCTCCAGCTCTCATCAAAAGTGTCCGTGTTTAATACGTATTCCAATGTCTGTGCTAATCATTAGCCTGTTCCACAGTCACATCCATGCTACGCCATTTCTCCCCCCATCCTTAACCATTTCACACTTTCCTCCTCCTCCCCAGCCAAATATGCTCCCTACCCTCTCACATGCCCTTTCAGAACTGCTCCAGAAGTATACGCCTATTCCTTTGTCATTGGAGTTACTAAACACAAGGAGTTTCACACCCGAGAGCCGGGAGGAGGATCTACATTCAGGATATTTGCAATTGCCAGCAGGAACGACCGTACTACTGACCGAAAGTGCTGTCTTCGAAGGAAAGGTGGCCGAGAAGGGTATCAGAGTTTTACCGGCTGGTTTGCTGTTGAAGACTAATGTTTGCACAGGGCTTATGAACATCCGAGCTATACAGGAAATCATGGATTCCCAAACACTCGATTACACTTTTCCCTTTAGCAGATTCACTTTCGAGACTGATATCTCAACTGTCGTACTCGCCGAAGGCCGCAAGAGTGCCTTTTTTCAGGAAGGTCGCTCCCACTTCCGCCGCGTACCGTCTCTTACCGAAATACCAGACTAGCTTGAATATTCCCCTGCAAAGTAACTCTGATAGTAACCTCTACCGACCAGGAGAGAAAGTTGCCTGGCCGTCGTCTGAAAAGCTCAAGATCTTCCGATCCTACATAGATGCTTGCAAAGCAGCGTCTGGAAAAGTCAAAGTATCTGAGGCTGTGTCTAAGGTATGCCGATCAAGCACGTCCTGATAGCTCGAAATATATTACCGCTATGCAGTACATTCAAGAGAGCTTCGTCCGCCAGCGGCAAGAAGATAAAACGACAACACTTAATGACCTTATGCATCTCATGAAAGCCGCAAGGTTTTTCTTTCTTTTCTCTTCCGATCGTCCCGAAATGTTGACGGACAAACCGCGGCAGGCTGTTAGCAGCTTCACATCTCCAAGATGAGATGACGACTGAAATTTGGGAAAGAATGAAAGAGTTGGAGGCGGCACGAAAAATGCGAATAGCATCATTAACCATTAGAACATAGAATGACACGAAGATCTCCCAAGAGTGTACTTGGATATCATAAAGCTGGTGTGACAACGCGGACGGCAGATTTCTACTCCCCAAACCCGGTGCCTGTACTTGTCAATAAACAATTTGGTTCATCCTTCCAAAAGTTAGGTTTGCATAGAAAATGGTATATAATCAAATTGATATCAGAACTCGACTGACGAGATGAAGCACAGAAATACATCGAGCCCATGCAAAGGGGATATTTGCAGGGGTTTACATAGAAAAACAATCATCGAGACCATACCAGGCATCATTGTATGTATATGAATTTTGCTGGTATTAAGTATGAAGTATATATGTGGCATCATCAGGTTTGTTATGAAGCAATTGCCATTCAAGACCTGTCCATCGGATGGCCTTCCTCGGTAGGTTGCCTTACAGTGCCAATTGTTCCTCTTTTTTCCAGAGTCAGCATGGACAATATTTGATGAACCACATGCGTTACTCACTGCCCTGGGAGTTGTGCATTCTCGGCAATGTCTTCTTGCTTCGTCTGTTCTAAATTAGAGACCGAACCGCAAGGGGGAACCTGTTAGTCTCAATGCCAGACGTTTTGGGAAGGTTAATCCAGTGCTTTCCCCAAAACGTCTTGTCGAGACTAATAGGAACCTGTAAGTATTTCACTAATAAGCCACCTTAGCCATGACATCCCAATATTATTCGTCGCCGGTTTTACTGGTTTCGTGCCTCTCTTTATTTCGAGGTCATCGCTTACACTTTCACTGGCACAGGTTCCCCCGAATTTTGTGTCTGAAGACAATGTCCAAAGACTTGGAGAAGCTGATGCAGGCACCGTCTGGGTGCAATCGATGCTTTACAAAGAGTTAGTCGCACAATATGACAATCGACATCCTTCCTTTCTCGTCAGGATAGCTAAGATGTACGCTATGTCTAACTGCCCCTTGATGGCGGTGATTATTTATCGAGAGGTAAGCGAAATCCTGGCCGGGACACCAAGCCTTGTATTTGACACCCTCAGGCGCAAAGTAAAATGGGGGATATCGTGGGTCCTTTCCTAGAAAGGCTTATTCAGAGTACTTCCGATCTTGCTAATCAGGTGGCCAAGGCCAGTTTGGATCGCGCCTCGTCTTGTGAGTCTTCGCGGCCTCCCCGTCAATACGAAATGTTCCCTGACACCCTGGTGTGCTAGTGAGTTATTACCAAAAATGGATCCCTTCCAAGAATCATAAATTTCTATTGTCGTTGCAGCAAGTTCCACAAGGTCACGAAAAAGTGCGTACGCCTGTTGAAAGCGTTGGCCCCGAGGGCCTATGCCTTGTTCTCTTCGTATCTCAAGAAGCTTACTATTGAGACCAACCAAGTCGAAGTATCTTTCTTTTAACCCCAGGAGTATGATGTCTGCAGTAAATCCTCGCTCTACCTCATTTACTATCTTATTTCAGTCTACTCAAGATCTCGTTCGACGTGGTATCTCTCGGGGTTCTGTCAACCTTCTTCCTGAAGGTGTTTTGCACGACCCAGCACAAATCAAAAGCATTCCGAACGATACTCTAACGGTTTGTGATGCTACCTCGATGCTCCCATTTTTTTCTTACTAGCGGATGTCTCGGCCTACGACCTTTTGAAACCTCTGATCTCAAACCGTGAGTTGTTAAACAGCGTCACAGTTTGTTGCATCCATACACGTCTCATGAAGACCTGTAGATTCAACGCCGACGGCACCAGTTGCATCGTGACCGGTAGCACCCAAAAATTGACACGGAAGACTGTGGTAGTCAGCGGATCCTACGCCATCGGATGTTGTTCGTATTCGGAAGTTGACGAGGAGCTGGACTACGTCTGCAGAATGGCCAAAGTAAGATTCGTGCCTGCGGGCTTGTAGGTTCATTCTGAACCGTTATACTCCCCTTGCAGCAATGGATTGCAAAGTGGAGAAACCCGTTTGCAACTGTGAGTTGGATTCACCTTGTTTTTGTAAGATGTCATCCGTTTGAAGCAAGTACTTTATGATATTTTGTGAGTGGGTGTGCTGTAAGTTGACCGTCGATCCATTCAGGACGGAAATGGGCGCTTGGCCCGATTACTAGCCTCCATCCCTCTGATGGAGGATGGGTACTCCCCAATGATCATTTCGCTACGTTAGCGTGCAGCCTACTACGATGCGATCAACCGGGTATGCTGATGTTGCTTAGTACTCACCATTTTGTGCGTACTGATCACGAATCGGTAATGACAGGCCTACGAGGGCGATCATGGGACTATGGTCGACTGTATATTGGAAGGCATGCAAGAAACACTCGCGTTGGTGGAGGATCTATAGTGGGCCAGTCACACTCAATTGACGTAAGGATTTGGAATTTGTACTGTTGCTATTTGTATATTGTAGCTTTGAACGTTGCACTCGGAATTTGGCAAACGAAGCAACGAAATTCAAGAAACCCAAATGGATTCAGCCAAATCTGCACTATGTGGAAGCGGTCGCTCTATCAACTGCCTTGATGGGCCTATACCCATTCCACAGTTTATTGATCATGCCTCTGGCACGCATAACAGCAGTGAATTGAAGACAAACATATCTTGAGATTAAAACGCCGGTACGGGGTCCACAGGAGAACCTAGAACCACAGTTTCTATATATACTAAACTTAGAAGAAAATAGTGACTGGTCAGACAATGCGTGAGCATCCTCCTCTGAGTGTTAGATAGGCAAATAGTGGACTGCACTAACTGAGTGTAATATGGAGAATACCTCGAGCCCAGAATAACACTCAACAACCACTTCATTGGCACATGGTAGAAAGCTATGTGTGACCGAGGATGAATTGTACAAGTTCTCATGGACTACGGAGTCCATGTTCCGACGCCTTCATCCATACTTCTGCGAGGTCTTTCACAATAAGGTTCAGTATTCTGGCCAGTTCCTGACGGTCCGTCGCGCTTCCTTCAAGATAATACTTGATCTATGGGATTAGGGTATTATGCTGTTGTGTAGTCTTGTAGAATCGAAGTGCAATACCTTCGGTTCTGTTCCACTTGTTCTATTGTACAAGGTTGGTGACCTGTTACGAGCCAGGATGCCCAGGATAGGTACTCACCTAATAGTCAACACGATCTTTATATTTAGATCATCTGTCGACTGCGCCCTGAACTGAACCATGTGTCCGGAGGAAAGGGGGAGCCTTGGTTGATAGGATGGAGCGTTCGTACTATCGTAGCCGTATCCTGCCGTTAAATCAATGACGCTGTTAACTGCGAGGCCAGCTATGGATGATGGATAGTGAATGGTAGAGTCCTTTTTGCAGGCATGAAACTCCACAGGTCTGGTATGCAGATTAAATTGTACGCACGGACTCTTGAGAGTGACGGATTCCCCAGAAGATACGGTCAATTGTAACAGGATCTGAGCATATGAAATAGCTGTTCTTCGTCTAAACGATAGCCAGGCATAAGAGCGAGTCTCCCGCCAATATGAAACTATACCTCAAAGTAACCGTACCTTCGAATCTCGGTGAGAATACTGAGGTAGGGACATAGTGAAAATGGTTCTCCCCACCTCTGGTAGAGCTCTTCCAAATATTCATGGACCGTAAGTCCCCGCCGCCGGACTTCTGCAACGAGCTCTGCAAACATGACCTAGCATATCTTGCATTAGTGTTAATCGGTAAGCGGAACTCTGGACCACTACCGTTGCAGCCACACCGTCCTTGTCCCTAATCTCAGACCCAAACATGAACCCGATGGCCTCCTCGTAACCAAAAGGGACCTCGTAACCTGCCGCTACCAAGTCCAGCGCAGTGTTTCCGATGAACTTGAAGCCTTACAAGCACCATAAGGCTAATACTAAGGGGAGATGGCGAAAAATACCGGTTAAGCAATCAACAAATTTGAATCCCTCGACACGTGCCATTGCCTCAACCATTTTGGAGCTGACAATGGATGCAATCATGGCCAGCTTGCCTTCATGTAAGTTAGTTACATTGCTCCATTCTGTGCACAATCCTTACTCAAAGGTTTGCCGGTAGCTTTGTACTTGCCAAGAACATGGTCCGCAAACAGGGCACCTAACTGGTCGCCGGTGAAGAGAAACCACAATCCGTCAGCTCTAAAGATTAATAGTCAACATACCCGATCATCACGTTCGTAGAAAGCACTTACCCCCTCTCCGCTGCAGTGAAACGGTCTGCATCGGGGTCCTGGGCTAAAACATAGTCTGCTCCGGATGCCGTAGCTTCGGATATCGCTAGGTCCTTCCCCGAACGAACATTAGAACGAAAAACTGAATGTAGAAAGCCGATTACCAAAGCACCTAAAGAACGATCAGCATTAATCACCTCCCAGAGCATAGCCTAACTCGGTTTACTTACCCTTCTCCTCCGGGTTCGGGAACTTCACAGTCTGGAAATTGGGATCCGGGAGGCGTTGTTTCTCGACTGGAATGCAGGGGGCAAATCCCACCTGCCTAAACGCTTCCGATATAAATGGGTCACTAACACCGTGCATAGATGTGTTCACAAATTTAGCAGATGAATGAGCAACTTTAGTCCTAATTAGGCAGATGGGCATGAGACTCAGAAATTGTGAGAAGGAGTGGTTCCTGACATTACAAGTCCCCGAATGAGTGTAAAGTAACTTTGCTTCATAGAGTCTGAGCAGTCGATGCAGAGAGGAGAGGTGTAGACATCTGGCATGTGTTCAATTCTAGGTTCCAAATTTTGCAGTATAGACTTTGCAATGCCAACGTCGTGTGGAGCGATTATCTGTGAAAACTTTATATGTGACAATTGAAACACTGAGATATCCCTACTTGCACAGCATTCTCCCAGTACACCTGCATCACCAGAAGCGTCAGTCAACGAAGTTTCGTGACGGAAGATACATACTTTGTAGCCATTGTCATCCTTTTGCAGAGCATATGGTTCAGAATCGGAAGCGACGAGATAAAACTCACCTTGGGATTGTGGCTTGCTAAAAACCGATTCAATTTGCCGCGTCACAGCGATATGCTCCAACGTACCAGTTATCATCACTCCGCAAGCAGCGTTCAATTTCTTCACAGAGAACGGCACTCTTGCAACAGCAAATTCAGGAAACGTTCCTGTCAGCACTCCCTGTCACTTACAATGGGGTGTGCACGAAACCTCTGTGGAAATAGACCTTGATGTTGTTCGATATAAATACCTGCGCTGTGAGGCTCGCCCACCGCCCCGAGTTGTGACGGTGGTCGTGACCAACAACGACGCCTCTGATGGAAGCCTCAGGAATACTTCGGAGCACATACGCGCACAATCCCTGTCCGGTGATTCCTAGCACGCAATAAACGGAGGTCCACCGAAGATGGACAAACCTGCGATGCTTGTATTACTATCAGATCATTCATCCGTGCCCAACCGGCCTCCATTTTCCCTCGGAGGCCTATGGCAGGTGTTAGAAAATTTAGGCGAGCTATCCTACCGAGAGTACCGTACCTGCAGTTCCGAACTCGATACGCGTCCTGAGAAAGTGAAGTGTCAACGACACGAGTTGAATACGGTCGCTTCGTGTGGTACCTCATCCGTTGTTCTAACTCGTCTATCTGTTGGTGGTCCCATAGCCTTCGTATCTCGTCTCTGGTAATAGGATTCTACAGCGCAGTCCAGTTCCAATTTCAACACGACCAGGGACTACTTAGAACGTACCGGATCTAGCCTCAGCCATTCGTTTACGAGTTGCTCTAGTGGTACTATCGTGGGGGCCATCACTGTCTCGATGGTTGTAGACTGAGAGGAGCTTGGAGAGATGTGGTTATCTTACTGCTTAAACCCGTTCGCAATTGATATAATATGGCCGACCAATACGCTATGTCAAAGCTCAGGTTCTGAGAACGTCGCCAGATACGCACAACGCGAGAAATCAATGAATCATGGTCACACGACGCCAGGAACTTGATCTGACCGCAGAGCCATTCGCACGCTACGCTTGTTTCGCTCCCAGCGTGGCACCGGCACACCGACGACCCATCGACCAGGCCGAATCCGAGGAAGAAAATCGATAGCGAATGGCGTGATAGTGCCGAGAACGTGCATCGTGCTCGGACTCAGCTGGTGTGAGCGCGGTGTTGTACGTAGTTCTACTGGGATACGGATCGCTTTACTGTAACCTCCCCCTTTTCATGCTTCCATCACCTTGCCCTGACCCATCCGCACTTTGTAGTATAACCGAGGCAACCTTCCGGAAGACTGGCCCGTACTGCTCCCAATACCGTGGTCTTAGATTCGGCAGCCTCCTCTGCCTGCCGTGCGTGCGTGATTTCAGTTTGGCTGAGGTAACCTAGAAAATCTGAAGACGCTTAGATAGGTCCAACCGCTGGGAAGCAATGCAGCGATAGCGTGATCTCTCACGCTAGTAACTCTCACCCCAAACCGCTATCTTAGTACCTCCGACACTCAGGTTCCATCTCCACCGGGATAAATAGAGCTTGCTAAATGTGCCCCCTCATAGGATTGCATCTAGAAGCATGCACGTAAAACTCCGAAATTCAGGTGCATACCTAGAACCCAGCCGTCCGCGGGTAGATGAAAATGGAGTGAGTACAGGATTGAGGACATCCAGAGGATGAGTTTACGAGGCCCCAGAGTTGGTTAGATAGTTGAGAGATGCAGACACAATCCTTGTCAGCTCTCTCTCTGGCAGGCTACGAGGGAAGCAACGAATCACTTGTAGGCGCTGCGACGCAGACTTCGAAGGGAAGTCAAAGCGACGACGTTTTCGATGAATGAAACGTTCTCGCGAATGATACATCACATATGCATCAAGGGCTCAATACAACTTCTGCCTCAAGTGTGGCCCGCGCCAATGTATGAGATTCACGTATGTCATCGGCACGGAGTTCCCCAATTCGTTGACACAAATCTAGGGCACATCAGGAATTTGAAGAATTAAATAGATGCCAACGAGGAAGCACACGATATCTGATCCAAAAGTATTGTAAACTACTAGTTGTATACCTGATATAGAGGACTATGATAACAGTTGTCAGCCGGGCATACTATGATCAGAAGAAAAGGCTCACGTCGAGGAGAACTTTGTCCCTTGCCTCACCACTTTCTCCACCGCATCCAGGAAGTCACGTTCTGTCGCAACTTTCCTTCGTGCACGAATGGCAAACATACCTGCCTAAGGACATGGATTAGGTTGGCGATTACATCGAACAGAATAGGAGCTCACCTCTGTTGCAACGGATCGTAGTTCTGCCCCAGTTGTATTCGGACACAACCGTGCAATCAGTTCAAACCGGATGTCTCTTTCCACGCTCATGCTGAGAGACAGGTTAACGGGTAAATAAAACCAACTAGAATAAGAAAAACCCACCTCCGTGCATGAATTTTCAATATATGCGTTCGACCTTCGGCATCCGGCAACGAAAATTCTACTCGCCGATCCAACCGACCTGGTCTAAGTAATGCAGGATCCAATGTGTCAGGCCGGTTCGTAGCCATGAGTACCTTGATGTTCCCCCGAGGATCGAACCCATCCAGCTGATTAATCAACTCTAACATCGTTCTCTGAACCTCGTTGTCCCCCCCTGCTCCATCATCAAACCGCGCTCCACCAATAGCATCAACTTCGTCAAAGAAGATGATACAAGCCTTCTTGGACCGTGCCATCTCAAAGAGTTCGCGAACCATACGGGCACCTTCCCCAACATACTTCTGGACTAATTCCGACCCGATCACACGAATGAACGTAGCATCGGTGCGGTTTGCTACAGCACGTGCGCAAAGCGTTTTTCCGGTCCCAGGGGGTCCGAAGAGAAGGACGCCTTTAGGGGGGTCAATGCCCAATCTCACGAAACGCTCTGGCTAGAACAAGTGATAAGTTGCCTGAAAACCACGAGATGAGAGTGATCTGGATAGTTACCGAGAGGAGCGGTGTTTCAACGACCTCACGGAGCTTCTCGATTTGCTCCTTGCAACCGCCAACATCCGAGTACGTCACATCTGGCTTCTCCTCAACTTGCATCATTGTAACTGATGCATCGATCTTTGGTGGTAGTGGGATCTGTATTTGATATTTATTGCGGTCGACACTTGTGGCACGGTCAGAAACAGAGACTGACATTGTGAGAATGACCCACCCTACACGCATACCCTCCTCAATATCGGTTGGTGCAACGCGTTCACCTAAACCTACGACGAATTTCGCAATCTGCTTGATGTTGATGACATATTTGTCCTGTTCATCTGCACCCTTCTGTCCCTGAACGGCCCCAGCGGGATTCACTGCACGGGCGAGTTCGGCCTTCTTTGCGTCCATAGGAATAATTTTCGTACATCGAGCGACCTGCAATGGCTGTTCACTCATGCGTATGCGATCTGACATAAGGTCCCAGAGGTTCGGTGCAGCTAATCCAGTGTCCGACTCCTTGACGCCAAGTTTCTCGTCGATGCGTTTTTGAACTTCTTTGATATCCGACTCCGTTTTCTTCAATTTGGCAGCATAAGGACCTTGTCCCTGAGGATAAGCGTAAGCTTCGATAGGATTGTGGAGATAGTTGCCACGCACATAAGTCTTGAGGATTTGGATGTCACCCTCGGTAAGCGCTAGAAATAAGGTCAATGAATGCAAACAGTACAACCGAAGTGCAGTGTACCATGTATCTTCTCCTCCTTCCCATCATCTCTCTTCTCATCTGAAGGACAGGTCAACGGCAATCCAAATCAAATATCAAGAGGCGTACATTTCTCCCAATCACTGAAAGTCGGATGATAATGTTGTCAATGTCGGTTCGTGCAGTGTGTTAAGAAACTAGCTTACGCTTTGGGTGGCATCGTTGTTTGCAGCAAGCAACAGGCTGACTTGCGAGACGTCCCTTAAGTACTTCTGGACGCGTCATTGCAGGGGGGGCAGACACGACTCGGCATGTTCCGAGGGTTTGAAATTCCGCTTTCGGTCATCCTTGGTCATGGCACCGCTCAACGACGAGCTCATTAGCAGCTGCCATTGAACGAACACTCGGCAATTAGACTACCATGGCAGGTGCACTACAGAATGCTGAACGCGACCTTCCAAAAATCGCGGATGAGGAACACGAGTCGCGCTTTGGCCAGGTGTTCGGTGTATCAGGTCCCGTCGTGATTGCGGAGAACATGACCGGAGCTGCCATGTACGAACTCGTTCGCGTCGGCCATGACGAACTAGTAGGAGGTATGCCATATACATCATCTAATCTGTAGCTTTGGGACACCTTACCTCTTGACCAGAGGTTATCCGAATCGATGCGGATAAAACTACCATCCAGGTCTACGAAGAGACATCTGGTGTGACAGTTGGCGATCCTGTACTCAGGACAGGGAAACCACTGTCCGTGGAATTGGGACCAGGTTTGCATCCCAATCAGGAACGAATAGCCGCCTGCCCTTACTTATTCATTCAGGTTTGATGGGGAACATTGTAGATGGCATACAGCGACCACTGAGGGCAAGTTGAGATTGTTCTCTCGGTGTGCCATCGTCATGACGCATGCCCTCGATAGTCTATTCAAGACCTTTCCAAGTCCATCTATATACCCCGTGGCATCAATACCGAAGCTCTGGACCGCTCAATACAATGGGACTTTAGACCGGCGTCATTCCAAGTAATTCATCGCATTTTCTATACAATGCCTCACGTTCTCAATAGTGTCATAGGTTGGAGATCACATAGCCGGCGGCGATGTATTCGGTGGCGTGTGGGAGAACTCACTCGTAAACAACCACAAGATCATGCTTTCGCCCCGCGCCCTTGGTACCATAACGTTTATTGCGGAAAAGGGCAGCTACACAGTTGATGTTTGTTGTGTCAGACACATCCAGGCTCTTCTTGTACTCACGGTTTTCATCCCTAGGATGTTGTCCTGGAAACAGAGTTCCAGGGTAGAACAACGAAACATACCATGATGCAGCTCTGGCCTGTCCGTGCCCCTCGGCCCGTCTCTGAGAAATTGTCAGCCAATTATCCACTCCTGACTGGCCAACGAATCCTGGACGCCCTTTTCCCGTGCGTTTGACACAGCTTTACTTGTCGAGATGTTGACGCGTTGCGCCCTAGCTGTGTGCAAGGTGGCACCACCGCTATCCCGGGGGCCTTTGGCTGTGGCAAGACAGTTATCTCGCAAGCCCTATCTAAATATTCCAACTCTGATATTATCGTATACGTCGGATGCGGTGAGCGGGGAAATGAGGTATGCTGTTTCTGTCTGCGTTGTCGCACTTTACTCATGCCTACCAGATGGCGGAGGTACTGATGGAGGTATAAAAACAGTTACTCATTCACTTGCCATCGTTGTCTCACATTCTTGTGTAGTTCCCCCAACTGACCTTGGAGGTTGGCGATCGTCAGGAACCTATCATGAAGCGTACCACACTTGTCGCCAACACCTCAAACATGCCCGTGGCTGCTCGTGAAGCGTCCATTTACACAGGCATCACCCTCTCTGAGTATTTCCGCGACCAAGGAACCAATGTAGCAATGATGGCCGACTCAACATCCCGATGGGCTGAGGCTTTGCGTGAAATCTCAGGTCGTCTTGCAGAGATGCCTGCCGATTCAGGTTACCCAGCCTACCTCGGAACGAAACTTGCCAGCTTCTACGAGCGTGCTGGTAAGGTGAAATGTCTGGGCAGCCCGGTACGTGAGGGCTCCGTCTCCATTGTAGGCGCGTGAGTTATTGGTACAACGTACCTCTGCGGGTTTTGTTCACGTGATGCCACAGGGTGTCCCCTCCCGGAGGTGATTTTGCCGATCCAGTTACCTCTGCCACGCTGGGCATAGTCCAGGTCTTCTGGGGTCTGGACAAGAAGCTGGCCCAGCGCAAGCACTTCCCGTCTGTTAACTGGAACCTTTCCTACTCCAAGTATACCAAAGTCCTGGAGCCATTCTACGAGCGCGACTACCCCGGATTTGTCGATCTCCGAGTGCGCGCAAAGGAAATACTTCAGAAAGAAGAGGATCTCGCTGAAATAGTTCAGCTAGTGGGCAAAAGCGCACTCGGCGAAAACGACAAGATCACACTGGAGGTTGCGCGTATGTTAAAGGATGATTTCTTACAACAAAACGGTATGAGCGAGTACGACCGATACTGTCCATTCTACAAGACGAACGGCATGCTCAAAAATTACGTGGCATTTTACGATGCTGCTCTAAGAGCCGTAGCCCAGGGGGACTTGACGTTTGCGAGGATCAGGGAGTCAGCGAGCGACTTGATGTTCAAGCTTTCACAGATGAAGTTCGAGGTGGGTGTAAGATATTATGTGGGGTGAAATATTTTCACCTACCTGCTATTCCAGTCCCCGTCTCAAGGACAAGAGCCGATCACGAGGAAGCAGGATGCACTGTATACCGAGATCCAAGACAAGTTCCGCCAGATGGTAGAGTAGAAGACCATCACCCGTAGCGCATATTCATTCCATGCTCCCATTACGACTTGTCATCTTGCCAGTGACGTGAGTGGGAAACATGTACATACTGTAATGCAACCTTCACGATGACACGTCCAATCAAGCTCACAACATGGTTTAATGTTTGCGTGGGAGCGTACAGATTTGACCTTCTGCAGTTTTATTCGCGCAATGTGGGTCTTATTGCGAGCCTATCCAATCCTGCTGTGCGATTATATATGTAGTGCGCTGAGGTACGCACGCCGTGCCAGGCTGTGCCGGTGTTTCTGATGGTCAGGTTGCGACCCCTGAGGCCTGAGAGCGGCAACACTTGCCATGTATGTGGAATTCCATGCCTGGGAACTAGAATAGTCTCCCCTCTGCCATATTTCAAGCCACAGAAAGTGGGCTCTTTTCTGTTGGAGGAGGCCCCGGGAGGGTCATTTCCAGTGTGTATGCACACCAACCACCAGTTCCATCTATTTCCAACCGCAACTATCATGATTCATGTGGCGTCATAAGCTGAGCCAGACCCGATATGTATGACGTGTGTTTAACGCGTGTAACTGCGGAATGGGCTGCGTGCCGCCCAGAGCCGGAAGGCTACATACCCAGTGCCGTCTGAGCGGACCTGGCAAACAGGGTTTCCACAGAACCCACCCAACCATACTGAACATGCGCCTTTCTGGCCTCACATCGCTAGTCCTGTTGGGCACAGTCTATGCCCTCCCAACACTTATCCTTCCTTGGTTTGGCCACGTTCAACTCGATAGCCTTCTGAATGGCCTGAGTAACTCCCGTTTGGACAAAGAGAAGACGATCTACCAAATCTTGAAAGAAGATGATAAGTAAGGCAGATTCCCATTAGAATTGTAAGGCAGGCGATAACCTATAAGCACAGTTTCTCTCTCCTCGTTAAGGCGATTGATTTGAACGAAAGGGTCGTGGAGTTTCTGGACGACCCCACACAAAGGTCAGAGGTCTCGCGTTTGCGCTCAGTCAAGGTATTGACTTGCGATTAGTATCACGTTCTTTGCGGTCCCCAATTCGGGCTTGCCAGGGCACGGCAGACATGGTGGCAAACATGACGATAAAGTGGACGACGCGTGCTATGCCAGGTCTATCAATGACCTTGAGCACCTGATCCTCCAAGTCGAACAGTTGGACTACCTGTCTGATTCCGATGACAAGGAAAAGCGCAAAGAATGCCTCGCACGTCTCGTGCGTGGTATTCTAGCGTACCACACCCTCCCCGAGAAATATACATCTACTCAGCTTCACGAGAACTCTACTTACGCCACCGACCTCACTCCGAAAGACGGTTCTTTTGATCACAAGCCGCTTAGAATATCCGTTCAAAGCAGAGTTCTTCCCCCCAATTTGAAAATTAACTTCTACGCCGGTGTAACCCAACGTGACATTGAAGCAAGCAATGGTATGTGTGGTCGTAAGCAATCACAGACCTGCTGCTTACAGAATGATGGTAGGAATCATCCACCACATCACTAGGCCTCTACTACCCCCTCCCTCGATCTTTCAAGCAGCTTTTCTATTCCCGGAGGCTTTCTCTTACGTTGTCAGTCCTTTTCAGACTCGATAATAGAACCACTCATTTTCAGTACTCTCTAGACATCGGCCATTCAGCGCGTACACCTCACCGGGGCTGTGGATCGGTGGTATGTTCCGGGAGAAGGTCATACACGTGGCAACTTCCATGGAGCCCCTTCGACTACGTTCTTTGCACCGACTTCAGCCGCGTTTCAGCGCCTTCCGAAAAAGCTTCAGCGTTTCCTGTTTTCTCCTTTTGGTGAAAAGGCACTGAAAAAGCTTTTAGAATTTCACATCATACCTGACTTTGTTCTATTCAGTGGTGCGTTGTGTACTTTTCATACCATACCATTTTCTTTACCCCAACAGATTATGTGCACAATGCCACTTCGGAGGCGTCGGCCAAATCCGATCTTATAAGTGACCTGCAGGCGGCCCAGTATCATGCCAGCCCTCCAGGATTCCCTGCAGTCCCTATGGACGACAGCGTGGTGGAACACCCTCGCAAAAAACCCACCCACCTTCCCAAACCTGCCTACGAATACCACATCACGCTTCCCACACGGCTCGCTAACCATAGTGTCCATGTCCACGTCGCACGTTACGAATCCAAGTTGCCTCTCCCTGGTGGTCTACGCTCTTTCACCAAGTTTAGGGTCAATGGTATAGAGGCCGGTCCAATTGATGTTCCGACCCGTAATGGTGCCCTCCAAGTCATCAGCGCACTCTTAAACCCGCGGAAGCACCACCATTGCCATCACGACCACGACCATGAGGACAAGAGTGTCATGGAAGATAAAGTCGATGCATCCTGGGATGATTGGGAAGAATGGTTGCCGCAATGGGCCTTGGAGGACTGACACAGAATTGACTCGCAGCCAGATGATCAGATTGTATTGTATCACTAGATATGTGTATCTTTCCCTGTGTTTCGAGAATCCCACTGGTCCGCTTCTGAAATGCCTGGTCACATTGAAGCTTGAAGCATGATGTATGATGCCTCGGGTGTGTTGTGCAGAATCTCGTTAGGTAACTATGGGCCTGGCAAACATAACCGGCATATTCGATGGTTTTCTTCTCCATGACCTGCTTAGTACATGGTATAGCAATTCTGTATGTGCCCAAGTTGTCCCTGATTACAGTCTCGCCGGTAGTGATCCACCCGTAGCGAACTCCAAAAGATTCGGGGTAGTTACAAACTAAGCCCTCACATATCAAACGACAGACGGAGACCAGAGACTTCGCTGCTGGGAGGACAATCAACGAACAACATTTGCAGTACCTGGGTACACAATGGATCACCCCACTGGGTGCAGTAGCTCTATAGTAACCCAAGACAAACACGTATGTATCTCTCTAGGATTATGCAACTGCCAAACATACGAAACAGACTAGAAAGTTCCGCCAATGATAGCCTACACCCTGCTAATATGACGTTGCAATGGAGATTCTGCATTTGTGCGTCGGACATTGGTCATATTCAACCTTGATAGCCGTACCCATCGAAAAACCCGGATTCACGCATGAACGATGTCCATCGCTGATCGAGTCCTGACTCTTGCGCAATAAGGCCGAGCTGGGCGAGTTCGGGTGGGGCAAGTGACAGAGGTTGAGATTGGGGTGGATGCGGGTGTGTGGGTTGACTTGGCCATTGGGGCTGGGGTTCATATTGGTAGGGAAGTGGTTGTATTGGTTGCTGTAGGTGTGGTTGCATAGTGCGGGTGTGTATATGTGGATGGATTAGATTGAAGCTCGCCGGCGCTAATGAGAGGGTCGTCGTAATACGATACAGTAGACAATGTGGAAGTCGACAGAGAAATATTTGCTTGTGGCCCGTACAAGTGGTGGTACGGATGACACCCTTGAGAAATCGGGTACGGATCAGACGACTCGGAAAAGCATGTAAGCGGAGATGATCCCAGGACAGGCCCACCATGTAGTGGCGCTTGGTACTGCACATGAGAAGGTATTTGAAGTGACGCTGGTGGCAGCTGCATGAGAATAGGCTGGGACGAAGCATCCTGGATAAAGTGACTGATCCCAAGTTGGCATCTCTTGCGTGTGCTCTTGATCAGCTACAGAATCGGGCTGCTGAAGCCATGTGGAACCCAACTCTTCAAGGCTGTACGACTGCAGCACCGCAGGTTCAATCCTGTTTTTGTTGTTGCTGTGACTCAGGTGTTGGACTACTCGCCCGCCTAGCTGACCCATCAGAATTCGGGGACTGCTGCAACGTCCCATCTGCCGTTTGGTTTTTTACAGACACGAACTTCATCCGGCCTGCAAAAATAGCCAGCTCATCGTCACCCTCATTCTCCGCGTCGCTCCACTGCTGACCCAACTGATTCGGCACATCACTCTGTGCACGAAGGAGAGCATTATGTGCCTTCTCCGTCAACTTGGTGATGATAGGCTGTCGCGCAAATGAGTATCCGTGTTCAAGGAACAAGACCGACGACGAACGAATGCTTTTTGTGCTCTCCGACTGTGTGACGATGCTTTGGAGAAAAGAATACAAGCATCACGAAGCTCTTTCATTGCATCGGATGCCATAGGTGACCGTGGCCCACGTGTCACGATCGTGCCGAACACGATCTGCATAACCATCATGTAAACGTCGAAATGGCAGTCAGACAACAAAAACGTAGTGAACTAACAGAAGCCGAAAAAGCATGCGTCCATATAGGCCAAAGCCTAACAGTGAGTGTCGGATGGAGGTCATATTGCGCCTTGACTGTATGTAAGATCGTCAAGGATGCCCGATACGCTGCGAGGAAAGATTGGTGTGTATAAACTCTTCAGGGGATTGGTGGGATTCTCGATGATAGCTTGCGCAAAATAGCTGCGATGGATGTAAAGCAAGACTAACCAGGCAGACCCACAGTCAGCTGAACGAACCTCACCCAAAAAAAAGAATGAAAGCAACTCACTGACTTCCCGTGAATTCGACATGAGGAAACGGCCCATAGATTCCATCGCACTAATGTCCTTATTTGATGGTTTTGCTAGGAGAGCGCCAGAAGCAAACTCTTCCACAGCTTCAGTGACAGGGAAATTCCGCACTTTATGGTCGAGCTCGATGATAGTGGAATAACTCGGGGATTCGGATGTCAGTGTTCGTGCAGCGACATCTGCAACGCAATCTGACGCGAACCGCAAAGTCCAAGATCCGACTGTACGAGTGCCGAACCAGTATGAGTACTGGAGCAGCAAATAAAGAGGGAAACTAACATAAAGCCTGCTTATCGGAGCCAATGTGAAGCTTATCATGCGGTGACCCGCCTCTAGGGAACTGGCAATCAATGTATGGAAGAGAGAAAGTTGGAGGTCTCCCAGCTTCGAGACACTGCGATACACCACCACAATAAGCAAGCACATAGGCGGACATGGACCCAACTTACGTTCCAAACATCTGTCACAAATAGATCCCAAAATACGATCCGTCGCCTTGTAGTGATTTCATGTGATAGCCCCCATCTGAGACCATCTCGGTCTTAAAACAACAGAACCTTGGTCAGCTTGTTTGTCTGTTTCCCATCTGCGTCAATACTTACGAAGTCCAAGCTGACAGAATAGTCTGTGAGCGTCGTACGCGAGCCAATCTGAACGCTAGCAGACGCACCGTATGAGCTAGATGAGCAGCCAGGGCCGCTAACGACCACGACGTCTCTATACTGGTTCCCATGCCAGCCAACTCATTTCCGCTCATAGTATTGTATATACCGAGAAGGTGCAGTGCTTGGATCGTCTCCAAAGATGGTCTCTCCATCACAGACTGAAGGCAGATTGCAGCATGCGCGACCTGGTGGTAAAGTCTTGCCTCCGCATTCCCAGGTTCCTGGTTAGGATCAACCAAAGCACCAATCGCGAAAACGAGGAAAAGGAGGCCGAGTGGGTGGGGGTAATTGCCCGCTAGCGCAACATGAGGTACGCCATTCACATAGTACGAGGGCAGCAACTTGAGCAAGATCTGATCCTTAGACACATTCTGAACTAGCCAGCTTGTTTGTTCGAGGTAAGTTTCTGTCAAATAACACGCTCGTTCCCAGGTAGGGAGGCAGTCGTTGGCTAGCGTTTCTACGTTCAGAGTCGAATCATCGGGTTTAAATGGAAAAGCCGGGGTAAACATTTCAATTTCATGAGGCAACTCTGGACTTTTCGAGTCCCTCGCCGAGCCAGACGAACCGTCGGCAAAGTCTTGTGAGGGCGGACTATCGCTCTGGAGCGCATCATTATAGGTGCGACCGAGTAAGACTGGCTCTAGCTCACCATCAAAAGACACTATAAAAGTCAGCTTTGAGGAGAAGCATACATGATATTTGTGGCAATACTTACATGTGAGCCTCCTGTCGCTCCAAAGAAGCGAGATGCGCCATTATCCGAAATAGACAATGTACCCAAGGCTTCCACCAACTCAGGAGCGTCTGCGACTGAGGAGTCGTCAGCAGAGAGAGGACCAACGTCATCATCACGCTGAGATGCCCCCGATGAATCAGGCCGAAGAAGCGGGTGTGGTTCCGTGGAATGCTGGGCTTGAAGCTCCTCTAGTGAGTCCTCCAGTTGCCGAATTCGTTCGCTCATTTTGGATATCCGACGGTGTAAGTGTTCTGTCGCCGCAAGGACGAACCTGGATTACGGAGCGCTTAGACGATAGTCTGGCAGAAAACTACCATAGATAGATCATACCGAGTTCCTTGGCCTGTTGTGAGGCTTCCTGCAGACAGCGGGTGGTCGAAGCCATGGGAATGGAAGGATAATCATTCAAAAGCACGTACCATTGGGACATAATGCAGCGCAACGCCTTCGCTATAGAAGTATGCAAAAGTGTGAGTTATGGTGGTGATGCAAGAGCGCCAAGAGGAGAAGAGGGTATGCTCACCCGACAGGACTGGCAAGGAATCTGCTTGTCACACTTAATCTTCAGTCTTTAGATACAGATCAAGGACCAAGGGGAGGTGTGGAAGTCAGCCAACAAGCGTTACACAGACGTATTCGGATGACGCGTGATGACCGCGCACGTACCTATTGCATTCAGCACATGACAACTGTCCATTGTTCCTCTTATGTTCGGTCTCCCGTGCATGATTATCGTCGCATCCAGATTCCTTGGGAACTCTGCGACTCGGTTTGCGTTCAGGCGGCATCTATGAAGTTGGTGGAACGGGGAACAGGTTGCTAGGCTCGGATGTCTCCCAGGTTGAGTTTGGTGTCTTTATGTATCTGTTCTCTCTCGGGCGTTTGTTCATCTTCCGAGCATCGGGATTGCGTCAGGTATTCGTCCATCTTCCGTACTTCGGGCCTCATTTCCGTGTGTCGGGTAATCAAAAATCGTTCATATTCCGTCCATCGGTTGCCTTGCACGCGTGGGCACTAGAGCGGATCACTGAGCTACATACACCGCACCAAAGCCCCGGTAGTCGCGGAGGATCAGCGCACCCGTCAAAAAGGGAGATTCGGAAAAAATCTAGTACTTACATCCAGAACACAGCTTGGCACTACTGATTTGATGTGCCTTCGCTGCGGATGCCGAATAATACTGTTGGAGCTGAACATCACGTTCGACACGTGTGCCTTTCTGTGACCTATAACGATACCACGTTGTATCAAACCATTCTCCGCCAAATCGATGAAACTCACAGAATCTGAAGAATCACCCCGTGATCACGGACACAGGACACCTAGGCAGTACGTGTGATGACCTATAATCGCTGATCTAGTATTAACTGCTTAAGCCTTTTGTTCACCTTTTGAGAAGACGCGTCCGCTGAATGTAATAGCCCTCTTGACCGGGAAAAGGATACCCAAAGAGTGAGCCCTCGAAGTCAAGGTCTTAACAAGTTACGCCCTACTATTTTACACATCACTGGGGAATTGAGGTCACTTACAATGGGATGTCTGAGCTTACCGTAATAAGGGCACGAAAGAGGGACGGAGTGACGCAGGGTAATGGGTACCGGAACATCATCCAGAGTTGCAAACAAGCCATCTTAGAAGGGTGGTCATGTGTTGCATTGACAAGCGTAGCAGCGCGGAAGTCTCGGAGGCAACCAACTCAATGCACCGCTGGTACCGCAGCTCGCAGACGTGCTACGTACACCTCAACCAAGTCCACGAGTCAGCCTTTCCTACTAAACAAGTTCGAGAAGTCCGAGGACTGGCCAGAGTACACTGATCGACATGATAGACCTCCAATCCTTTGACAAGAACTTGGTGTCCATCGGCACCGAACAGGCCTTGACATCCATATTTAGAGCAGTGATCACGGGAATTCCGGAGAATATTCCGAAAGACGAATAGGTTATGAGGGGTATCGGAAGACAACGAGAGTGAAAAACCGAGCATATTCACCGTTGGGCTTGTTGGGAGCGTGCCGCTGAAAGACCAACAGCTGTGTCGGAAATAACTCAAATGTCACAAATACTAGTGATTACAGAAAGTATGGGAGGACCCGGGCACCTAACAAGGACAAACATTAGCTCGGACTTCACGCCATGGCCAACACGACGGTGAAAGGCGCATTAGCGATCCATGGCCAAAATCCCCAAGTAAGTCCCGTTAATGATGAGTCGGAGCACAGGTCTAATCCATGCAGTTCCTTGTCGAAACTGTCATCCGCAATCGAATTTGGGAGTCCGTCTACTGGAAGGAACATTGCTTTGCATTGACGGGTTTGTTAGCAGTACACTATGGGAGGTCCGTGCTGACAACTTAACATAGCGGAGTCCCTCATCGACAAGGCGATAGAACTGCGTTACATCGGGGGTGTCTATGGCAACCAACATCCCACTGAATTTCTGTCTCTGCTCCTTAAACTTCTTCAGATCCAACCCGAAAAAGAGATCCTGATCGAGTATTTACAGGCAGATGAGTTCAAGTGAGCCCATCGAGCTCCTGGTCGCATTTACTGTCATGCTGACGCGCGTTAGGTATATGAGAGCGCTAGCTGCAATGTACATCCGAATGACGTTTCGCGCAGTCGAGGTATACGAGACTCTCGAACCGCTGATGAAAGACTATCGGAAACTGCGCTATCGCGATATGGGCCAGTCGTTTCCGGATGACTTTTGGTCTTTTCAATAACTGACAACTCGCTGCAGCGGGATACTCACTAATCTTTTTCGACGAGTTTATTTACCAGCTGCTCAGCGAAGAGCGTGTATGTGATATCATCTTACCTCGCTTGCCGAAGCGGCAAATATTGGAAGAAAGTGGAGAACTTGGGCCACGCAAAAGTCGGCTGTTAGAGGCCATGGAGGGCAAGAGTGATCATGGGGGCAGTGACCGCAGTCGAAGCTCCAGTCGTAGTCGCACCACGGACAGGAGCAGGAGCAGGAGCAGGAGCAGGAGCAGGACTAGCGATCGGTCTCAAAGTTCAAGTGTATATCATTCCAGGAGTCCAAGCGAGGCAGGTTCGAGAAGTGGTTCGCCGTCTGCCAACAGGTTTGTTTCACGCAGCCCATCTCGGTCGCCCTCACCTCGTAATATGTCACCTGACGGAATGGAATTATAATGTATCACCTATATATTATCTGTGTCGTAATTCTCTATGCAGATGCAGTATTCTCGGCTGGCTTCTTATTGAAGCTTTGGGTCTTGAAAGAAAGGAGCTGTCTTGAGAGTTGTTTCCACCGTTCAGAGACAAGTGGCATCTTCTCTGCCGCTTCCGGTGACAAGTATCCACGGTTCTTCCAATCCGTGTACCATACTATTGGCCATTGCTCTAAGATAATAGTGATACGAAATGCAATCGAGCAACGTACGAATGTCATTGCGACGTGTCGGGGCAGCCGCTACGCGGTCGGTACGGCCCTTGACGCAGTCGCGGAGTGCAAGTGGATTATAATACTGGCAAAAGACACTTCCACTATTTGCCTCGACTGCCTTGATAGCACTCTTCGACGCCCTAGACGACACGATGTGGACGGGGGACTTCAAAAATTGTGCACCCTACAATAGATTTGAGTAACGGTCACCCCCAAAGTCGCATACTCACATCGCCCAATAACTTGACACCGTCATGAACGTCGTGTACGCAACCACTCAAAAGCAGGTCCTTGGCGGTGATGGGTTGGTCTGGGGAACAGGTCAAACGACCTTGGTCGATCCAATGCTGTATGCGATCCAAGTTGACGGCTGCATAAACTTTGCGGTTCCTAGCAAAAAATACCCAAAGTGTTTTCGTCTCAGCACCGGGCGAATACACCATACTTACGGGTTTACGAAGCCTTTCTTGGGAAAGCGCTTGGTTATGGGTGTCTGGCCACCCTCAAAGCCCGCCTTTGGTTTTCCGTTCCCTGAACGAGCTTTGGCACCCTTGTGACCGCGTCCCGACGTACCACCGTAGCCTGAGCCCTGGCCCCGACCAACTCGTTTTTTCTACGTATTGATGTGAAGTGGTACAGTGACAGAGCTTGTTGAAACGTACATCATGGAGCGAGCCAAGTGCAGGGCGAAGATTGGATAGAGAGACCCGGCTTGCCCCTGCACGGACCACGGCTGACATCGTGTTTGTTGCTCAAGGCGGGATTGAAACCGCGCAAAAGCGGTAGGCTGACTCACGTGATCTTGCTGATCCTTACATAAACTGCGCTCGTCGTCCTTGCGCTCATGATTCGGATGGCTACATCACTGCAGCCCTTGATAGTGATATGTGGGGCAACCGGTGTCGGAAAATCAAAATTAGGAGTTGAACTTGCCTTAGGGTTGGCGAACCAGGGCCACAGCAGATGGCGGGGTGCGAGGATCATCAATGCGGACTCCATGCAAGTATATGCGGGCTTGGATGTGGCTACCAACAAGATTTCCCCGGCAGAACAGATGGGCATCGACCATTTACTCATGGACTTTAAACAACCTGGGGAACAATACCTCGTTGGACATTGGGTGCACGACGCCATGCAAGCGGTAAGTTTCCGACATCACCGTGCTCAACAAATCAATAATTCCACGCTTGACAGATCAAAGAGACCCACAATCGCGACGAGATACCCATCGTTGTTGGAGGGACGTCTTACTGGATACAGCATTTACTATTCCCAAATCGACTCGTTAGTGATGGCCCGCCTAACCCAGCCAGAGATCAACATTCTGGGCTGTTTCGGTCACCTGAACTAGAAAGATCCATTTCGCAACTCCCTCCTGATCTTCTTGGCCTTTTCGATCACTTGCCTGAGCACGCACCACCCGCGGTCAGCCATCCCGATGACGCCTTGTTACTCTACAAGCTTCTCCAGGCACTTGATGAGCCGGTGGCTGCCAGATGGCACTGGAGAGATACTCGGAAAGTTCTCAGAGCCTTACGGATTATCAAAGATCAGGGACGAATGCCGAGTGAAATTATCAACGAGCAAGCCAGCACTCCTCTCTTTCCTCGGTGAGTGACGATCTTTATTTAGATGATAGTTGCTTATTGGCAAAGGCATAAACCATAGATACCGGACACTTTGCTTTTGGTTGCATGCCGAGCAATCCGTGCTAGATCGGCGCTTGGACGAGCGTGTTGATGGCATGATGAAGGTCTATTATTATCATTATTACTGAGCGCAAGTGACACGTCATTCAACAATTTAAAGAACGGCCTACTACAGGAAATCCGAAGAATTTACGAAAATGCCAGCTTTTCGGCTGGTATTGACGGTGGTCGTAGTAACGAACACGACGGAAACAAAACTACAGCCGACTTCACACTTGGTATTTTCCAGTCCATTGGTGTGTTACTCAAATTATATCTCCTGTTCAGGCTGCAACCCGGATTGCCATAGGTTACAAAGAATTCTACGATTACATTTCAGACCCAAACGCTTCGCGGGAGGATCTCACCGATGCCGTGGAGAAAACAAAACATGCTACTCGAAAATATGCTAAGCGTCAAATATCATGGCTTCGGAACAAGCTTTTACCTGCATTACACAGCGTGGCAGCAGAATGCAGAAGCAAGTCATCGATGGCGACGTTATACTTACTCGACACATCAGGCAAGTGGGCAATTACGCACAAAGAGCACGTTTCCAACGTCTTGTCATTAGTCCTTGGAGAATCATGGGTTTCGAACGTGTGTCAGCCCGCTCAAATGATCATGAGTGGTCCGTGTTTCGCGAATAACGTGATTCCCTCTGAACATAATTCTAGCGTTCTTAAACGAGGAGGAACTTCCAGATCCTATGATGTTATCGCCCTTGGCACGAGTTATGTTATCTAATGTGAACGAAGCACTGAGGTTTGTTAATCCCTGCTCGTGGCCGGCTGATTTAGACTTTGTTTCAAGTCCCTCAGCAGTTCTTGAAGCTAGGCGACTGGTTATGTGCCCGGTCTGCACAAAGAATCCTTCACAGCCTGTTATGGTCGAAGCAGCTGAGTGGGAGGCTCATCGGAGGACTAGGCTACACCGACGACTAGCGGCGAAGACGAAAGAGCGGGTTTTTGGTACTCCACGGGGAAATGGAGCACCGGAATGTCAACCCCCCGGTGGACCTCTTCCTTCGTGAGTGACATTGTGAATGACTTCGGTGCGCATCTCCGATGCTGTCGCTGACTTTTATTGGATTGTAGGGATAATCATATTGTGCCTGTGTAGATGGTCATTCCAAGGCCTCGGCGACAATGGCATTCATGATTTGGTCCTCTTGGTTAGTGCTGAAGGCAAGTCGTAGATGGCGGTCCTGAGTCTTTGCCTTAGCTTGAAAGCGCACCTTATGATAACACTGTTCACGTCCCTGGGGTGCCCGTTCGCTGTGCGCACTAACTCTTTATCGCTAAAGACAACAAGTATGATATGGTGGTGCCTGGAGCTATTTGCCTCAAAATATTCTCTCACGGGGGTTTTGAAATACGAAAATACTCAGTGATGTTTAATGTCATGGAGCGGCAACCATCAGACATTGGAATATCCCGCTGATCAGACCCCGTATTTGCCACAGAAGATAAGGGCCAGCACACAAGCCACATGATTGCGCTGACACTGGGGTTCCCAATTTTGGGATGCGCTGGCTGCGCGGGATCGCGTTGCCAGAAGCCTTAGTTGGCGCTTGAACCCAGGGTGTGCTATCGATGACCCATTGACGTGGAGGAAATGGGAATGGACACGATGGCTGCAGGTGTGTATTTGGATTGCCACCACCACGACCCAGCATCGTGATTAATTATGTTGGTTTGTACAATAGGGAGCCCGTGAATACAGACACTCTGAACTGCAATGTTGCTGGTTAGTACGTTGGCTCCGAGCCTGGTTCCAGCTGTCGGCAGGTTTATCATAATTGTTCCAGGTGATCCGCATATATTGGGGCCCCTTACAGCGTTACAACCCGGGTTTGTAACATTTCGTGTGCCACGTTGCAACTGTCAGACTGAGTTATGTTCTCCACCAGCGAGTTGGAGGACTATCGGGGATCATCGATCATCCCGGTACATATGTTATTGTACTGCCGTGTGTGGTCGCTTCGTGCGTTGATGGGCAATGAGCCACTGAGGGATGTCGTCGTGAGATTCCTGGTATGTATCCGTGTGGTCAAGCAGTGCTTGATGGTATAAAAGAACACCCTACTGTTCGCCGAATCCTGTCGCTCGAGCCGTTCCAAGGGTGCTGGAGCCTCTAGTTCTAACACTACGAGCAATCGTGCGCGTTGGTTTATGGCTACATCACTTCACCCCTTGGTAGTGATATGCGGCGCAACCGGTGTCGGAAAATCGAAGCTAGGGGTTCAACTTGCCCTTGGATTGACCAACCAAGGCCACAATAGATGGCGGGGTGCAAGGATCATCAGTGCGGACTCCATGCAAGTATACAAGGGTATGAATGTGGTCACCAACAAGATTTCCCCAGCGGAACAGATGGGCATCGACCATTTACTCATGGACTTTAAACGACCTGAGGAACAATACCTCGTCGGGCAGTGGGTGCATGACGCCATGCAAGCGGTAAGTTTTCGACATTACCGCGCTCAAGAAGTGAATAATTCCATGCTTGACAGATCAAAGAGACCCACAACCGCAACGAGATACCCATCGTCGTTGGTGGGTCATCCTGGATCCAATATTTACTATTCCAAAACCGACTTGCTGGAGATCGCCCACCTAATCTATTCAAGGCACAACATCCTGGTCGGTTTTGGTCGCCTTCACTGGAGCGTCTTAATTCACAGCTTTCGTCCGGTCTACTTGACCTTCTTAGCGACGTTCCCTGAACACGTGGCATCGGTAGCCGGCCAGCCCGGCGCGGCTTTGTTACTCTACAAGTTTCTCCAGCTGCTTGATGAGTTACTAGCTGCTAGATGGCACTGGAGAGATACTCCAAGAGTCCTCAGATCTCTACAGATTATCAAGGAGCAGCGACGAATTCTGAGTGAATTTATCAATGAACACGCCCCTACCCCTCCCATTCTTCGGTGAGTGATGCTTTTTGTTTGGACGAGAGTTGCTTAGCAAAGGCGCAAACCACAGGTACCCCACACTTTGCTTTTGGTTGCATGCGGAGCAATCAGTGCTGGACCGGCGGCTGGACGAGCGCGTTGATGACATGATAAAGGTTTGTTTTTACCGAATGAAGCAACACATCGTCTAATAAAATCCTACAGAATGGCCTCGTACAAGAAATCCGAGAATTGTATGAATATTCTCGCTCGTTCACCGACCGTGACTCTAGCCGCAACGAACACGGCAGAAGCGAAATTGCCGCTGACTTCACAGTTGGTCTTTTCCAATGCATTGGTGCGTTACCTTTATTATAGGTGTTGCTTGGGCTACAACTCGGGTTGCCATAGGGTACAGAGAGTTCTACGACTACATTGTAGACCCAAACCCTTCGCAAAGGAAATTCGCCCGCGCTGTAGAACAAATGAAACAGTCTACACGCCAATATGCTAGGAACCAAGTCGTTTTGTCTCGGGACAGAGTTTTATCTCCCATACATACCTTGGCAGAAGAATCCAGAGGCAGGCCATCGATGGCAGCGTTGCATTCCCTTGATACAACAGGCAGGTTGGCGACTGCTGTCAAGGAGCACACTTTTAACGTCTGGCCCTTAGCACCTGGACCGTGGGCTTCTAATGTATTTCAGCCCGCCCAAATGATCATGAATGGTTCGTGTTCCGCGAGATAATGTGCAATCTCCTCTGAAGACAAATTCCAGAGTTCTTAAAACCAGGAGAAACACAGGCTTTGTTAGTCAATGTGAACAAAGGATCGAGGTCTGTTAGCCCCTCCCCTTCCCCTGTCGCTGTAGTTCACTAACCTAGATTTGGTTTCACAGTCCCTCGGCAGTTTTTGAAGCTAGGCGAAATGTCTTACGCCTTGATGCTCACAAAGATCATCCGCGGGAGCCCTGTGGGGGGCTCACCAGAGGACTGGACTGCACCGACATCTAGCATCTGGGAGTGGGGCGGGGGTAGCCCCAGTGGTGGCTGAGCCTTCGTAAGTGCAAGGTGCGAATACCTTCGCTACGCACATCTGACGCAGTAACTGACTTTTATCGGTTCGCGGGGGTGAATACAATGCGCCTGTGCAGATGCCCATTTCAAGGGCCCCGCATTCGTGATTTATTAGGTTCAGGCAAATGAAAATACATCTTCGACAACGATGGCTATTCACTGGGCAAACCTTTCGTCGTGAGCACTGAGCGGCGCCGAGTCGTTTTCTGCCAACAGAATACGCCTTTCTTCATCACTACCGGTGGATGACACTACTACGCGAGACCATATTCACCTATGCTGTTGGTTGCTGTTGGACATTATGGTGGTTAAAGCCACGACGAGTGTAATAAATATCGATTGAGACGTAGGCAGAAAAATATCATACGACAGCTTTATGTTATAGGTTTGTGAAAAAAAAAAGGGTTGGGTTGGGGTGTGAGCTGTCCTCGTCGGGGCTGCGACAGTATCGCTTGAATCTCAAACGCGCATTGAGTGGCAGTCGTGAGCACCGGTCGTGACACTGATTGTGCTCATTCTCTTGTTCTCTTTTTTTTTGCCTGCCAGATTTTCCGACTCGTTCTGCGGTGGCCATCGCCCACTGCCAGCACTTCGGCTGTTTTCTCGCTTTTCAACCATGACATCCATGGCGGATGTTCCGGCGTACATGTTACCAGGAGCACCTGTGCTTCAACCGCCGCACCTGGAGGGCCTTTCAGATCCGACCCTCTCCACTGAAGTTTTGCCGGGGCCGCCATCTCTGGTGTCTATTCGGCGTACCGTACAGAAGCGCGACCCGAAGAACTCATCTGTGTTTGTTTCCTATCTGCCCCCATCAGATCCTGGTTCCACGTACTCGGGTCTTATGGCTGGTCCACTAGCTGTGGATATCGGCGGCTCCCGTCGAAAGCGGGCCAGAGTCGACAAAGGGTGCGCCCTTTCATTACATCCTCAACGTTGTTATGCTGATGTCGCTCTCTTCCATGACGCACATCTGTTCTCCTTAAACTCACATGCTGTTCGTTAAACCAAACTTCGACAATTTTCGACTGTACCTATGCGTGCATCATGTACTCCTGCAGGACGGCTAACGGACGTGCTCAGCGTGCCAACGCTCGCAGCCTGAACAACAGCATTCTCCCCGCTCTAGATCCAGTTGTTCCAGAAGTGCCCTCACGCCAGCCTAGCGTGCCACTCCCAGACTCCGACTCGTTCCCGGCACAGCCCGATTCGGATGACCCTTCTTTGTCACTTTCTAGAGCCAATTCGCAGCCTGGTGGTGAAGAGGGTATTATGTCTGTAACAAACGGTAGAGGGAGGACCACGAGAAAAGACAAAGGGAAGGGAAAAGAGATCGACAGAGGTTTTATCAAGGAAGAACCAGTACAAATCTCACTGTCTCCTGAACCTTCCCTTGCTCTGGTACGTTTCTACGTCGCTGTGGTCCTACGCAGTAGCACGTCTAATTTTCTCTTCAGCCCAACGACGATCACTGTTCATCATGTCGGTCTTTGGGCGCTCTGGTGTATTGCGACAGTTGTCCTCGAGCGTTCCACCTTTGGTGCTTAGATCCGCCCATGGAGGCCATTGATCTTCCAGAAGGGGACAAGTGGTTTTGTCCAAGTTGCATCATTCGGAAGGTGAGGCTCACCACGAAAATCATGTTGGTAAGACCCCTGACAGGAAGTCGCCAGCACCCACCCTCCAAGCCCACACGTTCTTCGTTTATGTCGCCACTTCTCCATCAGCTCCAAGTGACCATCCCCAAGGAGTTCCAGCTCCCTGATGACATAAGGAACTTCTTCAAGGATGGTTCGTTACTTTGTTCTAACACTACCTTGCCTACTGACCTTTTTTTCTCAGTTTCCACAGCTACTAACGGAGCTTATGTCGATAGTTCAGAGCTCAAGCAGCTACGGTTGAAGTATGTCTTGCTCATTCTTTTGTCGGCCCGTTGCTCATTTTACGTAGCCGCCACGGGCAGTTGGAAGTCCGTGACCCTTATCGATTGAAGGATCGCAACGGCATCCCAATCATATGTTTCCGTTGCGGTCAATCTTCGTTGCCTAGGGGCGGCGTCGTCGCATCTACCTCATCAATGAAATGCTCCCGCCGTTCAACGTCGACTTTGCATAGTGCAACACCGGAAACCTGGAGGAGCATGTTGTCTTGCGACTACTGCAATCTCCACTGGCATCTTGATTGTCTCGACCCACCCCTCACGTCCATGCCTTCATATGGAAAGAAATGGATGTGTCCAAATCACGCCGAACAAGTTCTTGTGAGTACTACCTCCTCTTTTACCTCTGTATTTTTTTTGAGATAATACATCGACTCCCCCATATAGCAACCTAAGCGCCGCATCCCAAAGCAGAACGCCACTCCTATCGACATCACCAAACCGAACCAGTGGAACAGTGGCAACATAGAGGTCATTCACCCGCAACCGGCCGCGATGACTGAAAAACTGGTCTTGGATGAAGTACTCATCAATGGCAGGCGGTATAGAGTACCCGAACGGATTATTATGCTCGACTTCTGGAGCAAAATCAGCAGAGATCCACACCAGAACCGAGGGTACGTAGTCATATTTTCCAACTTGGGCTAGCAACCGATGCGCAGTGTGAAAATGATAGTGAAGACCCACCATCGAGGGTGTCGTCGCCGCTGACGTCGTTAAGTTCTTTGGATGAAGTGGGCACAGATAATGAGCCTACCTCTGAAGATCTCATCTCAAGAGATGAACTTCACGCTGCACAAGTGTGCTCTCTTTCTTCAATGGAGCAATTTCAGTAGTTGACTCGTTTACCAGTTGCTATTTGACCTCCATCATTCTCTCTTGCGGAGAACCGCGATCCCTACGGAAAAACCGACGAATATACAGCCTGCATTAGGCAGAGTTCAAGAAAGAACCCTTGTTGACTCGACCACGCAGACGGTTCCTGACCTGGAGCCATGTGCAGTTCCATCATTCCCGAGGACAGTAGAACAAAGCGATGTGGCAAAGCCGACCACTCACAAGGCACGTGTTAGCCCATTCCTTCAATCGGTTAGTAGTCTTACCTGCCGGTAGCGCAAGGCTTCTTCCAGGGCCACAGGCAGGGGTGCCACTGAAACTGAAGTGCCTTTACAAGCGCAAGCACCAAATGAACTTCTGTCTCCTGCAAAGCCAAAGAGAGCGAGAGTGGCACCAAAGCAAGAACAGGACGAGGAACTAAGATTGGCTGATGATTTGACCGTCGATTGCCTGGAAAGTGTGAGTCAAGAATATGTAAAATGCAGGTTGACCCGTTTCTCATTTCTTATTCTATAGGCTGTCCCTGCGCGGCCTGGGAGGCAGGGTAGGGGACGCCGCAAGCTGAGGCAGTCTGAGATGAATAATAATCTTGTTCCCGTTGCGACGTCTAGGTTCCATTCCTATTGCAACTGAATCCCTTTCAACAAACTGCCCCACTACACCGATACCTGTTGCGCCCGAGGTAAATCACGTTCCTCCAGTGGCATCTACCTCTACCGAGGGCCTGGCGTCGAAACCCCCTCCAACGTCCAAAGCATCCATGATGATAACTCAATCCAGCACCTCTTCCACACCCACCCTCAAAATCCGACTTACCTCGGCTGTCGGCCGTTAGTGCTGCGGCTCATGCCAATCTGACTGCCCCTGCATCCCAGTCACCGTCGTCCAGTATATCTCCTGCGCCAGAAGCAGACGCGCGGCTGCGACGACGATCGTTGCGCAGACAAGATTCCGCGTCCGTATCTGTAAGCGGTGCTTCGTCGTCCGCGCCAGACGATCTCGATGAGCCGGATTTGGCGAAACCAAAACCAAGTAAGTGGATAATTATGACATGCACGCGGCGCAGTGGGTTGATGAGCTCTCACCCAGGACGTCGGCAGCTGATGGCACTGGCACGGGGCGGCGCGGGAAGGCGTGGAAGGGGGCGGTACCGATAACTACGTAGCATGGTGGTTACTGCTAATGAGGTCCCACCGAGTGTAATTTGATCTGAGACACCTATCATACTGCATTAACATCTTTTTCCTTGTTTTGTAACCGGTGTGAACTCGGTACACACGAGCGTCTCATGGGAGCTGTTCCGAGAGTCGAGACGCCCGGAACTTCCTGGATTACACCAGGACGCTGTACCGCACTTCGACTCCCCCCTCTGCAATGACGCTTAAGAGGAGTTTCTTCCTGTCTCACATCCGTTCTACGGTGTCGTTCCATCGACGTCGCTGTCGTGGATATCATGTTCGTTATGCCCTCGAACCCCAGGACGTGGAAATTTCGCGGCTACTCACTACCTACGCTGCCCACCCCCCACACCCAATAACGCTCAGTTCACTCGTTGCATTCGGCCAACCACTCACGCCAAAATCCTTATTGCAAAGCGTCTCTTATGTCTTGTCAGAGATTCCTCGACGTCTTGCCAGGCGGGCGCGTGCACTCCAAACGCTGCCCTTCATTGTCGGCACAAACCCTTACATGGCGAAGACACTCAAGGCATACCAAGATAGCTTTCAGTTCCTGGCAACGTATCCGCCAGTCACCACCCTCGAAGAGAACGCCAGATTTACGGCCGAACTTAGCCAGTTGGTAGAAAGTCATCGCAATGACATTCCCACTATGGCGAAGGGGTCGGTAATTATTATCTGCTTGGAAGACCTCACACGTGCTAGATACTGACGCTAGGATGAGATTACAGCTTCCAAGAATGTGCCAAGTACATGTCCCCCGCACAAATCAGCAACTTCCTTGACGGTGCAATCCGCAACAGAATATCTGTTCGTCTGATTGCTGAGCAACACATCGCTCTGTCGCGAGTCCTGGAAGCGCAGTCGGAACTTGGTCCTACTTCTCACTACGGTATCGTAGACGTGGCTTGCTCTCCAGCTGCCGTGATTAAGATGTGTGGTGAATTTGTTAGCGAGTTATGCGAGGCCACTCTCGGTGCGGCTCCCACTATTGTCATCGATGGACATCCGGACACCACTTTCGCGTGAGTGTCGCTATCATTAATCGCTTGATCACGTATCGTAACCCATTCTCCAAGCTACGTGCCCGTTCATCTGGAGTATATCCTCACCGAAGTACTCAAGAACGCATTTCGGGCAACGGTTGAGCATCACTACAAGCAATTCGGTAGCACTTCTACAAAGCCTATTCCCCCGGTAACCGTGACGATATCTCCCCCACCTTCTCCTTACTCTCCTTTCCTGTCGTTCCGCGTTCGTGACCAGGGAGGGGGAGTATCGCCGTCCAATATGGCACGCATCTTTTCGTACGCGTTCACCACTGCAGGACATTCTAGTCCTGATGACGATGTCGGTGGTGGTCCTTATGCTGCACAGCATATCGGGGGAAGCGCTGCCGTTGGCGAAGGTACGAGCAGAGGGGAGGGAAATTTATTCGGGGAGATAACCAGCAAAGGTTTACAAGTCGGTTTAGGGACGATAGCAGGGCTGGGCTACGGGCTGCCGATGAGTAGGTTGTATGCGCGCTATTTCGGGGGTTCCTTGGATTTGTTCTCCCTCGATGGGTGGGGTAAGCCTCTATCATTGTCAATTGCTCTCTCTCTTACTCAGGGGGCCTGCAGGGAGTGACGTTTTCGTCAAATTGCGAAGCGTAGATCAGGCTGGGAACGCTGAGATCTAATCGATTCTAAGTACTTGTCGTTGCATCGACTATCAGTTCTTTACCAGTGCTGGCATCGGTCGCGTCCGGACTATATTCCTGTATTTCCATTAGTAGTATATAATAATTGGTGATGTAAGGCGGATATGCTTCGATGCGCCAATACAAAAGCTACCCCATGCAAGGCTCATGGACAGAATCGACTTACAAATTGTGCAAGTCTCGTGAATCGATGAAGTATACTAAACTAACTAGCCGTTAAAAGCGAAGTCGTGATGCAACTTGACGGCGTCGAACCTTCTCGAGTGATTGCTAACATGGGTACGCAAAAAGGTTGCAGGTGAGGTATTCGCGACAACACTCACGTTGCAGAGGCGTTGGCTGCTCTTTGAGCGTTCTGGCAGACACGCAAAAAGTGTTCGCTCCACAGAACAAATTTGCCCTCTACTTCCGCTGGATCTTCTGAATCCCTGACAACTTCCAACAATAGATCGTTATCTATGTAATACGATCAACACAGGCAGAGCACAATTTTTTCGGCCACTTCACCTGTCGGGCACACGCAAGCGATAAGCTCGAGAGTTTCATCCAAGAGTATGCACTGTTCATCCACCGCTGATGCATCTGCGAGCTTGGTTTCCATGAGTTGGTTACAAGCCAGTAGGGAAAACATGACTACTCACATCATGCCTCAGATCCTTCAATAGTTGAAGGAGACACTGAGGGTCAGAAGTTTCGTGCGTGCTCGATCCTTCGGCCTTATTCGCAGTTGACTGCGAACAAGTTGCTACTCGGGAACTCGATGCCTCACTAGTCCCACCAACTTCCGATTCCCTGACGGAGACGTTATCCCAGAAATCGTTAATATCGTCAAAAGCATCCTGGTGTACATCCTTTTGGTTTCTGGGTGGGGGTGGGGGTACCCGAGCGACCGCGTACCCGATGTTTCGTGCCTGTTGCTTTTGGGGCGCGTTCTTCGTGGACAACCTGGATGACTTCGGTATCAGGTCCGTCGCTTTGAAGCTGACAATGATGTTCATTTTCGCATGTAAGCAGTCTTGAGCGTTACTGCCCAGCTGCGCAAAATAACTGAGAACAACCGCTATAACCACTGGCAAAGGCGAACCTCGAGATAATTAACTCCGAAACCACTTCCAGAGGTCGTCCTACGGGTCGAGAATACTTGACGGCACAAAAGCTGTGTGACAATGCGTTCTGTCATACTCTGGTCTATGTTCGCAGCTGCGCCATAGCCTGATAATCCCGAATAAGGAGCAATATTTTTACTCTTCCGTCCTCGCCAGACATCTTTGAACATGTTAAGCGTTATCCCACGATCGCGCCCAGAATCAATCATATCGCTCAAAAGTTGCACGGCTTGCTGTGCCATTGCCGTGCAATTCTCTTTAACGGATTTTCCAGGCTTACAACAGTTGTCGCAGCTCTTGTGACATTCCCCTTCATCGAATTCTTCGTCGAAATGTCTAAGAAGGAGAACGCGTCGGCAGTCGCTTTCGTTAGAGCAATAGGCTACAACGGCGGATAGCCTTTCTAACTGTCGCTCAACCTCGTCTGGTGGGGGCCTGTTTCCATCGTGGGGGTTGGTTAACATGCTCTGTAACTTTGCCACGTCCCGATATGCGTAGACTAGGCGAGCGTTAGAATAATAGTCATTGTAGGTATCGCAAAATAGATCTCACAGAGAATGCAATCTGACGGCCCTCCATCCCTCCCTGCACGCCCAGTTTCCTGGTAATATCTGCTGCCATTAACAAGGTCCCAACAAAGTGGTCCAGTCACATACCCATCCATGTCTTTGGACATCGTCACATGAATGACGAATCGGACTAAGCTGCCGGGTAAATATTATGAACCTCGGAAATGAATAAATCCGAACCATCGGGTTTGTCAATCCCCATGCCAAACGCGATCTAAACAGGCGTGAGATAGCGGGGGCAGCACCGTAGGTCCGTAAAACTTACTGTTGCCACTATGATTTTGCATATTCCCATTGACCAATCAAGCTGGTTGACTCTCTTTTCATCGCGATCCATTCCTGCGTGGAAATGTCTAGCAGACAGATTAAATTCTTCTCGAAGTCTCCTTGCCACGTCTTCACACTCGTCCCTAGACTGACAATAGATGATGCCTGTATCACCCTTGTGACGTGACTGAATAAACCCTGCAATTTCTTGCAGAAGGACCTTTTTCTGGGCGGGCTTCATCCGAACTTCGTAATACAAATTCGCTCTGTTGAAGGACTGTTTGAGACACACAGGGTCCCGAAGCGCCAGAGATTTCTTGATGTCCTCAATGGCCAACTCGTTGGCACTTCCAGTGAGAGCCATAATCGGAATGTCCGGCCATCGCTTACGAAGGATCCCTAGAAAAGCATACTTTTGGACGTGGGCTCAGTGGACGGAGGTTTAGTAGTAGAAGCATGAACCTACTGATTCCCGCCACGATCGCCATCCCCCGATGACATGAGCTTCGTCAACGACAAAGCGTGCCAACTGTTTGCCCTCGTAGAGATCAACTACGATGTCTTGCACGTTGTTGCTGTTTAAAAGTTTCTCCGGTGTCGTATACACCAGAGGAACATTATCACCCTTCCGCAGTCTAGGCAAGGCATCGTGGGCTGCGTCTGCGTCAGCAGTGTTAATGAGACGGAAAGCATTGATGCCTTTTCCGCGCAGAGCTAAGACTTGGTCCTCAATCAGTGATAGAAGGGGGGATATCACGAATGTTGTTCCTTGGGTCTTTCCGGACTTGCACAGAGCGGGTAATTGGTAACATAAACTCTTTCCACCCCCTGTCGGTGCGAGGTAAAACACGTCCTTTCCATCTAGGGTTGCAGTGATACACTCGAGTTGATTCTTCCGGAAGTAAGAGAGCTTGAAGGTGCCTTTCAGAAGCGATATAGCCTCGGCATAGTAAGGAGAAGCAGTATGATCCACTCGTGCACCACTCGACGTTGAAGATACATAGGCTCCTGCCTGGTTGCCATCACGGGCATTCCCGCGCAGGGACTCTGAAGAAATAATCGGAGTGTCCGCATCTAAAGCATCCCACATTGCATCGTCACTATCAGGTGCCATAAAGTCATCCGCTGACGCATTAGTAGCTGGGAAGTCATCCTGTGTAGTGCAAGGTGCTTCAGAGGAATGAACTGAAGCACTTGTCATGGTGGTCGTAGTACCCGGAACGATGCTGCAATCAGAAGGGGTGATAGGTGTATCCGGAGTGACTGGATTTTCCATAGACGATAGAGGTGGTAATGGGGGATTCCTAGGTTTTGTCTTCACCAGCTCTAGTGCTGAAGATGAACGATCCAAGTGGAAGGGTGACAGCTGGGGAGACTGTTTTCGTTCATCTAGTTCTGAAGCAACAACCTGCTCCCTAATGCGGCGCATACGATCATCAACTTGATCCCTGGACATTGAGATAAGGTGCAGGAGGAACAAGAACAAATCGCCAAAACCCACAGTAGCAAAGAAAGTAATACGATGTCATGGCCTTCTTCGAAGCCTTCGATATGTTTGTGCATGAGCTCGACGATTAGTTGTCTGTATTGGGTGACTCTAGCGAGCATCGATTGCAGCGATTGTGACGATTTCTAGAATACGGTAAACTGTAGTTAAAAGCAACATCGAAGTACACTTACAAGCTGAAGATCTGGATAGGACTGTCGCTGAGGGGACTGTTGTACAGTAGTTTTCGCAAGTTTCTGCATTGGCGGAGTTGTACGCAGGGCAGCTGGTGGAGAAACGGACGAGGTTCCGACTACAGAAGAAACTTTTGGAGGTACACGGGTGATCTCACTAGGCCTCGAGTTCTGTGGCTTACTACCGAGCAACCTGGTTTGTGGAGGAGACACGTGCACAGGATATGTCATCCCATCGAACGAATGAAAGGCATCGTCCTGCTCGACAGATCTGACAGATTTGAGACGCTTGCTTGAGCTCCCCTGCACGAACTCTGTTGAGTTGGAGACGCGTTTTCTTGGGATCTGTTCCGTGAGGTCCAAAAGAGAAGGCTCCGAAGAGAGATCGATAATGTCACGACGGCGAGGCATAGGAACAGAGTTCGCGCTTGCACTGGCTGGAGAAGCTGCCTTCGCAAAAGGCTGAAACGAGGATGTCGTCACTCCAGATGCCGAAGTCGCATTGTTACGAACCGCAGAACCTTGTATATGTGAATGGGTTGATGCAACACTCGCTGAAGGTGGTGACTTACAACCAGTTGCATTCGGGTCTGGGGACGGACCCGAGTGGCTGATTGCAGGTTTAAACTTGGAGTTTGCCTTCAGATGGGAGCTGGGTAAGGAAGCTAATCGTACATGGATGAAGAGCCGAACTGACTGACCTTTTTGAAGCCGGCGGTACCAGGGGAGTGATTGGACGCAATGGGATTCTGACCTGCCAGAGGCGGCGGATGTACTCCTGATTGCATTTGCATCTGGAGCTGTGTCATCGCGCGGGCGTAGAGTCGCAGAAAGTCGAAGGCAAACGTGAGTGGACAGTGACCGATCAACGTTGTTTCCAAGAAGCACGGGGGCAGCCGCACAGCAAGTTGCAAGGACAACTCGAGGATGCTTGTTTTCTTTCAAGTCCACGCACGGACCCAATTACTCTCCACGCGGCATTTGAGCCAGGTTGTCGAGTCGATCAGATCCAGAGCCGAGTCGCGTCAGATCACGTGATCGTTCCAACCAGTACATTTCATTAGTACGCGCGCGCGTCACAGCCCAACCCAGGGATTGACTTACTGTCGCGATGTCCGGGCAGTATTGGTTTCCCAACATGCCCATCCCAGAGATTATGACCTGCCCTCTCCGAGTGGGGTCTGTCCGTCAGCACCGAACAGCTGGTCAGGCCATCTTCGGATTTCGTCATGGGCGTATACAGCGCATGTCTCGAACAAGTAACGGGACTATCATCGGACGCTCTCCAGGAGTCCATCCAAAGTGCGCTTGCATCCATGGAAGACTCTAATACAGTCGGTGTAATTGTGCACCGCAGGATCGATGCTAATGCTAATCCTCTTCCAGGACCTATATTCTGCGAGTGTGGCGCACAATTTCATGTTATACCATCTGTGGGTCGATCTATCAATTCCATCATGTTCTTCCTACTTATTTACCAATAGAACTCGCTTCGCCAACGCCGCACGTATCATGGACTTCAGTTCAAAGGACCTCTATAATCCTGAACCGGAACGAACCCGATTTATACTCTCTGCCTTCATCAATTTTGTCAAGTTTGCAGAGCAATGTACACCGTTTACAAGCGGCCTCCGTGAAAAATCTATTACGGTTATGGAGGAAAGGGAACAAGTTGCACAGGAATTGGCAGCCGTCCAACACAAACTCAGCGCCCTTAAGTGAGCGCGCTCACAACGTTGCCGTACACAGTCCCTGCTGATGCTACCCGAGAGCCCAGAGAGCTAAAGATGAGCCTAAGTGCGAAGAGTTGCGAATGGAGAACGCTGCAATAACTGCACATCTCATGGTCACCAAGGAGACGACCCAAAAAGTGGTCAAGGAAATCGAGGCTCTCAAAGTAGAGAAGGCCTCCGTTCTGTCGAAGAAGGATAATGTCAACAACGAAACGACCCTACTTCTTGACAGGATCTCACGAACACGGTCTCGCATCGTACAGTCCCCTGAACGGATTAAGCGCAATATCACTACCATGGGTGCTGTCACAATCGAAGACAAGAAGGTAATTTCTCAAAATGAAGCCAAAGCAAGGGCCCTCCAAACAAAGATATCTGCACTGTCGAACCTTGAAATAGTTTGTCACTTGCAACTTGTTCTCCATCTGCCACTCATAGCACTGCCTGCAGGATTTGAGGGCTTGTGTTGAACAACTCCAAACCACAGAAAAGGAGGTGCAACTCCTTGAGGCTTCCCAAAAGGAACTGGCAGATGTCAAAGACAGTATGGACTACAAGAAGGTCGAGCGTAGCGAGTTGCAGATGAAAAAGGAAGTACGTGAATTATCGTTGGTTCGTCATAAAGATCAAGTGGTCATCACTGCTTCAGAGAGTACACAGGCAACTGGCAAACGCCCAGGAAAAATTGGAGCGCGCCCAAAGACACGCAGAAGAAAAGAGACATGCCAGTCAACAGACCATTGAACGACTGCAGCGCGAGTACGAACAAATGGATGTTGAAAGACGAGAAAATGATAAGCAGGTCGAGGAACTTCGCAAGGAAGCTGATGAGATCGAAACCAAGGTTTGCTTGCCAGGTTGTATGCAAGCTATGATTCATGACATCATCGTTCGCAGATGGTAGAGCACCTGAAGAAGAGTGAAGCCGAGCTCAACGAACTCCTAGCAGAATACTGGAAACTTCGACATGAAACTGGTATGACATATCAGGCGTTTTACTTTCCGCGAGCATTCACCTATATTCTATAGAGGTGTACATGGAGACACTTGCAAACAAACTCAACATGAACGTGACCTCGGACTGACGACGTGAACGTAATAATGCTGCGAATTGGTGTTCAATGCTTAAACATGACGCGTGTTGTAAATGATTTACTTAGGATCGCTGCCTCCCCCTTTGCACCATCTTCGGCTTGCACTCACGACAATACCACTTCGACTTCTTGCTCGGTAATTCCGAAAGGCCTGTGCATCCAAGATGAAACTAGATAACGTTAAAGACTCCTTAGCCGAGAGCATCTTCAGCAACAATTAGACGGACTCACCCACTCCAGCTTACAACTCTTATTGTCGCAAGCAATCATCTTATGAGTTGGCGTCGTGAGACGATTTGCTGGCCTATCGGTGGCTACGATGGTAACACCTACCGTTCCAAAGGATACCTGGTGGCAATAGCAATATCTCCTTTCGTTTGGGTCGGCGGAAATTGGTGGCCCCTGAGGGGTGGGCTGACTAGGCATTGTCAGTCTAACACCTCTTCGGGTCCTGGGTGCCTCTGCAGCTGCAGGTGGAATTGGTGCTTCTGGAGTTTCTGGCTCATGGACGACAGTTTTCTTCAGTTTCTTGGGCACCAGTGAAGCGGAGGCTAACGGACCAACTTCGCTGACGACGACATGGCCGTCGACAGGAGGTTCGGGTTCGGGTGTAAGAGCGAGCGGACTATGCTCAACGTGAGAGGGACGCGCCCATCGCGGTACCGCTACGATATCTGGAAGTAGGATGGGTGCAAGGTGCGTACCAGGGCGCATGCCAAGAGATATGGCAGCTTCTTGTTCTTTGATAGCTTGATCCAGAAGTCTGATGTGCCGGTCGACCTGAGGCGTAACTCGTGATATAAGATAGTTAATTACGATTTAAATACCACTTACGGTTTCGTGCGCCGTTTGGGCAATGCTCACCTTCTCCTCTGCTGCGCGCAACGACTCTTCGGATACCTGCGCAATGTGTTGCAGAACACTCTGTGTCGATTCACCATGAACAGGCTGAAACGACGTGCCGACTTGTACGGTGGTACCAGGGCCATCGAGGGTACGACCGGCGTCGCCGTTGGTTAAATTGCGAGCAGAAGAATCCGAGTCCACACTTTGGCCCACACTACTGGGCACTGCACTGTCAATGACGGCCTCTACAAGCTGTCGCACAAGATGCTTCCTAAGTTCCACGTATCTTCTCACTGACGACAGCAAGTCTACATAGAACGCTTGAAATCGATTGTGAACTGCAACAGAACCCACACCAGCAACAAAGTTTACCTTCATTTTGGGCATCTAACTCGCGGATGAGTTTGAGCTGGCGATGGATGGACAGGGGCAGTTGTTCGAGTACTGTAGAAGTGATATGAATCGGTCCTACACCGCAGATGGCACACCAGCTCGTTTACCTTCATGATTTTCTTCCTTGAACGCGTCCCAAACCTCGAGCTCTTTCTTTCGTTCGTCCGTGAGCTCGTCTGATTCAGGACTCTTGGCAAAGTCTTGAGGTTCGTTAACGTCGACGACTTCCACTGTCCGTTCGTCTTCGCCTTCTGGGAACGCTTGTGAACGTCGACGGGGCTTGCGGGACTTATATGTCATGCTAACACTGGGTGGAGGCAGCTTTTGGCAGCAATACCACGGCGTGACTGGGGTGCACGTCGTGTAGTCACAACTCGAGCGCTCAAACTGAAGCCTGTCTCAGACTCGTAGGAATTACATTGCAAGAGCAACACTTGACAAACGAGAGCTTCAGTATGCGCCTGTCATGATTACATTAACCACGGCTGGAAGCCAAACTACCCTGTAAAACCGTGACAATGCTATAAAACCAGCAGATCTGGGTAACCAGTGGCCGATACAGCCTGACTACGATACATTAAGCCTTCGAGCAGCTTGGAGATCTTTCCCTGCCCTTGTGCAAGCCCAAATTCCCGTTCTCTTGCTTCGCGCGAAGATTGATTGAATAAGGGCCATGCACATCAGAAAGACCTCAAAGAAATCTGCGGTTTTGCCGTTGTTTGAGTGACAGCTGATGCACCTTCAACTGCCTTCCTGATGGAGAGTTCAAGCACTTCTCGCACTTTCAGATCAAGCTGGGCAGCAGCTTCCTTGAAAAATGTCGGGGATGACGCTGCGAGTGTTAAAAGTTGTGACACAGCGCTCGAATGAATGCTGGGCGCGGGCACGCGCGAAGGACGTAAGAGAAGAGTAATCGTAGGCAGGATTATACACAGCAGGCGAGTGCCTGTCACCACAGATGCGTGAGAAGGTGGCCTCCGAACGCATTAGAAAACTAAGCTTACGATTCTGTTCTGTCGCCAACGAGAGTAGCGCGGCGAACGTTTTATATACCTCCTCGATGGCAGAGCAATGTTGCTCTGATAGGGTATCGTCGTCTATGCGGGGTGATAACCTAGCAACGTACTGCACTAGTGCGGGTAAGAGTAATCGGGAGCAACTACGAAGAAGGTCGCTGCCCGTTGCCGCCACTGTGAGCGTTTTCGAACAGTGAACTGCTATCATAGCCATCTACGATAGAAAGAGAGCAGGTCGCTTAGGACAATCTCGAGAGACAAGATCATCACACGCACATCATCACTCTCCTCCAGTTTCTGGCAGATAAGATGGGCTAGGTGCTCGACGACTCCACATGCAATTTTCGCTCGAGGGGGAATGCTGGTCAGGATGACCACAGCGGCCAGCATATTCGTGTTAACCTTTCTGGTACAAACCGAGCCCTCTCGTCCACTGCGGAGCCTCAGAATTAGAGTTAGGCTGGTATGACCACGGGAGAACCCACCGCATATCGTCAATGTTCAGCAGGCACGAGGATACCAGTCCATGAATTAATTGGTCGTAGCGATCACGAGTACTCTCCTTCACCTCGACCGACAGTAACGCCTTGAATGCAGGCAGAGTGGGGGTTACAAGGTCTATGTCTAACGTTTCATCCTTCAGTAGCTCTGAAACAAACAAAGATTCATTACAAATTTGAGCGCTGACGCTAATCATACCTGCATAGAGTACACATCCAATGCCACGAACATCCTCTCGAATGTTGCCAACCGTCGTTGTTGCCACAAGCTCGAAGTTACTCAAGGCACCGCTTATCATCTTGGCTAGCTCTTGGAGGGACCCAGCTACCGCAAAGGTGAACGTCTCAGCCAAATTTCTACACGTCCTACTCACTTATTGCAGGAGCTCCTTGGTTGTGTCTGACGTGCCGTAGAACATACGCGCATATCTTCAGGCACTGAGCACGGACCGAGTCGACAGGTAGACTCTCGTTGCTTGAGCTCTCATCAGCTTTACCTCAGAGTAACCCAGGCATCACTTACGACACGGCGGCGCCTTCGATTCCGAGGTGCCCGAAATGCTTACAGAAGGCACGGACAACTACCAGGAGGTGAACAAGGGTAGCTGCGTTTTCCACCATCACCATACGATGACACAAATTGAAGAACTCCTTGAGTATAGCCGGTTCCAGCAGTGTCTTTCCAGAATAACGAGGATCTATGAGAGATTTGAGGGCTCCCAGGGACGCAGTCGCGACGTCGGATTGTAGATGGACTGAATTCGTTGGTTGGGAGGGGGGCATCGCCAGAGCCTCGTACACGAGACCGAAGATGACATAGAAAAGTGGCGCTGGCTCAGCACGGACTGTGGAAGCGCCATTGATATTTGATTTTGGGTCTTGCCCAAGGATGGCGGCGGCCACAAAACCGTCCGCACGATCCATGGCATTGGCAACCGCTTGCAGGATGGTAGCCCATGTGTCGCAGTAATACTGCATGGATGGTCTTCGTCACGTGGGCGGAATAGCATGGAAGAAGTCACCTACCGGTAATAACACCACTTTACCCAGATTTGCGAATGATGGGTCCAAAGAAAGCACTGAGGCATCGTAGACAAATTCTGAATCTACACGGATAGTAGCATAATCACGCAAACACGCAACCCATTGCGACGCGAGTATTTCTCGGTAGGGTTCGATAACCTCAAGAAGGTATGTTTGTTCCGTTGACGCTATTTCCAATCGGGCCCATGCAGCCAGAATAGACACTCTGAGCATCCCAGACGCGTTCGGGCTCAGCTCGCCAAGGGTCCCCATTTTCAAATTGCCGTTCCCTTGGACACACGAAATTAGTCGAAAACACACAGAACCGAAGTTTCAAATTACCGTTGACTTCTGTCAGAGCACTCGTTAGCTGCTTCAGAATCCGACCCATCCTAGCGGTGTCCTTTACCACACCACACCCAACAAAAAGGGCGCAGGCATCGATAGCTGAGGATAAAATTTCGGGCGTTGAGTCGGAAGAAAATGCAGGGGTAAGAGCAGCTGTGATCGGCGCCTGATGCTGCTCGAGCAGCAAAGCCTCCGGGTAATCCGGGTCTGGTGTCTTAGAAAAAACCTGGTCTCCTATGAGCGAATGACTGCATTTACCCCATATGCATAATGTACTCGCCTGGATGACATCACATAGAACAACCAGACCCTCCAGCCGAATTTCTGTCACATATGCAGCCGATGCTGTGAATGCCATTTTAATCAAATCAGGTATTCTGGAAACAAGAAGACCATGGGCGGGAATGCCTCTGTATTTCGCGAAGAGAACGTCCGTGTGCTCTTTCCTTGCCGATTTAGCTACCACTGTGCAAATTTCGTGCAAACATTCCAATGCGAAAAGTTGAGTCCTCCACCTTGATGTGGGAGCGGAGGAGGAGCCCTCTTGTGCTGCATTACTGGCAGATGTGGATATGTTGAGTGACTGGCCTTCGTCGTCTAGGTTGGCCGCTGCGTCGACTGTCTTCTGTGGGGCATTGGTACGTAACATGATTCTAAGACATAGGTCAATCCAAGCCGAGGGGTTGTGGATTGCTGTCTGAGAAAGCCAACTCTTGATGACGCTTCGAACCCCCTGAATTCCGGGGTCACCGTCCAGCATTGCAAAAAGATCTTCCACTAGGCCGTCGCCACCCAGCCTTGACATCACTAAGGCATCCTTCTGGACGAGCTGATACAAGGCGTCTATAGCAGCAAGCTTCAATTGACGTCTGTTGGAGGCAAGATGTGACCTGAAGCGGGCCACTGCATCCGGGATGTCTACGTGAGTTGACGCAAACATGAGAAGGTGCTGGGTGCACTTGATGGCCTCGACGAGGATATCTTCGTCTTCCTCGGAAGAGAACCCTCGCACCAGGTCCAGGACAAGCGACCTGGTCCTTGACGACTCCTCGACGTCAGGCCCCAGTATTGTGATGATTGCGTCTATAATACGACAGACTATAGGGAATGCCTGCAGATCCCCACTGAGGTTTGCATTATTTGGCGTGCCTCCTTCAGTTTCGTGGGCTTCCGACATGTATATCTTCACCAGCATTCCAAGCGTGCTTGGGACGAACGGAGTGAATGCCAAGCTCGCGGCATTAACGACTTTGGCCAGAGCGGTCAACGACCAGTAATGGACAAGCGGATGAGGATCGTTGCTGAGGGACATCAATATGTTCACTGTCGTTTTCAAGATGGGAGCGGCAGCAAGTCCGCCGACGTGACTGTAGAGTTCCCCAAAGGCAAGTGCACAGCCAGCACGCCCTTGAGGATCGCGGTTGTTAACGATATGGTCCACTAGGACCTTGGCTTGGCTAGTCAGGAACGTAGTCCCAGAGATATTTGCCAGGCGACCGATCGCTTCACTACTTGCGCAGCGTAAAAACGGATCTCCGTCCACCAAGGCATCCTAAGAGGTGGGTTTTCAAAGGCAGTAAGAAATAACAGACACAGACGAACTTTGAGGAATCCTGCTAAAGCAGTAGTTACTTGAAGATGACCAAGGGTTTCTTTTGCCTGGCGATAGTGAGTGGTCGTAGCATATCTCAAGGTTTGTACGGTGGCTATGGCAGCATTGACGAATACAGCAGCCTTGCGACCAGCATTCTTGTCAAGCTTCGGCGACTTCACTAACTCGGTAAGTTGCGTGACGAATCGCGTAGTGGTGGCCAGGTCCTGCAATGGGAGCAATCGAGCGAACAATTCGATAGCAGCATTCACAACAGCTGAAGGCGATGGAGGAGGGTCAAACCACAGCGAGTCACTTCCCAATGTGCCGGGAAGACACAAAGACAAAGTATCATGTTCACGTGCACCCAGAACTGGTTTACGAAGCTATTAGACGTCCGAAATTAGACAAAAATGGACTACCAGGGGTGGAACGCAAGCAAACTTACAAGCAATGTTGTGAGTTCCTCGACCTGCTCGTTCGTGAGCCGCCCAGTCTGAGTACTTAACAAACCCTCGGTTTCATCGTCCACAATATCTATCGTAGTTACCCCATATCCAAAACCGTCAGCGGTTTGCCATACGGAGGTAAAACCAGAAGACGAAGCGATGGAAGCTTGTATTGCGGACATTCCGTCGCCTTCCGGGCCTGCAAATATGGTCAAGGTGGACTGGAGCAGATTTGATTGAGCAGACTCCGTCAGCGAGGAGGTCCCGAGAGCAGCAAAGCATTGGTATACTCGACAACGCAGCAGACACTCTCTTGTGCGGAGATTGGGTCCCTTTGCGTCAGTTGATGGTAACACAGGTTCTTTGGCGATTTGGGAGGCAAATGCATTCGTAAATGAAAGTGCATTGTTCAGCATGGAAGAAATCCTCCGGGAAACGTCGAGGGTTATCAAAGGGCTATTATGAAGTAGGAAGCACAAGATAGCACCTGAAGCACTCTCTCGAACGTGAAGAAGAAACTCCCATTCGCTAGCAGGGCGGCCCGGAGAGTTATCTTTGTTGCTTGTCTTCGGCAATGCATTGCGCCACAAGACCAGGAGCTGTGAAAGATGCGACCGAACGAAGTTCGGACCAAGAAGCATGAGGGACGCGATCAAAATCCATGCGACTTCAATCTCTACGCCTGCAATGCGTACGTCGTGCTCGACTGCGCGTTTGAGGAGTTGTGTGGCCATGTCCAGAACATTTGTCGCAACGTCGAAAGAAACATACAAAGGGCGCTCGGGAATGGTCGAAACCAATGCTGCAAGACCATACGCGCGGCCAAGCGCGCGCCGATCGATATCTGACGGGGCAGCTGGAGACTGCAATGACTCGATATCACGGTCAAGTGATTCTATGACAGATAGAATAATCTTCGGTAAACGCAAAGGAGTGGAGGAGCAGAAGCATTTCAATGCCCAGCTCGCATTAACGCGAACAGAATGATTAGGGTGTGTGAGGAGAGTCAATAAAGGTTCCGCAACGGCATCCTGTACTCAAGGATGCTGTGAAGAAATCAAAATCAGTCGGTGATCATACTCACCTGGACTACGGGAGGCGCGTTACCCAGCATTTGCAGGAGCTCCGCGGTCTCCCTGAGAGCGATTGTAAGGACATTGGATGACGGTGCCACCTGACCAGGCATCAAGGCTGGCCATCTCCTTAGGTATGACGATGACAGTTCCTGGATAGCACCGATTTGTCCCTGCTCGCTCAACATTCGCGCAGCTACAAGGTCACGAAGCAAGGCACCAACGACCTTCCGTGTGAAGAGCCGATCATATCTCGTTGCACTGTTCTTCGGATGTGAAACCACTTCCACCATGAGATGGCCGACAATGAGAGCATAATTACTCTCCACGAACTCCGCACCAAGCTTTGTTAGGAGGGCGAAGTAGAAATCAAATATGCCCGCACGGGCTCTTCGAGAGAGGTTTGCCTTGTTAAAGTGTGACGATAATTGAGACAACATTTCACCAGGTGCCAGGAGTGGTTTTAGGTGCTCAGAAGCTACGTAAGCAGGGATGGAAGCATCGGTGTTCTCAGCATCCTTCTTGCTCTTCTGCTGCTCGGGTGCAGGGACTACTCGCGCGACTTGTGTGGCGGCAAGTACGTGTCCAACGAGATGCGCTAGAGCTTGTCGAGTGATCTTGTCGCAATTATCGAGGGTTTTGATGCACAATGTGACGACGGATTCAGCGTCCGAGAGGCAAACAGACTCCTCCGGCGAAAACATAGTTATGAGAACCTAAACGTCACAATTGAATGACCAACGACAAGGCTGAGAATGGAAAGAGTGTCACCCTAGCGGCCGCACGCTGCACAGGAAGTGCTTTATCACCTATTCCGTTCTTCATGTTTTTAATAACGTCTTTAGTAACGGTGTCTGTTAGCGCCTTCTTGGCATTTTCCAGAGACTTCCGGAGCATAGTTAGTGCATGAAAACGCATTTGAGTTGACTGACAAATGAAAAGTCAACATGTTGACAAGGTAATATGCACAGTCTTACACTGGAAGATCTGAAGGTCTTCAATGAGATGGTAGCGATTTCAGCCATGAAAGACATAAACTATCGGGACCTGAGACGGCAGTAATACGACGAGAATGCCTCAAACCTACCTGGGAACCAAATGCCGCCATGAGTTCACCGATCGTCCAACAGGCCGCACTGTTATCTGATAATTAGCCTCGAGCGCAAACCGGACGGAGTTGACGCGCATTCGAATGATATCCTTATCTGAAGCTTTCGCGTCACCAGCAGTCTTCAGCAACGTCCGGAGGGTGTCGAATAAGGTCTTCGTCTCTCCACGACTATACTGAACGACAAAGCATCTTGCCGAAAGGTTGCGAATCCCCCGTCCAGGTAGTGGATATCCACTGGACCCACATACAATCTTCAACAAAGTTTCCTCCACAGAGGTCTGAGAGGCCTTGATGAGATCCTAGAGCAAGGTCAATTCAAACCTCGACTGAGGAAGAATTGCGACCGACGGCAGTGGCCTCTTTCAAGTGTTTTTGCAGCGACGACAACCATTGAAACAAATAGATTTCTCCATTATCGCCTGTTAGTTGAGTCTAATTGCAAACCACAGTGAGGGCTGTGACAAAGTGAAGTTTATTGCCATCGACATACTTCATCGATGGGCTCAATGGTAGCCTCGGTTGCCATCACTGCAAGATATTCACTGAGATGGCCCAGTAGGAGTCGTCAGCGTCACTGCCTGGGTGTCCTGAGCACCTATGTAGTACATACACCGACTGTCGTTTGCAGTGTGCATCCGAAGGCTGGAGTTGCACCGCCACACTGCCATGCACACCTACATACTGTCCTACTGTCACCCTCATGGCACTCTACTGAAAATACTAAGTACGCGGCGCATTTGTTCTGCAGTATCCACCTTCACTCACTAGCTTGCCACCAATCCATCCGACTACGAAACACGATGTCTGATTTCCTAACGGGTCTCCCCAGCCTGGATCTCGGGTTCTGCGAAAATAGCCTGCAACGGTTAAACGGAGGAGCGGGCTCCGTAGTGGCGACCATTATCCCTGATGACATGCTCAAACTTGGTTCAGCATACAAGGCAAGCATGATAATGCGTCGCGAGTGATTGATCCAAGGTTGGAGGCTTGCTACGAGCCAAGCCGTGATCCCCTCCGATATCGCATATATATTGTGACGAATTCTTCGGCAATGGTTTCCTCCGAGTCGCAATCCCCCACTTTTAACTTTCAATCAACGGGACATGTTACACGCGATCTCGGAGGATACCGCATATGTTAGGGGTAGAGGGCGGAAGCTGGGTAGACCGATGGTGTTCGTACATCGATCCGACGGTTTCCGAAAGGCGAAGCCTGGAAATACCATGCCCCTGCGGCGTACCGCGGAAATATATTCTCGTGGATTACCCACACGGGACGAGGGACGGGAAAGAACCTGTTGGTTATCTCAAACATCTTGGGAAAGAATGGAGAGGCGGCTAAGAAGTTACTGGAACCGGTGCGCACGGACCGCCAGATATCTGATTCTGCTACATGAGAGCTTGGAGCGTTATATCGAAGTAACAGGCTAAGGATGTACATTCTTTCTACGCTGTCTTAGTTTTCAGTTTGGCAACCACCCGTCTCCCAGTTGTAAACCACCAAACGGCAACGCATAGAAGCCCCATACTGGCACCCAAAAGAATATGTAACAGCACAGGCACGGAAAACAGTGTCCGACCGCGAGACAACTCTACGATGCGCTGCCTACTCTCATTTACAGAAACGACAGTGCAGGATACAGCAACGGCACCTAGGAACCGCCAATCTGGGAAGATGTCTGCGACGCCGAACGGAGGGGAATTCAGGTGTTTCGTGAAGTAACGAAAGGTGAAGGCCGTGGTAAACAGTATACGCGCTGATAAATTGATGATGTTGGCATAAACTAGCGACGCATCGCCAAATCCAAGTTTGTAGAACGAGATTGCAGCAAGAATGTATACCCCAGAATACGCGAACATCCACCTACAAGACATGAAGCCGAGAGGAACTGGTATGGAAAAGAAACAACACACCAGCTTTGCTCACGTAGGTCTTCCGGAGAGGCGGTGCTCGAGTGAAAGGCCTCAAGCCCGCCATTCACGGAAAGGAAGGGGATGTACCATATCCACGCCAAGAGGACTTGCGGAGCACTCGTTGTGAGATATCGATGAGGAAGCAGAATTTGCATGACAATGGGCAGATATAAGGAGCCAAAGGTGACGACGAGCACAGAGAATACCACTTGAATGGAAAGCAATGTCGCGAGAGCTTCGGATGCCTGCTTGAGAGCCGGCCTCGCCGCAGACATGTCGTTTCCACTACCACGTGGGGTGCCCCTCGGAAACGAAAGTACCCGAGAGAAATAAACCCTACAAATTTCCTCAATCGGCTGGAAAGCAATCCTTGCTATGAGAGACCCTGAGTTAATAGACTTTAGCCTCAGACGCACATGGCCACAAGGCCATGACAATACCGTAATTAACAGCAATCGCATAACCGCCCTGGTCTCTGAGTGGACTCCAGTATGAAACGAGGAACTTGTCTCCTTCCGTTAGGAAATGTTTGACAACAGACTGCAGCGTCATAGTCATAGAGAGGCGGAAGTGCGTTCAAGTCGAAGAAGTCTGCGAGCAATCTATACCCACGACTACGTCTGCAACCCCGCAGTCAGTAAGTGTAAACCAATCTCTAATAGTTGGTACGAACATGGGGGGAGATCGCGACGATGTTAACGACAGCCGGACCGGCAAAAGTCGCGAATCAGGCATCTCCAGCAAGTAAATGACAAAAATGATCGAGGAATACGTGATCTGACCAAGAGCAAATGCTATCAATGTGAATTTCTGTTCGCCTAGGTAAGTGTCGAGAAGGAGGGCGAGGTAGGTAACCGCGGTCTTGCTTGAAATACCTAGTCCTTCTGCTCTGACTCGAACGCTGGTTCGAGCTTCGCCCATAGCACTTGTCAACATCAGATTGCAATTTGATGAAAGCGACAGGATGATCTCACCGGTTGTGCATTGGCTCGCTGCATAATTCGATGACTGCTGCAGCAGCGTAAATGAACAACTGCAACCTGAAAGAGCGGCTGGCTGCGAACATCTTCGCTTGCGGTATACCCGTATGCCATGACAGAAAGGAGCGTAACGGGTATGCCGAGCATAGCAGGGACGGTAGCAAGATTGCTACATTGAGCGAACTGGAGTGTCTTTTTACTATTGTTTCCCGCAGCTCCCTGTTGAGGCCAAACTCGTAGGAGACTGTTTCTGACGCCTTCCCGGCTTAGAAACAGGATGGTATTAATGAAAAGCTCAAATTGGACAGCGACAGTTCCATAGGCTTGAGGCGATGCAAGACGAACTAGACCTTGATTGAGAACGAATGTGAAGATGCGCGAGACCAGCTGGAGACCAATCAAAGACTTCGCAGAAGAAATCGAGCGTTCCAAAAGACTGTTGTTATCCATGAGCTCGACAGAGTGCGACTTGTAGTTACATCATTACAACTTTGCGTTTGTTTGTGTAGACTACCACAGTACACACCACCTGACAACCAGCCTGCATTGCAAGTTGGATCTTTGACACACACCGATTAGTTACCTGACCCTGCCTGGTCCACCTCGCAGAAACACCCGCTGATTTGATATCCAGAATACACCACTCACTGCCCTGAAGAACACATTATAACACGCAAAGGATATATCAAACCTCTTCATGGTTGTAGGTGTGCCTCCGACGGTGACTTTGACTATATTCAGATCCATACGAGCATGGAATTCTGCTCTCGTGCGCAGTGAATGGTTCGTCCGTGGATAGACCCTCCGAGAACTTTTTGAACCTGGACATCTCCAGTTTCCACACTCGAAACTAGAAACTCGTAGGGTAGCAAAGCGACCCTTGCCGATGCTCTGACGATGTCACCCTCCCAGGTCCAACGTCGTGGACTATCCTCATTGTGTCTCAGTATCACTCAGATAATGTCATGGGCCACCAATCGCGTGGCTGGCACTCGTGTAGAAGACCGGGCTTACTTTCTAATGGGGCTGTTCGGTGTCTTGGTTCATCACTGGCTTATTTTTAGGTTCATCGATCTTTTTCAGTAGTCTTGAGTGATGTCAGATCAACGGAACCAGAGGGATTCATGCAGAGACATGTGCTTTGCGAGATACCCGACCAGCCATACACTGACTAACATTAGCATGTCTCCCAAAAGCTCCACGTGTCGTTCCCCAGCATATGAAATCACGGAGAAAGGTTATAAATATATTACTTGGAAATAAACGTGAAGTGCATCAACCAGAATCTCAATAGCGGCCATAGTTGGGGAGGGCCAGTTGCAGTCCTTTATCTACATAACTGCTCAATCGTGCCTTTAGCATGCTAATTATTTCTTCCAGCCTATCACCTTCACCTCCGTCGTCTGCAAATTCTCTAGGCCGCTCCAGCTGCAGTGTGAAGTGTCTCAGCCGAGGCTCAGGACTGATATCGCGAGGCCACGAGAGCCACAACTGCATCGATGGGCACAACATCAGAACAACTGGAGATGCAGTGCTTCGAGGGATGGACATATAGGGCTAGGTGGTGTACCCTGTCATCCAGACCTCCCCCGAAAGACTGGGCATCCACAATGGTGAGTGTAGTCACAAGATTGTGATTCAGTCCCCCTGAGCTGGGAGTGTACCACAGGGATTTCAGATTTGGGAGTTGTGAGAGACAAGCAGACAGCTTAACGTCTGGGATGTCTATGAGGTAGAAAGTCACACTCTCAACCTGTCTCTGCCGCTCGGCTGAGCATCTGGAGGTAGCCAGTTCCAAAGGGGCTCCTTTCGAGGCTGGTGTTGATGATGGTAAAGGATTGCAACTTGGGAAGGTGAAGGGCGCCGAAGAACCGCAGAACATAAGGCGTCCATGCATCGATTGTTTACTTTGAGTGTATCCAAATGGGGGAGTGTGACACTAGTAACAGAAAAATCATCATCCAAGGACACCCTAAGGCGAGGGAACACGTCCTCAGATTCGGGCACTGAGCAAGAATGGGCAGATAATCGCCATGGGCATGCTTGAAGTGATCGAAAAAATCACATAGGAGACTACGCTTGGTCAACTGCGCCTATGGTATTTGAAAGTTGCGCATATCCAGATCGTACCATGATAAGCACAAACTCCGTAGACCCAGTGCAGGTTGCCAGACAAGCGGCGACATAACATTGTGCTCATTTGCACCGAAGTCAGAGGCACCCCAAAGGCTGAGATGCTCAAGGGATTCTGAGGAACCTTGAGTGAATGATTGCAAGTGGCGGATAGATTGGGCAGGAAAGTGCAGTGACAGCTTTTTGATGCGGGAGCTTGCCTTGAGGATCTCCTGATCGAAAAGTTCAAGGGCCGATAAGGGGATTGGGTTGGTATGGCGGTCCACATAGCAAAGATATAAGTATACTGGAAGAGACTGTGAGCGCGAGATCCATAGCCGTACAGACATGATCATGGACTGTATCGTTCTATCTCAGTTCAATGGACGGACCGGGTAGTCAACGTTAACCTGGAATCTCGTCCAAAGGCAAGGCAACGCAAAGGAAAGCTTCCGCCACGAGCGACAAACCTGGGATAGAGACAACGGGGCTTGCCGATTCTTGCCAACGCAAGGATAATAATCCAATCCGTGAACGCAATGTTCAAAAACATTTGCCATGACATCAGCTGACATGCAGCAAATGGGAGACAACGAGGACATGTCCCGAGTTCCACCACCAGTAGCTGGGGAGGCACCATTTGAAGGGTGGAGCAAGTCCGGAGCCTACAAGCACTCAGAGGAAGCTTTACATCATAATTGTACTGCTCCCCACCTGCATGGTTCGTGCACTTGAATATTCCCAATTCCTAACCCAAGTTGCGTGGAAGCTGCGTGTCTAATGCTTGCGAGCAGGCAAGTTTTCAACGGCCTATAAGTTATCGTTCGAAGAATCTGATGGTGAGTAGGACACTCGTAGAGGGGGAAGCGGACTCCGACAGCCCTTTATAGGGGCTTGACAAACAACAGTAAATAGGCCTTCTGTTTAGGGGCACTACTGAGAACTCTCAGAACTGCCAGATCAAACAGATGGAATGATTATTGCACTTGCACAATAATTAAATATTCCTCTGAGTATGACAGGATAACTACAGTCATCAGTCATTGAATTTATGAATGGTGAAGAAACTCTGTCCATATTACAGTGAGCATGGAAATGGAAAACCATGAAGTTATGAATGCTTTGTGAGGTATTCTTTGACATGCACCACCAATTCCACCTTCCTCCCTGATGAAGACTGACCTTTTTTCCTAAGGAAGTCCTGTTGAGAATGCATTCTGGAATTATGGTAGCCTCTTGGAGTTTTGCCCAGAGGGCTCAGAATTTCTCCCTGACCCTTGGAATTAAATTCTGATGTCACTATGCTTACTAATTACAGTACTATAAATTTTCTGCACCATTCTTTTCCACCTCAGTGACTTCTTCATACACTGAGGTGAGCATACCTATACTTACATTCATTTACCTGGTACTGATGTAGTGTAGATACTCATAACTTTGTTAGGTACCAATACAGTGACTTCTTTGTACACTGAGATACTCATAACTTTGTTAAGTCCTGAGAATTTGATGGTAAGAAATATAGAAAAAGGGTGCTGTAGGCAACCTCAGTAGTGAACAATCTACTTATATATTGGATATACCTGAAGGCAACTACAGGGAATCAGTAAGTAGGATACTGGTAATGAATGTGATGGGAGCGATCTGTGCACAGTTACTGACATGGGAGTGACCAGGTACAAGAAATGATATGTGCTGGAACATAAAGTGCCCCTGTGGTACTTGACCACTGTGCGATGTTTTGGCTGCTTACATAAGCTGAAATAGCGCACATACTTGTAGTGTTTTCTACTAGTATTCCCTCAGTAGTTTGTTCACTACTGAGGGTAAGTCCATTCATATTACAAGTATTCTACTATACTGACATCCTGTAGTAGCCTACAGGTATATCTAATATATCAGTAGTTTGTTCACTACTGAGGTAGCCTACAGATATTTCTACAGCAAGGATAGCTGGCTTAGGACTCAGTATGTTCAGTGTTAGGAGTGATGTATGTTTTAAAGGTTACAAATGACAAGTTTATTGCTAAAGGAGAGTAAAGTAACTAAATAGAATTAGTATGGTCTAATACTAAGATATGAGAGGAAGACATTACCTCAGGCTTTGAGTTGGACAAAGACTGAGGTGTGAAGGAAAAATTGTTCTGCCCATACAAGGGGTGATTATGTAAGTAGGAAGTTCTTGCTGTTCTGCACAATATCCAATCTCCAACACACCCACTCAGTGAAAAATGACCTTAATAAATAACACCCATACCCTTGGTAAAGTGAATATGCTTCTCTCATGCAAGTCCCTTGGTAAGGATGTCAGTGACCTGTGTATTTGTTGAGACATAGTCAATGGCAACCTCACCAGCCTCCAGCTTCTCTCAAATGAAGTGGCGATGAATAGAAATGTGCTTTGTCCAATCATGGAACATTGAGTTCTTTGCCAGAGCCATTGTGGACTGATTATCAAATAGGAGTAGTGTTGGCTCAAGAGGGGTTGTCATGTCAAGCTCCTGAAGTAGAGTGTGAATCCAAATGGCCTCCTTTGTTGCTGCAGATGCAGCCATATACTCCACCTCTGTGCTGGATAATGCCACAGAGGTTTGCTTCCTTGATGACCAGCTGACTGCCCCACCAGCAAGTATGAAAATGTATCCAGTGATTGAATGGTGGTCATTTATGTCCAAAGCCCAGTCAGCATCTACATATCCAAAAACATTTTTTGTTGAAGTCCCAGAGTATGTGAGGCAGACATCTGTTGTTCCATGAAGGTACTGGTAGACATGTTTGAGAGCTCCCCAATGAGCCTCTCCAGGTGCAGCTGCATGCCAGCTCAGTGCACCCACTGCAAATGCAAGGTCTGGGCATGTAGCTAGCATTGTGTACATCAGTGCACCAGGCACACTCTGATAAGCCTTTATATCCACCTCCAGTTGCTCCAGTTTGGCAAGTTTAAGGTTGGACTCAATTGGCATAGCAACAGGGTGGCCTTCTTGCATGCCAAAGTGTTTGAGGATGTCCTCAATGTATTGTCTCTGAGATAGCTCAATGAGCTGCTTGTCATGATCATGTATAATCTCCATGCCAAGAATCCACCTCACCTCTCCCAGGTCCAATAGGTCATACTCCTTCAGGAGTGTGTCCTTCAATCATCTGACTGCCTTTTTGCACCTTGAGAGTATTAGTTTATCATCTACATATACTGCCACAATTATGAGGACTCCATCCTCAACCTTATAGAAAAGGGAGTGATCAGCATGGCTGTGAGTGAACCCCAAGGATTCAAAGACTGTGTGGAGTTGCTTATACCAAGATTTATGGGCCTGTTTCAACCCATATAGCACTCATTGTAGCCACCAAACTTTGTTGCTTGCACCACAAAAGCCCAGTGGGAGTTGTAGGTAAATTTCTTCATCCAGTTCTCCATTGAGAAACACAGATTTGACATCCATTTGATGGATCTCAAGGTTGTACTGAGCTGCAAGGGCAAGTAAGACACAAATCATAGAGAACTTGGTTACTGGAGCAAAGGTCTCTGTATAGTCAATCCCCTGCATCTGCATGAACCCTTGTGCCACCAAACACACCTTGTAGTGCTCGATTTCACCATTTGGGCCTCATTTGACTTTGAACACCCATTTGGAGTTGATGATCTTTCAATCTCGAGGGTGATCAACCTCCTTGTACAACCCTATTTCCTGGAAAATCCTCAGCTCATCCTGCATGGCTGCATACCACCTATCTGCATCTGCACATGCCATAGCTTCATCAAAAGTGTCTGGTTCTCCATCATGAGTGGCCTTAGCATGGTATGCACTGGCATGTTGCTGATTTTTCTCACACTGTGCCTCATTGCTTGCGGGTGACTCTGTGGTGCTTCCCTCAACTCTCTCCACCCCCTCAACATCCACAATGCTGCTCATTGCTGGTAAGTTGTTTCCTGGATGTTGTAGAGTTGCTTTCTGATAGGCATTGACAAAAAATTTGGGATCATCATCTTTGATAGGTGCTTTTTGAGCTCATGAAGACTTTTGGACAGCTGCAGGTGGGATGGGGTGTGGGTGTTATGCTTGACTGAAGTCAAGATGTAGGGAGAGCTCAAATGCAGACTATGGTTTCTACTGAGCAAACAGCTGCAGTAACCTCTGTAAACAACAGAGGATTTGGGGCAATGCCAGTAAGAGTAGTCCAGGTTAGGGACACTGAGGTTGAAGTTCTGAGAATGCTGTGTATGATTGAGCAGCTCAAGTCTGGGTGTTCCAGGACTTGAGCTGACAGACTAAATACTGTACAAGAAATGGACCATGAGGCATCCATGCATAATGAGGTAACCATGCCATTGGCTGAGCAATGGCAACACATGTTCTATGCATGTTCCGAGAAGACAACACTAGTGGTGGAAATAAGGAGCTGTTTGATCAGCAAGAAGACAGCTCAAAAAGGAAAGATAGTCCGATGGATCAAGTCACAAGGTAAATGTAAGGAGAAAAAGAGTAAACAAGGGTGAAATGTAACATTACCCCCCTGTTAAGCCTTGAAGTCTCCAACTTCAATCTACTCTCCATAAGGTTCTCCAGTCATATTACTGATGGCAGAATTGTCAAAGTTGAAGTTATTATCATATGAATCATCATCCTCACTCCTGACAAGGGTACGATCATCTACCACTCCAGGAGTGGAGAGTCTTTCTTGTAAAGTGTGATGAAGGTGCAGTGAAGGGCATTGGGCCTGGGTATGACCAGGGTGAGTGGTGTGACAAAGGGGACATTCATAGAGTCCACAGTTGATGCAGACATGCCTGAGTCATCAACAGACATAGCATGTTTGACAGTAATGTGGATCGAAGGGGGTGAGAAGATGATCAGCCTCAGTCATAGCATTTAAGATGGGGGATGGAGGTATTTGGGCAAGAGTCTCAATGATGTTTAGGGTGTAGTCAAGTTCCACCTTAAGACACCAAAAGCAGTCTCAGGGTTGACCTCAGAGGGGGAGTCATGTGACTCGCAAGGTTGGGGACTAATGCCTGACAGACAACAGGCACGAGGACAATGGTGATGACACTGGAGGGGAAGATGACACAGATGAGACCGGGGGAGAGGTTGCAGTTGAAGGCCTTCTAGACCCAGGAGGGGGTGGGGCAATCAAGGTAGGATACTGATGAACGTTGTAAATCAGATCTGCCCCTCCTAGAATATCAAAAAGTCAGAGGAGTAGGGGAACCTGTTCATAGGCTATCTCATTGAGGATGGTGTGGGTGGGGGACAGAAGAGGGTTCTGTCAATTCACATATCTAGATAATTCCTCCAGCTGGAGGGCTTGGATGGTAGCATGGTAGATGAGGTCGAGAGGGGAGTTCTCATTGACCTCATGGTAGACCATTCCAATGATGGTGGGATCCACGATGAAGAGTTGGTATGAAGCAATCATCTGATCACTGGCAGGCTGTTGTTGATGATGAGCAAATGGGGTATGGCAGTGAGAGGGTTCGTGAGGGTAAGTGTAGTGGTGAGGAGGCATTTCAATGGAGATCTTTCTGACAGTACAAGTAGTTCATCAAGGGGGTTGTTTCTGAGGAGGGAAGTCTTTTGGGAAACATTTCTTATATGCAGAGAGCATATTGTCTGCATGTTTCAGGTGCGTTT